TTACAATGCACCAGGATCCATAAAAATTCATCAGAACCTATTAGAGGCTATCAGAGTCCAAGGATTCTAGAATTCAGGATCTGTTTTGCCTTTTTGGATCAGTGTAAATCAGAAGACTATTGTCACACTCACCAGCAACTTCATGGCCTCAACCTCACTCTCACACTATACTCTCAAGATCGCTCACATTCATTCTCATGATCTTTTCCATGATTGTTATTTTTCTCGTTTAGTATTGTGAATAACTTTACTGTTCGTTATTTTTGTCTTCTTTGTTAATAAACTTGGTGATCAAAACATCATTGTTTTAATGGCCATGCTTTACTTGAGAATTTTAGTGATCAAAACAATATTTACCCTATTATAATATTTATATCAGTGATAACGAGAGAGAGAGAAAGAAAAAATCAATCAACTGTATCGGTCATAAAAGAAACGAAGAAGAGTCATGCATAAACAGAGCGGTCAAGCATGAATATAGTGAGGAGAAAGTTCATGAAGAAAAAGATTAATATGGAGAAAGAGGGGTGAGGATGGAGACATTGTATTCATTAAAAATAATACCTGAAAGTCGTCAATCATACAATATCTTATTTTTCATACTCTGAGTACTAGATTATTTTCATAGAGTTGCTTAAAATGTTCTTCATTACTATTACAGTATGTGTCTTTGATTTTTTTCTAGAAAAGAAGAATCACTAGCTCGATCTGCGAGACTTATAATTAAAGTTGTAAGAACAGGTAAGATAAATGATATTGCTAGTGAAGCATCAGATGTTAATTTTCATGTAGCTGCTTCCAACGACTTTAACATAACCTAAAATTTAAAAAAAGATTATGCAGCTTACATTTCGATAACATCTTAAATATCAATCGTTCTAAAACATCTCAGTCTAGCATTTTTGAAAGTTTAGCATTAGTAACGTATTTTTGGAACAGCTTTCTATTTATGTATGCTGTTATATAGTTTTTTTCTCGAATGAACTTTGGAACCATATAGAAAGTGCTGTTTTATTCATATAATGGTTTGTTTGATTTAAATCTGAATTTAAAAGCAAAAGAACGCACTGAATTTCAAATTGAAATGGAAAATTAGTGGAACACAACAGTTATTCTTCGCTAGAATTCATTATCCGATATACTATGATCTTCTTGTTTTGTTGGCAGCAGGATGCAGAAACTTAACAATTATTTATTACTAGAATTCAATATCCTATTTGAGGTGCGAGTATGTCTATTAGTCTTCTTTTTATTCCCATTCACAATCACACCTTCAAGAGTGGTCCATAGCGTATACAATAGTGAATCCTACTGATGAATAATTGTTGAATCCCTTAGTTTCGTCTCCAATAAGAAAGAGCAGCGCTAAAGTATATAATAGTTCACAATTTGAAAGTCTATAGAAGACGTCTTAGGCTCATATCTACAAAATAATGGTGTCCGTTGAGTATAGATTCTTTTCAGTTAAGATATGCTTTCACCATAATATGTCGTCAAAGACAATGCTTTGTTTAGATAGCCTAGTCATCTGTCGTTCGGAGAAAATGAAGTGGATTTTTTTTCAAAATTAGTTTGAAATATGAAAGACCATAGACCGGAGATGAATTCTATAGACTTGCACACTCCACCATTTTAGTTTGAAATCGAGTGTTTATTTTTCTTTTCAATTCAGATTGATTTCAAATAGATTATTGTATGCTTTTCTCATAGCAGGAGACGTATTATTCACTGAACAAATGAGTTTTTGAAGAAATTGACCGTGGTAACAAAAATATTCTCATCGTGCTACAATATGTTCAGTTGTATGGTTTTCCGTGAATTCTATCTTTTCTAATATGAATTTTTTTTCTTGTTTTGTTCTTCAAATCTGTAGAATGTGCTGTAACTCTCATATGTGTCGAATTAGCTTGAGAAGTTCAAATATTTGTTATCAAACAAATACATAAAACATTAGAAAAGAACAATCTCTGTGTTCCCCAGAAAATAAAATGGATTACTGGGTGCTAGTTGGAATTATTCATAAACTCGCTGTTAAACTTCATTATACATTTCCTAGAAAGCATGATTGATAAAATATCTTCTTTGAGAAACAATATATATTGGTTTAGCTTCTTCAAGAATTGCTTTTAAAGGAAGACTTTCACTTATCGACAGAGAAGGAAACTCGTTAATGATTAGATCATCAATTAGTTTAGCTAAATAGGTAGATCAATCATTTATTGATGATAATGGAGCTGTTGGATAAGTTATTTGTATTGGTGGTTTCATGATTTTATGTAAATATTAGTACTCGAAATTAGGTTGCGTTTCTATGTGATGTAATAAGTTAGAAGTAGATGATGGTTTACAAAGAACAATAGACAAAAACATAAGACACCTTGGACATTCAATGCGTCATCATCTATATCGTTGAAATATCTGTGTACTAATCTATGTTTATTTTTGACAATTCATGCTAGTCTTATTGATAAAAGGAGATGTTAAAGTAGCATACATCTCAGTAGCAATCGATGACGGTGATGTTAGAGTTGAATTGATGGTTGACGAAGATGAAGAGTTAGTATTTATTGATGTTAAATGAGAGCTGTTATCATGTAAGGTTGATATGACACAATAAAATAGGATGATTATATAAATATATATATTAATGTGTGCAACTAGATTAAAAGAAGCAAGTCACTGTAAGTTACGATTAAAAAAACAATGATTTAAAAGGTATCTAAAATTTTAGAAAAATACATTGTTTGATAAGTTTCAATGATTCTTTGTGTAAGTGATACAATTGATGTTGTAATGCATGGAATTCTATGGTTTGTTAACTCATACCATAAAAGTTATCCTATAAAAATTTCATCGTGGTCACAGATAAGACTTTTAATTTCTAACAAACCCTATTATGTAGTAGAGTGACCTAAGACCAGACGATTTACTATCATAGAATAGATCATTTTTCGAAGTGTTTTTTTTACTTTGCAAGACATAACATGAGGGTGAGTAGAATCAGCATTTAAAGTTTACCACACTATCATAACATTCTTATATTATATCAAAGCCTATATATCAAAATATTAAAGCTCAAAAAAAAACCAAAGGCTATATTGATTACGTTATAAGTGGTTACTACATCATTTCGTCGTCGAAGGCAATAACTATATGTTTCTTTTCGTGTTGCTTGGTTATCGTCCTATAATATATGACTATAATGTGATACTACGTTATAACGTCATACCAGAAAAATGTGTAAAAGGCTTCATGATTGAACGAAAGAACATGCATGTCATCATGCATGTCATATTCGAGTATATCCAAAAGAATCAAAAAAGAGTAACGTCAGTAGTATAATGATTTTTTTCTTTCTTTGCTTTTTACAGTATATGAAATGTACCACATCGATGTATTCATAGACGTTTCACCCCATCACTAGTAATGCTTCATAGTAACTGACATACAGTTGATGCAGTTTTTTGATCATCGTCAAGAGCGATTGCATCATTACTTGCGCACTCAAATAAGACAAGAGCGTAACGAATAAAGGTAGCGAGACAGACTGCGTCCTAGTCAGTATTCTCAGTCGAATAATACAGTAGGTATATATATGGCCTTTTTACACATTGTATTTTACAGTAAATCAGACGAATGTTTTACGACCGTGTTTGATTTGACTAGGGTATACAAACGACCGCATACGACGCAAACACTGTGCTGTATATTGTAGCGTATTACAGTGATCGCGATTTAGACAACATAGTTCCTTTTTCGTATCTTGTTTAACTGTTAACGGTCATATATGCTGCAGTTATGGCGAAAAATACGGACACACGTAACTATTGTACGAGATATGAGGTTGGAAGAAAAGAAAATGTTTTCTTTTTCAACTTCAATCTTTGAGACTAATATAACTGAGTAGGAGAAAAACGAAAAAACAGAAATAACTTAGGGCAATTCAAAACGCAGTGATACAGGTATTTTAATTCTTTATAAAAAGTTTAAAGGAACTTTTTCTCTTCATAGTCTGATAATAAAAACAATGCTCTGTTTTTCTATAGTGTTTTAATCGTTTTTCAACTAATATCATAATAGTAAAATTTCAATAAGACCTGCTTGGTTATGATGTGTGACACTTAAATTAGTTCATATTGTCCTTTCATATGTATTCTCTTCTTGATTTTCTTTTTCTTCTTCTTTTTTGTTTATTCTTTTCTCTCTCGTTCTTCTTAATGCCTAACCGTCTACAGACATATATATATAAAGATGCATGTTTTGTTCGCATCTATAGTTTATTACTATGTCCTCGAGAAAGTAAAAGAAATAAAGTTACTTTAAACATTAACACTATTCACCACTGTTTTAGATGAATAGGGAATAGTTTTGATTTTACATTAACATACGCATTGCGCTTCGTATTCAAGTAAGAGGTATTGGTGATGATGCTCCTTCTCTTGGGGCAGTTGAACGATGATCTAAATTTTTTCGTGAAGGCTGATAAGAGCTTGAGAACGAACCATAAGTTACATGTTTCTTTATTTCATTTTTAGTCCGCCGCCACTAGTTCTTCCATACCCTAATATATATAGACAGCCACGCATTAGACAAGAGACTAGAAAAAGAATAAACCAAAGAGAGAAGCAGAATAGCGAGAAAATATAAGAAGAGAATACATATCAAAGACAATATGAACTACTTTAAGTATCACACATCATAACGAAACAGGTCTTACTGAAATTTTACTATGATGATATTAGCTGAAGAATAGTCGAATATCGTAGGAAAATAGATCATTGCTTTTATTATCAGACTATATATAGAGAAAGTTTTTTTTAACCTTTTTTATAAAGACTTAAAATGCCTCCGCCACTACTTTTGGATTGGCATATATACATATGCCACCGCTTCTATGTTTATAATAAGAATGAAATGGACGCGTATATGCTTCTAACAAGATAAAGTTATGCATATAATTAAATTTTCTTTTTTTTCTCATTTTAGCCTATTATCTAAAGATGGTCGCTGAAAATTCAGTAGTTCCTGTTGATAGTCAAGCTCCACCACGTTTAATTCCATCAACTCGTTTTACATTAGCATTACTGGTCTTTTTTGCTTTTGTTGTTCAATATGCTCAACGTGTGAATCTACCAATAGGTATTGTATGCATGGTTAATCGCACAAGATCAATTCATCATAATACATCCATGCATGTAACAACAGAATTACCAAATGATATATCGACAGATTATCTTAATTTATCAACAACAACAAAAAAACCGACTCGTGTTCATCAAATAAAAGGAGGCTTTTTCAATGAAAAACAATTTCATTGGCCTGAATTAGAACAACAACTTCTTCTTGGTGGATATTGGACTGGTTATATATTCACACAAATACCAGGTAGATAGACACTTTTTTTACATAACAATTAATAAGTTAAATTTTATGATAAGGTGGATGGTTAGCAACCAGTATAGGTGCAAAATGGGTTTATGCCAGTTCTCTAGGAATCAGTTCATTAGCTACTTTAGCATTAACATGGATGTATACAATGTCCAATACACAGTTTTATCTAATACTTATACTTCGATTTATTACTGGTCTTGCACATGGTGTACTATTTCCAGCAACAATTGCTCTTTGGTCTGTATGGGCTGTTCCACAAGAACGAAGTACACTTGCATCAATTGGATTTTGCGGTACACAACTTGGAACATCTTTAACAATGCTTATTGGTGGATTATTTTGTCGTTATTTATATGCCGGATGGATGTATCTTTTTTTTATCACGAGTATTCTTGGTTTTATATGGTTGGCATTGTGGACTACGTTAACAGCAAATGCACCCCATCAACATAAAAAAATTAGTGATCGTGAACGAGATTATATAAGTAATTTAACCGGTAGTGGTGATCAGAAGCGTACAATGTCATTAGCAACAATACCATGGAAGAATATTGTAAAATCAAAACCATTAGTTGCCTTAATCTTAACACAGAATGCGAATTTGTTTGGCTTATTTTTCTTTTTAACAAATCTTGGTAAAATTTCAAATGAACTTTTACGTATTGCACCAGAAAATACTGGTTATATATTATCTTTTGGATTTTTTTTAACATTATTAAGTAGTTTATTATCAGGTAATAGAAATAAAAATGAGAGTTGTTTTTTTTTAAACAAAAAAAGAATTTTTTTTAGGCATTGCAGTTGATCATGTCGTTGGAAAAAATGTTGTAACATTAACAACTGCAAGAAAAATATCTAATTCTTTAACATCATTTATACCTGTTTTCTGTATGATGTTACTTTATTTTTCTGACAGCACAGCACAAGGACTAGGCATTTTTTCCATTCTCTTGTTTCTTGCTGCCTCTGGTAAAATTTCACATATATTTTTTATACATTTCAATACTGACTTTCTTTTAGGTCTGGGTTATGGTAGTGGTTATGTAGTCAATTTTGCGGATATTGTTCCAGCTTATTCGGGTGTTATATTTGGTATTTCTAATACATTTGCATCATTATATGGTGTAATTGGAAACCTAGTCGCAGGAATAATTGTTAAGGAACCAGTTTTAGAACAATGGAGAAAATTATACATCATGTTTGGTGTTGTTTATTTCTTTGGTGGTGTTATTTATCTTTTATATGGTTCAGCTGTACCAAGAAAATGGGCCAAATTTCAAGCTGTGAACAATGATACTAAGCCAGAGAAAAAAATTGAAGATGAAATGGCAATGTCAATGAATGGAAAAGCTTAAACAAAAATAATCAAAAACAAAAATTTTTTCCTTTTTTCCCCCTACTAGGACAAATTTTCCCGTTTCGCGTGATAGAATAGGACATTTCTCATATTATTAGGTGACTAATTTTTAAAATGATCTCTCTTTTTTTTTTGTGCTAGGAAATACTTCAAAATAAACATTACGTGATGCAAAATCACTTTTGTCTTTTTTTTTTTAATCATTATCTTATCTGAACAAGAAAATCAATGAAGAAAAGCAAATATTCTTTATAATAGATGTGGAAAAGAATCCATGTTTAAGCTTTTAATTATATATGACTGATTGCTTTTTGGTACAATTTGAATAAATCCAAAAAATCTAGTTGCAATATTTACTTATTTGAAAGAGTTATTTCTTGACTTTTGTATTTCTATAGAAATTGGATAATTTTTTGGAATAACAAAACAAATAATTCATAATTCAAATAACTTAGTAGTCCATTAGGCACTATAAAATCATGAATTTTAAATTAAAAATAAGAAGGTGAGTCTGGTTGAAGAGAGAAGCAAGTCCTACATCCACACCCACAAAATTATTAGAAGAATTAATGTTGTCTTAGAAAAAGTTAATAATAAGTAAATTAATAAAAAGAAACTAACTTCAATGTTATTATAAAAGCTTATCAATGACTCATATAACCTATAAATCAAAAACTATTCTTGGTATCAACTCAAATATAAATATAGCTCACAATTAGCGATTGTATCATTAAAAAACAAAATTTCCACTACAACATTATCATGACTTCAGAACATATTTTTAGTCAAGAAACTTTTATGCCAATGGAATGTTTGTCTTTCAAACCATATAACACTATTCCATTGTTTATATAAGCACTTGACCGATAAATTAAACAACAAAAGAACTCTTCATAATTTTGCATTAACCTCAAGTTTCTTTTAAAAAAATCATTTGAATGCTTTTAATTTTCTTTTTAATAACAATCAATTCAACAATGTCAAGAAAATTTTATACCCTAAGAACATTGATCTATCAGCATGTGTTTGTTTTCTTGTAGTATCTATATATTATTAATGATATTTCATAGTCTTTTGTTTTATTAAATTAAATTAAATTTTAATTTCAAAACAACATAACAAATTAAAATTCTATTCTAATTCTTTTTGTAAATTTCTGTGTCAATGCGCTTATCATCAAGAGTTGATATTTGTTTTAATAGTCTCTAATGATATTCCTGTTCTCCATAGCATATGTCTAGTTTCAAATTCTTGTGTATGACGTCTTTTATTATAACAACAATAATATTATTTTCTAAAACACCATATTTGATAAAATTCTTTAACATCAAAATCATTTAGTTAACATAAATGATATATGTAAATATTTGTGGAGTATAAAGAAGAAAAATAAATATAATATGTAAACGAATTATGTAATTTAATGAAAATGTTAAACAAAAATTAAATAAATTAAGATATAAACTATTTAATAACATACAAAAAATGATGAATAATGATGGAATAAAATAAATTTGATGAATAATTATTTTTCGAAGACAATTTTCTTTTATTAATAATAAAAGAACACATAATACATATTTCATGAATTAAACATGGAATAATGATATAAATAAAATATAGAGCTATTGATCAATATTTAAATGAATTTTTTTTTTATATATATAATAAAAATTACCAGATTGATCAATTAATAAACTTCGTCCAAATATTTTTTCAAGATTTGATATTGAAACAATAAGAAGAAAAAGTAATGAAATAATTAAAGGTTGTCTTCGTGGACGAAATTTATTAAAATTAAAGTATGTATAAAATACACCTTCTATCGCTATTGCAATACTTATTAACATACTTGTATAAACCATAATAAGAGATAAATATGGATAACCATAACAAGCCAAAAAATGAAATAAATATTTATCATAATAAATAGCAGTTATTATATTTGTTATAATTAACATAATTAATATTAAACTACATATTGAATAGTTGATTAAATAAATCCCACAAATTGCATATCGAATACATTCTCGAATAAATGTCATTAAAGAACATATATTATTTATTATACCAATTGAAGCCAACAAAATAAAAATAAAACCATAAACATAATGCAATAATGGAAGATCATAAAGAATTGCTGCAATCATTGGAAGACTTAATGCATTATTATGAATATCATTGTTTTCATAAAGATAATATTCCTTAGGACATGTAGTACAAAAACCAAATAAGCATCGGTTTTCATTTAGATACGAACTATCGTTTGTACATCACATCGTTTTAAAGAATAAAATAGTAAAAAATCAGGAGAAGTTTCCTGTATACCCAAATTATATATATTCAAATTAATAAAAACATAATTTGCATAGATCCGACATACAGACAAAAAAACATGTCAAAATGATAGTTTCTGTTTGATTTATTGAAACTCTAATCAGTCACATAAGATATTACTTGCCCGATTAGTCGTTGAGAAAAGTATTCATTTAAGAATATTGTGGGTAGTTTCACCAATATGTATTTGTGCATGTCTTAGCAGAGGTTTTTCGAATATCCTATCTTAATGTGAGATTTTATTCATAATATGAGTCTTTTATTCTAATTGTTTAATGATCTCTCATTTGAATTCCTTCTCAATTCGGTCTCATTCAATGATTGTTCACTTGGGTTCATTCCAATTGAGTCTTATTTTGGTCCATTTCCAGTTCTGTCATACTTCATGAAGCTAAAAGAAGATGAATTTCGGATGGAACAATATTAAAAGCTACTCATGATACGGTTAATAATATTGTGTATACTTTCAATATTATTAACGGAAGTCTATTTAGACATGATCATCTATGATCAGTATTTGTTTACTTTTATTTGAACGATTAAACGAAAGACGCAAGTAATTATACACATGTAATTCGAACGGAACTCTATCGAATAATCAATAGATATTTTTAACTATGCAAAAAAATGTGTTGATTCTTATTTATTCTAATAAATCATAACTGTTGTCTAAAGATTGACATCGATTGTAATTTCAATATGCTTCTTGTAATAATAGTTCAAATCTTGTTCATTATCATTGAATGAATTAATTCAAAGAGCTGAACACTTTTTCTTATTATTTGTTGTTATTGTCACTGATCACAGTTATAATGATCAAATCGCGATTTGATTATTTCACTTATTATAATTATCGTTAAATATAGGTTGACTGAATTCGAATAAAACAATCTAGATAGAGTTAATCATTTCGATTAATATTAATAGATCATTGAAACTTCTCTTGAATTCCTCAACTATATGTACAATATGAGTTAAAAATTGAAATGTTTATAAACAAAAATTTTCAAAAAATGATCTTATTTTTCAATCATTACTCTCATCAGCAATCGATAAAAATAAATATTGATAAAGAACTCATTTATAGAAAGAAAAAAATTGTTTTTTGATGCATTTCAATGTACGTTATCAACTAGAAACAGCAGCGACTTTTTCGTCATAAGTCTGTCGAACAACTAACAAATATTTTTCTTATACAAGTCTTTTGTATGCTATTCACGATTGTTTCAAATGGAAAAAGTCCGCTGTCAATTAATTTATTCTGTACGACTAATAAATATGCAATAGCAATCGCTTAAGCAAATCTTTAAATCGTTAGAAGGTGTAAAAAGACAATTCAATAACAATGTGAAAAAAGTCCAAAATTTTCTTTTTAATCAGTTGATTTGTGACATTCTATTCAAATAAAAGTCATAGTTTTAATCTTAATGAAAGTCAATCTATATCAAATCACTGTGTATGTAACTTTTTATGTTTTATTGTTAATCGTTGTCAAATCAGTTATAATATCGTTAATCTTTTATTTCTATCTTTCATTATACAAGATCCTTCACCTACACATCTTTTTTGAAATCGTTATATTTCCAATACTCGTTATTATTGGTGTCATACATCATATTTTAGCTTGAATTATATGTTTACGTTAACATATTCGATTAACCTCGTATAATATTTATTTAATTATTCTTTGTTTATATGATCTTATTTGAATAATATTTCGAGAATATGATAATTAATTATGTTATTTATGGTTATGTGAAATTAATTCCTATATATATATTTGAAAATGGATTTCACAGGTATATGGTTAAGAGTTGGTATTATTAGACAAAAAGTATAGATTGCATGTGTTAATATGAATATAGATATTTCACGCATTCATATATTATTTATGCTATTAGGTTCTTGCTATTATTTGTATCTATGTCTACATTATTTTTTATTTTCATTCTTTATCTATCGAAAAATTTATTAGTACGAGGAATTTCTATATTTGATTTTACTCTTGACTAACGATCAGATTATGTGAGAGATTTCTGCTTATATTCATATTATTATTTCATATCTAATTTATTTAATTTGCTCCATTTATATAACTAAGAGTAAAAGCTCGTCAAAAATTTTACTTAATCGAACGAATAAATATGTATATTATTCATGGTTGAAACAAATGTTTAATTGTAGAGAGTTTATTATTTCATCTTTATGTATTATTAAATGTAATTTTTTCTAGATTCAAAATATGTATACCATATTTTAATTTAGATAAACTTTGAATTCATGTTACATTTGTATTTTTACTTCATAGTTCATGTGTAGTATCATCAAACATTTATATATTGAATAATATTTTTTTGTTATGTTTATTGAAAATAGGAATTAATAGACAGACATCGGTGAGCATCTGGTGTGTTTACTTAATATCGATTTATGGAAAATAGTATTCATCAATATGAAACTACATATAATCATCGGATTTGATCTTTGTGCAATCACAAAAAACATAAGATTTTTTTAATAAATTTTATTCATCGATAATTAATTGTTCTGCATATTTTTTAGCTTTTATCTGGGTTAAACCAGTCAAACAGTTAAAAACTGACGTTAATGAATACCTAATCACTATTAATTGTTATGTAAAAATATTCTTCTTCAATTTTTATGCTGATCTAAAAATGATTTAAGAGAATATGAGATTCGATTATGAAGAGAACTCATTTCTTTTTGGAGTATATATATTTATTGCACCATTTGAAAGCGCTTACAAAGAACAGAAGTTGCTGGTGTGATGAGCATGAAATGATGCATGACTATTTACAATTTGGTTTCACAAATTCTAAGTTATTTAAGCAAGACAAGTATCTAGGTTGCACGTTTAGTAGTGGCATGGATTGTGATTAAAAAGAAAAAAAGAAAGACTAAGAAAAAACCAAGAACAAAATAGAGGAAGACACTAAGAGGAAAAATATGAGGCGAGCAATGACAGAGGGAGACGGAGCATATATATACAGTTCTGGACGAAGATAGCCGCTCCTCATGAAGTTCTACTATTCTTTATGATATTGATCTGACATTTTGGGCATATGAGTACGACAATAAATTCTAATGGCAAGTACCGACCAGCCTTTCATCGGTTTATATGTACTGAAGTTATGATTCACACATCTTTTTTGCTTTCTGAAAAATATATTCGGCAGAAATATGCGCGCAACAAGTTTTTATGTGTCATTTTGATATTCCAAGAGCTACTACTGTGTTTTTTTTAGTGCTGAAGATAATTCCATATGTCTACTTTATTATCACTAAAGCTCATGAAACATAATCAAAACGTTAGTAATTAGCATGCCTTAAAATAGTAAAATCATGTCGTAGCACTCACTTGATTTCATTCAATGTTATGGCTATAAAACTTTGGGAACAAACTTCTCGTCTCATCAGAACTTTCTAGTAAAATTTTCAAATAAATTGATCAAAATTGTCATGATAAAGATCTATCTTATTAAAAAACTAGCATTTGATCTTCATCAGACATTCTTAATAAGAAGACAATATGTCAGCTATTCTAAAGTGGCTTCTAACGAAATTCAGACTACTCATAGCGACGACATTGGTCTTTCGAATGATGGATTCGACGAAAATACTCGTAACAATATAGTTGAGATACGGTAATCACAAGATGAAGATGATGTCTAAATTATAACTCCAGTACACATTAACGAATTAGTGATTGGTCAGTGCTTGCAGCCAGAATTCATTGTCGCACGCATTTATCAAAATTATCAGCTCGATGTCATAAAGAGTAGTACTCCTTCATAGGTGACGGTTAGTTTTGTTCAGGACTGTATATGTGCATGTATACATGCCCCTTGATGAGATGACTAATATTCTAATCTTTCTTGCTTATTTGTAATTTATTTAACCCTCTATCCATGATAGGGCCTAAAGGGACATAGTGCTAATTACAAGTAACTTATGAAGGATGAAAAGCAATTAAAGCAAAGCACAAACATAACGCATATAAAACTATGACCAAAGATAACATGAGTCATGAGCGATGGCTTCCTGAGTCGAGCTACTACGGTATTCGACCAGAATGCATAGACCATCGACGAACGAGTAGCTTAACACGTGCAGAACAGAATAGAGTTATACAAACATGGTGCTGAGGGGATTCTAATCTTTCTTGTTTGATATTAATGTGCTTCATCACGAACAGCAATGGCAGTGTTCTTGATTTTTAAGGTATGTTTCATTGAATGCGTTTATTCAGACTGTTCTAGACGAAAAGGAACCAGGTTTCTTCTCTTTTTATTTACATTTTATTTTACCAATGTAATCCAGATGAATATATCGCTAAAAAATAATGCGTTCTCTAAATCTGATCAATATACTTTTGCTAGTTGTTTTGGTAGACACTTCTTCGCATAACGATCAAAAGATTTTTCTTTCGTAAATCTCTCTCTATATATATATATATATATCACTCGCTTCTATGAATGAATAACGACGGATCAGTCGAAGACCTGCTCGAAATTTCTGTCCAAGTACTTTTTGTTGAGATTTCTATAAAAGAAAGAAAAATGGGAATATCCAAGTAAAGAACGGAGAGGGATTGGCAAACGAACAAGTTCTTAGCACTTGGGTCGAAATCTTTTTGTTCTGCCCATGTAAAAAAATTGCCTCAATAATCACAAAAAATCTGATTTTTAATCGATTATAATCATACGATTCTTAATCACTAATTTACACAGAAATAATCACAAAAAAATCAGTTATTTTATTCAATTTGATTATAATCGGTTCGAAATTGAGTTAAAAAATCGATTATAATCAAATTGAATAAAATAACTGATTTTTTTGTGATTATTTCTGTGTAAATTAGTGATTAAGAATCGTATGATTATAATCGATTAAAAATCAGATTTTTTGTGATTACTGAGGCAATTTTTTTTACATGGGTGTTATAGCTATTTCAACTTAGCAAACGATTTTGGATATTCTCGAGACAGTTATCCACTGTAGGCTGTAATGACAATTTACAGTCAACGACAAAAGTTTAAGCAAATTCGTTTTTTCTTTCAGTTTTTTTTCTCATTAAAGACTGCAGACTTGATTCACATGGTGATATAGGTAGTAACAGAGGTTGGCTACAAGATTTATGATAGGAGGGAACTCTGTCTATCGATATAAATTTTTCATAATTAATATAATCTTTTCCACGCAAAAATAGATTCAAATTTTTTCCTTCCAGTATTTCGCGTTTCTTCACCAAGAGATTTGCACTAGAATGAAAACAAAATAGGCTAATCGATTGGAAACTTCATACTCTGTCATTTTCTAAAAAAAAATGATTTTATTCTTGACGTCGATCGTTACCTTCAAAACCTGATTATTAGTGAAAATAGGTGAAATACGTCGAAAAATGGAATCCTTCAAATTCAATCGTATTACAATGTGCGACTTTTTAAATTTCTTCGACAGAAGTAGATATGAGTGTAAGTGGGGAATGTGGTGAAGGTTATGGCAAGAAATACTCACATTCTACTTGTAAGCCAATCGAGGCCATTTTTTGCAATGTTTTTTTTTTCTATTATTTTATGAAATAAACAGAAAAAGACGAAGAAAAAAATAAAAAAAAACAACTTTAAGCTGTGATGCGCTGCTAAAAATGGACCACTTTTTGCTATTACATATTCATTTTCGATTTGTTGACAGTAGACTTGTAGAGAATTCCGGTTTTTTAAAAATGAGACGTTTTCCACTTTTCTGGTTTCTAGCTATCGTCAGACATGAGCGGAATACGATGGAATTCGAATGATTTTGCTTCTTCATGTGTTTCGCCTGTTCTCACCGAGAAACCGGGTTTTGAAGGTAAAGACCAACGTCAAGAACAAAAACTTCTTTTAAGACACTGACAGAGCGTGAAATTCTCTATCGATTGGTCTATTCTGTTTTCATTGTAGTGCAAATCTCTTGATGAACAAATGTGAAATGTTGAAAAGTAATTATATCTACTATTTTCTGAAAAAAGTTATTTTAGTTATGAAAAATCTTCACAGATAGACAAAATATCCTTCTATGCTACATCGTGTAGTCGACCTCTCTTACTATCTATATCACCATGTGAATTAAGTCTGTACGTTTTAATTTGAAGGACATTTAAAAAAACAAATGTACAAAAATCAAAAGTAAGAAAAAAACGAATTCACTCAAATTTTTGTTGCTGACCGTATATGTATATTCGGAGATGACCTGAGTGGCGAAGGGAGGGATGTCGGGAATGTCATACGTCCTTACCTAATCAAGAAAAACTTTTTTAAGCCAGTAGAGCCGATAATTTTTCTCGTATTCCCTTAGAAAAAAAGAAACTTATATGCCTTTCAAAAAAAATGTGCCATCCCCTAATATTGGCTGCCTGTGTTCAATCATGCATATCTATGTTGATAGAAATGGAGTAAATAAACGAAAGCAATATAACACTAAGAATGACTGAAGAATATGTTTATTTCAATTTGTTTTTCTTATTAAAAAAAATCTGTTTGTTGTTATTTTACAATAAATTATTTTCACAATAATTATTCGAAGTCAAACGAAAAGTAGAAAAAAAGCTTTTTGAAATATCTCTCATAAAAACTATACTTAAAAAAATATTTGTACTTCGAAGAAAATCAATTAGTGATATTTATCTATTCCTTTTTTTTTTGTACCTTTACTTTTTAATTAAACAGAGGAGACACCTACGTATTAGTTTAACACGGAAGAATAAGCAACCTTTTTACATTCAATATGATCAAGCAATTATTCATATGGAAAGAAAAAAGATTGAGAGATATATAACCATGACGGTACGCATGTCTTTTTGTATCCTTTCTATAAGTACACTGTCAACATTTTCTAAATTGATGACTAATAAAATCGTTCAAACAATTGGTATTCGTTTATTGTGAAGATTTTGCATTGAACTGAATGTGTCAATATTTCCTCTTGATAAATTATAATTAGTACGTATTCTATGAGAGCATCGACTAGAAATTTATATTTGCTTTATTCTTGTCTTATCAAAAAATGAATGGTACAACATTCAGTTTCAAAAGATCATCTAAAAAACCCATGGATAGTTTTATAATTTCCATTGGTCTTCCTTAAAGTTTCATATAAATTAATTTCTGACAATCATTTAAAGTAAAATAAATAGATTTCTTGTTTTTCAAACATTCAAAAAACAGAATATAAAATAAACTTTTTCTAAAATTTTCTTAAGTGTTACTATGATCTTTTTTGTACAGTTTCGAAAGAAATGCTACAGGAAAAATATTTTAATAAGTATTATTCTATCATAATTGCTTGTGCTAATACTTCGACAATTTTAGTTTTACAATCAAAGATAACTGACATTTAACTTTTATTTTGTAATGTATAATACATAAGGATATTCTAATCAAAAGATTTTCACTAAAACTTTAAATAACATAACATAGAATAAATTACTGGATCTAATAAAGAACGCTTCATATATTTTTTGTTTCCATGAACTATTACAGTACTTTGTATTTTCAGACTTTCAATTCTAATCATATCAATTTGTTTCTTTATTTTAAAATGGCATTAATTCGACGATTTCTTTTTCGTCGTTTGTTTTCTACAATATTTTTTTTTACATGTCTTTATATATTGTTACTACTGTATCGCAAATATTGTCGTACACAATCTTGTGATCCTTCTTTTACAACTATTACTGATCACGATCATCATAATCCATGTTATTTTAAACCATCAACTAATGAATTTATCTTTAATTATAAAACAAATTCATCAATGGAAAATCAACCTGATTTAACACGTGTAGAACCAACAATTGAACGAATACGTAATCTTTTAGAAATAATTCGTTCAAAAGAAGACAAATATCAATCACTCTTAGAAACTTTTGATGTTTTTAGTATGATAAATCCAGATATATCATTCAAACCATATTCAATTGACAGTAATATAGATGAAATAAAAACCTTATACAATCGTTTTATTAAATTAATGCCAGATAATAAAAAAATAGAAATAGATCATACATTTATTGATTATCTAAGAAAAATTTCAAATTACTTATTAGATGGATTAAGAAATAAACGAACAAATACAGTAAATATTTTTTTAAAACTTTTATCTTCAGCAATTTTTATTATTTTTAAAAAATCTTGAATAGTTTCAAGTTGAATGTATTCATCAACCCGTTTTTGTTCTTGCTTGTGATCAAGGTTATTTCGATAGGCTTCAAGGTGCTATTCATACACTTGATACTTATTGGTCTAATCATAGAATTATATTTTATGATTTGGGTATTTCAAGTGAACAAGAAATATTGGTAAAAAGAACAAAAAAAACATTTACTCGATTTTTTAGAATGATATCTTTTTTTTTTAATTTAGCTTAGAACAAAATGTGCTCGATGTACAATTATTAAATTTCCATTTTCATCTATTGAAAAATATGCATCACATATTGGTATATTAAAATATTTTGCATTTAAACCATTTGTTATACAGGTGAATATGTTATTTGACAAAATCATAGATTTTAGTCGTCTACAGAGTATTAATGAAAAAATAAATGTTTTGATCTTGTTTGTCTTTCATGTGCTATTTATCTAGATGAACTATTGACGTTTGAGTTGATGATGATAAGTTAAATATTACAAATCATCTTCAATTTACTTTAATGATAACTTAACAACCTATGACATGAATCTAATTGAAAACTAAATAACTATTTATAAATTTTTTCTAATAATTCTCAAAGAAAAATAATTTTTCAGAAATTTAAAGATACGTATACGCTTTGTTTAATCAGAAAGTTCGAAGATAAATTTTTATCATCAATCGGAAAATTCATTTTTATTTTTTAAAATCTGCATTAGTTATTGAATTGATTAATAAATTTAAGATTTATTTATTTTTCATAGGATGCTTTACGTCGTTATGGTACAATTATCTATGCTGATTCATCTGTTCGTTTTAATTCTAACTCATTTAATCCAGTTTTAATCGATAACTATATTCGTGGTTTTGCTGTTCGGGAATTACCTGGTCATTTTCTATCTTGCTTTACTCACACTGATACATTTACTTGGTTTAACCAGTCGTATAGAAATTTTGAAAGTATCTATATAGCTGAAGCTGGATTTTTAGTTGTTACAGATACATTTTTAACACGTCTTATTATGAAAGCATGGTTAACATGTGCACTTGAATCAGATTGTTTAATAACACATCAATCACGAACAAAATGTAAGGAAACCTCTTCGAGCAAACATCGTTATGATCAAAGTGCAATGATTATTATTTTAACATATTTTTTCTTTCAAGGAAATAAAGAAACATGGGGAGATCAAAAACTTAATGATCCAGCTCCATATGATATGTTCACAAGTGTACCGAAAAATTTAGGTGATATTATTCGTGGAGCTTATGAACAATATTATTTATCGAGAAAACAAAACTCTTAAAAATGCGCAGAAATATTTTTTATTTATCTGTGATTAAAATTACCTTTAAAATTTATGTTGTTTTTTTATATGAGATGAATATTCTATTGTTTTTTCTCATTTTCATTAGTATAAATACAATTTATCAAGTACGAAAAAAAAATTCTTTTCTTTTAAACTCTCTGACAAATAGATTTATAAATATATTGAAGAATTTAGTTTATGGACAAAACATAGCATTATTTAATGATTATTGTGATGAAAAAATAAAATGTGCTTTATCAAATATGATTTGTAAAGAAAATAAATGTAAATGTATAATAGCAGAAAAACAAATTTATTTTTGGACTGGAAAACGATGTATTGAATGTATTCAAGGTTGGAATTCTTTTTCTGGTAAGNACCTTGTCCATATAATTTTGTCATAATTGGTGTTACAACTTCTTCAAGTTGTTTTTTATGTTCTTTTAATTCATCAACTTCAGCCATTGGATTTGATTCAAGCCATTTGATTTGTTCTTCAACTGCTGATTCAATTGATGTTTTATCAGAATCAGAAAGTTTTCCACCAAGTTTTTCTTTATCACTTAATTGAGTTTTCAATGAATAAGCATATCTACACAACAACAATTAATTAATTTTTCAATAGAGAAAAATAAAATAATAACTTACGATTCAAGTTCATTCTTAGCATCGACACGTTCTTTTACTTTTTTATCTTCATCTGCAAATTTTTCTGAATCTTTAATCATACGATCAATTTCTTCTGGTGATAATCGATTTGTATTTGAATTAATAACAATATTATTTTTATTTCCTGTTCCTTTATCTTCAGCAGTTACCTAAACATAAAATTCAAATAAAAACACAACAACATCATTAAAAATTTAAACTTACTTTAAGAATACCATTAACATCAATTTCAAAAGTAACTTCAATTTGTGGAACACCACGTGGTGCAGGTGGAATACCAGTTAAATCAAATTTACCCAAAACATGATTATCTTTTGTCATTGGGCGTTCACCTTCAAATACTTGAATTGTGACTGTTGGTTGATTATCAGCAGCTGTTGAAAAGATTTGACTTTTCTTTGTTGGTATAACTGTATTTCGTGGAATAATCTTTGTCATTACACCACCAACTGTTTCAATACCTAATGTTAATGGATTAACATCAAGTAAAACGATATTTGCATAACAATCTTCTCTTGACAAAACACAAGCTTGAACAGCAGCACCGTATGCTACAAACATAATATGTAGCTTTTTTTTTTAATACATGAGGAATGATAAACTTACCAACAGCTTCATCAGGATTAATACCACGTGATGGTTCTTTACCATCAAAGAATTCTTTAACTAATTGTTGAACTTTTGGAATACGTGTTGAACCACCAACAAGAACAACTTCAGCAATATCTGATTTTTTCAAATCAGCATCTTCTAAAACTTTTTGTACTGGTTTCATTGTTGATCGAAATAAATCCATATTTAATTCTTCGAATTTAGCACGTGTTAATGTTTCACTGAAATCTTCATTATCAAAAAATGATTCAATTTCAATTTTAGTTTGATGTTGTGATGATAATGTTCGTTTAGCTTTTTCAACTTCACGTCGAAGTTTTTGTACAGCACGATTATCTTTTCGAACATCTTTACCAGTTTTCTTTTTAAATAATTTAATAAAATGGTCCATAACACGTTGATCAAAATCTTCACCACCTAAATGTGTATCACCATTTGTTGCAACAACTTCAAATACACCATTATCAATAGTTAATAATGATACATCAAATGTTCCACCACCCAAATCAAAGACAAGAATATTTTTCTCTCCTTCTTTTTTATCTAAGCCATAAGCGATGGCTGCAGCAGTTGGTTCATTGATAATACGTATTATATTCAGACCAGCGATTGTTCCAGCATCTTTTGTTGCTTGACGCTGTGCATCATTGAAATAAGCTGGAACAGTAACAACAGCGCGAGTAACTTTCTTTCCAAGATAAGCTTCCTATTATGAGAAAACAATATTGTTTGAGAATAGGAGACTGAACATATAAAATCAACTTACAGCAGTTTCACGCATTTTTCCGAGAATCATAGCTGAGATTTCTTCTGGTGTAAACAGTTTTTGTTCTTTACCAGTATTAATTTGAATTATTGGTTTCGAATTCTTTTCGATGACTGTAAATGGAAAATGTCTGATATCTTGTTGGACACTTGGATCATTAAATTCACGACCAATAAGACGTTTAACATCGAATACAGTATCTAAACATATTTATTATTACATAGAAATATAAATTCAATAATAAAAAAGCTAAACATACTTTCTGGATTTGATGTCAATTGATTTTTAGCTGCATCACCAATTAATCGTTCACCGTCAGATGTAAATGCTACATAAGATGGCGTAATTCGATTACCTTGATCATTAGCAATAATTTCTATTTGACCATTCTTGAAAATACCAACACATGAATATNAGGATGAATCGTCAAAGACTATTGTTCATGGAGATAGATTTGAACACAAACTTTGTTTGACATATGCTTTAAATTAAATAGCCCTGAGTGTAGATAAAGGCATGACAGTAGGTTATAAGTATTATATTGAAGATTGTCTGAAACCTTTTGTAAATGCAATATGAAAACAAAAAGAAGTATACAGTGCAAAATGTATAAAACTGCTTGAGGATCATCGTTGACTTCATACTCATCCGATGTTATTAATTATTTGACAGAAGAAGGCATCAATATAATGCCACAGCAGTCATATTCGACGTACCTAATACTACCCAATATTTGATTAAGTAGCTCTATCGAAGGAAGTTTATTTAATTAAATAAATGAAATATTATGTACTCATACGGTATACAAGGTAGCTAACATTTTTTTCGAAAAAGAGTTCAAAAAAAACTTTTAATAAATTGTTAGAAAGGATTGAACTTGATATAAATAAACATGGCAACTATCCTCAATATTTGATAAAATAAAATTAAAAATATCTCCTTATCTTTATATTTTTTTGTTTAAAAATCTCAGAACTTTTGGTCAGACCTAAGTACCTTATTGAATCATCACTTATATGAATTAAAATTAACAAACTTTAGTTCAAGGATCACCGTCATTTTTTATTATTTACACATAATCTCATACTTGAGTAAATCGTCCAAGTGATTCAGTGATTACGTACTTCGTATCAATAACTAACGAACAGAAGCTGTCAAAGTGCTTCGAAACTATTGACTGCTTGATAAAATTTAAAATATAGGTTGATAAAATTTGATTTGAATGAAGATAAAATAGGTTGAACTTTTTTTTCTGGAATATCTTAGTATTTTTGAATTGATAATATTATAGATGTCACTGCAGCATACCAATATTCAATTTGATTAATGTTTTAAAGAATAGATACAGTATTTGGTATTTCTACAGATTAGTGAAACCGCAGCATCTACACTCTTTGATGTCTCGTGTTAATTATACCAATTAATATATCGAGTGTCTTCAATCTGTGGACGAATCCAATATTTTTCGAACCAGAAAACGTTTTCCCACTTATCTAGAGTTATTCATTTGATAAATTTTTGAATCAAACTGACGTCACTAATCAAAGTATTGCTGAATCAGTCAAACACAGACGACATATTCATGTATCATCCGGAAGAGAAAAATACCTGTACACTACGTCAACAATCATTATGACAAATAAATACGGTTGACTTTCTTCCTTATTGTCATTCAATAACAAATCATACGCTGGATAAGCACGAACAGATTAGTTACTCGTTTCCTACGCAATACTACTGCTTTCAATTTATCCCACCCTACAGTCTTAGAAAATGAGTCAAACATGTGAACTAAAGAAACATGACTCGTTTCGCACTAAAATTGCGAAACAATCAAAATGCCATTCTTATTTGAACATTGTTCAACCTATTTTGCTTTTCGGGCGTAGAATTAGAGTAGACAAACTATATATGAATGATAATTAAAATGTATCTCGATCATATGATCTTAAGAACGTACTTCAAAATCACTTACTGAACAATTTCGTACTCAAGTGTAAATCCAATCATCAGGCAGTTTTCTTTTCTCTAACATTATTTTTTTCAAGTTTTTCAATTCTGACTATTATCCATCGAATGCACCTTAAATAACTTAAACAAAAAGCGCATTTTTCGTTAGAAACTCGTGCAACAGTTGAAGTTTCTCCATTTGCACGAGTAATTTTCATGTCTAACACAAATTTCTTCGGAAAGTTAACCTTTAATCCATGCATACTTTTATTTTGGATGATTTCTTTGGCAAATAAATATGGAATGCAGATCGAAAAATTTCTACAGTATAAGTTTCTCAAGAGAAAATATTTCATGTCTACTTTCTCGTATATCCAAGAAAATTTACATGTTAATACATAAGCCTTTTTCACTTTATTTTTTTCTTCTAATTGATGTGTAGTCGCGATTGTATGTCATTCTCTAATTGGTCTAATAATAATAAAAACAAGGTAGACGTCATAAGTAAATAAATAAATGAATAGTTTCTTCAAGAAATTTTCCATCATGAATAATAACAGTTGATTGATCATTTTGAATTAAACTTCACATTTTATTTTTTTACATCGATAAAATCAATAACAATGAAAAAAAAGTAAATGGTGATGTTATCGTAGCTTCGACAAGAGGTTTCAAAACACTATCAAAACCAATACCAGGTATAATACTAACAAGCATATCAAATAATGCATTGCCATGAAAACAAGTCTATTTAGAGTGTGGATGTATATGTGAGCACCGGTGCATGAATATCAATGAAGAGCAAATCAACACACGCAGCCACAGTCACACCTCTACTCCCCACACCCATACCCGTACCTACAGCTACACCAGCCAAAAGCACCCCAAATGTCACCTGATAAGTAATACGCATTAAAAGGTCTGAACTATCCCCGGCATAGGAAACGCCCATATGCATCTTCCATCTCAAAAGGACTAAAAGACAAATAAATATGGAAATAATGACAAAAGGTTTTACATAAAACACTTTGAATTTTTTGTTATATTTTTTGAAAGAAAATTCATCGATTTAGTATCTTCATTTGAAGAAGGGTGTAAATGTGGCCATTGGTTCTCTCTTCAATCGCATCTTTATTCGCATCCACAGTTCCACACCTTAGCTCACACTACACTATATATGGGCGATTGTATAAAGTCGATATGATCTTATTGACGAAGTCATTGGAAAAAATGAAATAATTATGTTTCGTTTTAATTTGAAAAGTGTAATACATTATAAATAAACGCAAAAACAAGTGAATAATGAAAAATAAACGATGACAGTTCGATTGGTAAACCATCAGGTATTATGGCATGGACCCACTTCGTTGAGCTCGAACTTGGTACCCAAGTTGTGGTCGAGTTACGTATGAAGGGAGTAGCCGATGTTTCCACATAAGTTTCATTAGCAATAAATAGTGTCATTGTCTTGTAACTTCTTATTGCGTTGGTCGTACTATCATTTCTAATAGTGGCTGTAAGAAACAATGTGAAAATCGAACTGGTTACATTAGTTCCATTTTCATAGTAGATATTTGAAACCATGAGTTGATCGTCAATTCTACTCGAGTCATTAATAGAATAGGAGCGTAAACATTCGTTTGATTTATTCAATAATTTCAGAGTACCCGTGATGCACAGTGTGATATAAAGTGCATTTTAAGCGCGGTTATGAATTGTGTAAGTAATGTTCAGTATTGTTAGTGATAAGAATGTAGGGTTGATTGATGATTTCAATGGTGATTGAAATAGGTGAAATAATTTAGGCAGTTTGACGGTGTACACGAATATTATTGATTAATTCTATAATGGTCAATATTTGAAAAGGCACGTCGGGTACTTCAATTGGAGTGATAAATCCATTACGTCTGAGAGTGGCTGGTGCCCATACGGAGATTGTTGCGCCAAAGTGATTTATCAGCAAGACTGATTCATTTCCAACATAAACAGGCAAAGCCTCACAGACAATCACAAGAACTATACCCGTTCGATTGACCAATGGCGTGTCTAAGAGTGGCACATAATTTTCCAAGCTTTCACGTCTCTGTTTCTCACTTAATGAGGTTGTACAGACGATGGAATTATCGCTACTAAGTTCGATCGTGTGCAATATAGAGTGTCGAGAGTTAAGTTTCCATGAACCATGCGTGAGATTTGTCATCGTATACAATTGAAAGAAACTTGAGGGATTAATTCGTGTGGGTTGCACTTGTTCATTTGTGGGATCAATCAATTCAATGGAACTTAAAAGTCTCGTAGTTAAAGTAATATCAATATACAATATGGTCGTTGTGTTATCTATTTCAAAAGTTAAGTTCGTTGCTTCGAACAAAGTTCTAATAAATAATGGTTGACTCTGTTCTAATCGACGCAAAAAACATAGGCTGCTGCTGCACCTCCTCGTTCAATTCCTATGGAAACTCCTCCAGTTGCGTTGTGAAATCATCTGGATTCGATCCATCTAGCAGTCCTAGGCGGTCATTCGTGGTCGAAATTTGATGCTTTCATCGACCAACGAGACTAGCACCAGCATAGAATGAGTACACGCGAATGCTGAGTTTCAGAACTCGACTGAATACTTGATTTCGAAGATATTCATCTTTAGCTGAAGCATCTGTAAATGTATAAATGCTCGAATCACGTTCGCAAATACTCATCGCAGCATTGACACCATGATAGTACAATTTAGGTGCATCACCGCCACCACTAGCCGTCAATGCACTAATGGCATTAATTCGTACCTATGATGCATAGATGAACAAAACAGAAAATTCTATTGTAATTAGTCTTGTTCAACTGATGAAAACGTGAGTCTAAACTCAAAGCATTTATTACCTTTTTTATTATGAACTAAATATATTGAAAGTGTTGATCATCTCAATGCTTCATCCGAGATCCAGTACTGTCTTTTATAAGATCCTAACGAGAGAATGAGAACAGAAGGGAATACTTACTGAAGAATCATTTGTAACTGTTAGGAAACCAGTGGTAGGGTCGTTGAATGGAGATAAAATGTACGTTGAAGGATAAAACGATGCTGCATCGCCAGTTGAGCTCTCGGCGACCAGAATGGCCATTTGCTTGGCAAGTTCAATATATGGACCCATGTTTCCCGTCGTATCGATGACAATGGCGAGACTCTTGGTTTTGAAGCCCAGCAAGCGACCAAACATGGCATTATCTACTTCACTCCCAATTCTGTTTAGACTGGCTCGTGTCTCATCGTACGCTACTCTAACAGCTTCGAAATGAAATGCGCCGTGATCTCCTTTCGTACTATCTTTGTTAATACCGAAGCCAATTGCATTCTCAGACGTTGTGCCGTCGAGCGAACCTTCATGACTGCGTTTACCCCGTGGGTTGTCAGTCTAAGGATTGATACTGAAATAGCCACTTGTAAGTCAACCTTCTTCAATGATATTCGGTAAAATATTTGACCTTGCACAACTTTCATTAGTACAGTTTCGACATGTAGGCATATGTGGTGAGTCATATTTACCAAGGGTCACGCCACTACCAATGAATGAATTTGGGTTGACTTTGTCCAAGTTCAATCCAATTTGAATGTGTATAAAAATGTTGCACAGTATGCATAGCCATTCCAAATGAAATTCGAGCATTGAACAAATTTTCGATTTTCAATTCCTCAATGGCATTACGAATTTGTACTTGAACAAGTTGCGATGCTTGTGTGAAACTTTCATTATCGAAGTGTGATCTCTCACTAAAAACTTCTATGGCATCGGTGATTACATTAAAAACACTGATAGTGTAGATAGCCGATCCAAAGTCTGAACTAATACGAAGTCGTTTTGCTTCAGCACTGATTGCTGCTAGGTCGTTTACGGCTTTGGTGCAAACTCCGGTCACGCTAGCTATGTTGTCTAGTTGCGATGAACCGTAGAATCGTTTGATGTAATCAGCACCTATTCGTAACAGAACACATTCAGTGATGGCATAGTGCTTGGTACCAACTGGAGAGGAGTCAGTGTCTGTCAAAGGAATGGATCCATCCCATCCTGTTTCAAAACATTGACCAACAGTAAGTCTTGTAATCGTCCAGATTATACTTCAATTCAATAGTAATATATCGAGAGACTATATAGCAGAGCAAAGGAAATGTCTTGTTATTGAAACCGAAGAGGAAGTGACTCGGACCATCTAATGATCGATAGTGTACTTTGGAATGAAAAAAAAGCATGAAATAATGACGAGGTAGGCATAAATAATATTTATTGTCAATAAAATTGAATCCTTAGATATGTCTGAAAATCTGTGAGTCGATTCTTTTTATACAGGCAAGGCAGAAAGACAAATATTAGGAAAGGAATGCATATAAGCACAAGCAATTCGTCTATAGATGAGTAATAATCATGAGTGGTGCAGCTATGAAGAAAACAGTACGAGAAAGCAGAAGTGACAAGGTGTGTGGATATGAGTATAGGTGCCTTCGTCAGGGTTTCAATTAAGGGTACACTAAATATCGATCCTCACATCCACTCCTCATTATACAGCTCAAAATATTCTTATTTTTTATCAATTGGTTTCAAGTCGAATAGGCATAGTAAGTATATGGCTGAATCGACAGCATCCAAGTTAAATTATTTTCCTGCTACAAGTGAAAAAATGGTTCTTCTAAGACAACAGTTGAAATATTTTTAAAGATGTCTTTATGCGAAAATGACGGATATCATCGATGGAAACAATGTATAGTGACTGAATATTTACTGTATTAGTGATATAAGACATTCTTCGGTATTAACAGGTTTCAAAATGATATAATCGTATCAAATATAAAGGCTTTCAGAAGATAATCAATACTATCAACTATCGGAAAAGCAAAATTTCGGAATATCAAAATCAATTCAAGGACATATTTAGGATTTATAAAATATTTCATAATAATAAAACATTAATATTCAAAATAGAGTTCGTGTGCGATGTTTTGTAATTACAAAGCAAATACATATGTCTATGCTCTTATTATAATTGAGAAATGTTTCAAAACAACTCATCAATTAAAAATGATTAAAATAAACGGATTTTATAATAATTAGATGTTTGAAACATTATTTTTTTTAAAGAGTAATAAAAATGGTTAGTTATAATAAAACAGATTGTTGAAAAATTATCAATAAATATTCTTAGATAACTGATTAGAAAATATTCAATTATGTAAATTTCAAATTAAGAGAAATATATTATAGAGCTGATTTTCTTAAGATTCAGAAAATACTTCATACCTTTTTCGATATGAAAAGACATTACTAATGAGACTTTAAATTTAATAATCAATGTACATATTTTGAAATATGATATTCATTGCATTTCTTTTGTCTCTCTGCCATTGAGTTAAGTATATGTAGTTTCGAATTAACGTTGAAGTATATTAGTAATCAGATTTAACAACATCCATGAAAATTTTGACGCATGTGTGTTAATACATTCTGTACCAATCGACTCTCTGTCTCACAGGGACAAGCGAGATTGAAACATAGAGTCACGCTATTGTTTTATCTAAATTATTTGATTCAGTGAAAAAAATTCAAATAATTTCAGAGAAATAAAATTATATCCATGATTATTGACATTCTGTTCTGTATCGAATTTTTCGAAACAATCATACAGTTATTTGTTGAAAACAAGCAACAGATCTACTGATTAGTCTATTATCAAGAGAAAAATAAAACTATTGTTAGTACATCATATATAATTGTCATTGTCACTTGCATTAATTTTGTTTCTGCTAGGTGCAAAATGAACGCTTTTACGATCTCATTAATGAATGTTTTAGTGTAAATTGAGGATGAAAGGAAGAATAAAAACAAATTGTATGAAATAAATTCATTTTTGACTCTAAAAGTTGCCAAGCAGACAAAAAAAAACGAGTGAATGTATGCAATTGCTAACAGCAAATAGAGAGAAAATAAAAAATAGGATATAAATCTTAGTTAATGTTTAAACTCAATTAATATTTATGACGGGAACTCCGTAAGGAAGAAAAATATTTTTCCTTCTTTTATTATACATGAAAATAAGTCTTTAATTTATCGATAGTTTCTTTTATTTGTTTCTACCTGATTTCTTTCATATTTATACGAATGACAAATGTGTTAAATCACTATGATTACTCATCCTTTTTTTAAGAATGATTTATTAATTGACGATAGTTCTTGTAAATGTAATTGAGTGAGTGTGTCAGAGTTTTGAAGAAATTCAAAAGAAAACACACACGCATACCGTTCTCATTCTTTACTCCCGTAATGTATTAAATTATGAACGGAAAGCTCTATCGCTACTTTTTTAGACTATGGAGTGGGTGGTAAAATAGGAAAAGAGAGAATAGACAGAGAAAAAAGTCGCATTAGACGGCAATAATAATTGTTAGACAGCTCACATAATCAATATTGCTCAGCAACATGCTCCAGCAACGACAACAACATCGATTTCCACCAATTACAAAACAGCCTCGTTTTACACTTTTGAAAGATGTTACACAACAACCATATCAAGTATGAAAATTTTTTTAATTAAATTTCAAAACAAAAATCAAAATTTTTTGTTTTGATTTAGATTGGTATGGTTCGATATTATCCTAATAAGAGTAAAAACACTCTAAAAAATAATACTGGAACAGATAATGATGATAGTGATTATGATGTTCCAGATCCAGGTGGTGAAGTAGTTGAAAGAAATAGAAAAGATCGTGAACAACGTACGGCTGATTATACAAAAGAAGAACTTGATAAAGTTCTTAAACGTGTTGATCATGTAAAAAAAACAAATTTCTATTAAAGCTCTCATTTTTTTTGCTTTTCTAATTGAAAATCTTTAGGCTTTGAATAATTATGAATATTCTGTTCAAGCATCTCTACTTCAACATGGCATGACACGTGATGAGTTGACTAGTATTGAACATGTCGCTGATGTTCAAGAATTAGAAAATTTATTAAATGATAGTCTTGCCAAACAACGAGTAAATTTATTTTTATATTATGACAATTATTTTCTTGAAATATTTTAGTATAAACAACGTTTAATGGTTTTTATTGTTGGACAAACAGAACAAGCAAGTGAAAAAGCTGCACTACTTCAACAAATTGGACAGGTTTCTATATTAGTTTGTTGCTTTTTCATCATTGAAATGAAATTATTTGGTTTTATTTAAGTTTTTTGTTGAACAAAAACAAAATTTTAGCGGTGCTGAATTTACTGAGTGTGATGATTCAGGTGAAACCATTGATGAAGTTGAAACAACACTCAAATCATTCGATGTTAAAGATTGTTATCTCCATGTTAAAGCATTAGGAAATAGAATTAATGAACTTAATGAAGAAATTATTCAATTTTTAATACAAAATACTGGAACAAAACAAACAAAGTAAATGATACATTTTAAAGTTTTTTCTCTGAAACTAATTTATTTATTTTTTCTTTCTATTTTAATCAGAGTTATGGTCGAGAGGTAAATTTATTATTTTATTTTTATTAAATTTTGCTCTTCATTAATAGAGGAAAACGGAAATTAGCTCAAGTGACCAAGGAAGCGAAAGAACAATTAGCAGACCTTCAATCAAAACTAGAAATGGTGAATACAGGTAGAATAACGAGAACGTTTTTTCTTTCTCAAGTGTTCTTTTTTTAATGTAAAATTTATAAATAGAAATGATGGGAAAAGAAGAGAAAATTCAAACATTAGAAAAAGATATTGAAACAGTACGTGTTGAAGTTAAAACAAGCCAAGAAAGTCAAGTATTAAAAAATAAAAATTAATAAATGTTTTCTTCATGAAAATTTAATTTAGAAAAAAATACAAGATGATTTTAGAAGACGTGAAGCTGAAGTTAAATTTTACAAACGAAAAAATAATGCATTTGAAGAAGTTGTTAGCCGATATAGAATTCAATTTGGAGATATACCTGGTATCGGTATTTTAACAGCTACAACTCAATCAGAAACAGAAGTGAGTGAAATATGATACGGTTTCTTGTTTTCTTTTTCTCAAGTTTTGTAATTTAAGAATTTAATACAATCGAACCCATGATGTGTGCATATTGATAAAGAGTAATCAAAACTTTCTTCGCAAATCTAAAGTCTAGTAAATATTAACAAGGATGAATCATACTTAGCGATTAAGTTTAAGCATGTACAAGCTTGAAGCAATGATTTGAGTGTTTCCACCATATATGTAACACATTTACATTAAGTTTCTCCAAGCAAATCTTCACGTTTCAGATCGTGTAGAGCATAACTGATTACAACTACTATGATGACAAAAGATTCGCTATAAATTCTTATATTGAAGACGTCAGCGATTTACAAAAATTACAGCAAAATATAGCTATTACAATATAAAAGGACTGCATAAGCAGCTATAAAATTCATCTTCATATGTCTCTAACATACAATCTCGATATATAGCGACACAGCAGATTTTGTAAAGCAAATTTTTTTCTACACGCCCATATCTAACACCTTTCGCTGAAGTACCAATTAAGCGGTCATTTTATATGACTTCTTGTTTGGTACTCCAGCGAAGGGTGTTAGATACGGGTGTGTAGTGCAAATTTTGCTTTAAAAAACTTGCTGTGCCACTATATGCACAAATTCTGCGTTAAGGATATATGGTGATGGATATTTTAGCTTTTTTCTACGGTGTTTTTAAAATTAGTACTATCTAAGTTTTCCTATAATTTTTTGAATTGCTGATCTCTTCAATATAAGAAGATATAGCGGATCTTTTGTAATCATAGTAAGTAAACTAACTATGTTATACACAATTTGAAACGTGAAAATCGATTTGGAGAAACTCGATTTAAACATGTCACATATTCGGTGGAACAACCATGTGCAGAGATCAGCAAGATTTAACTTCAAATATCTCTCTAGTAGAATTGTAAACGAACCGGCTCGTCTTCACCAATTTTTATCGATCAGAAAGTATTTTGTAGATATGTCATTTTTCTCTGATAAAACCTGTTGATAACATGGTTTCTTCCGCTTATCAAAATAATCTAATAGAGTTGTTTCAAGAACGATTAGTTTTATTCTCTTCTGCTTGTCCAGACTATTTTATTTCTTTAATTGAAGTAAATTTTCATTTTTTTTTAAAGTATAATCAAAACTGTGCTAGTTGAGCTGAACTTATATCATATATGTTTTGGTAAAGATCAAATTCAAGTTTGGACAGCCGTTCGAAGACAAACGTTAGGTTTGTTTGAAAATGTCAAGTGAGAAAATTCAAGTTTTGGACATTAGCTATCAGTTGATGGATAATTTACTCTCTTTTTTTGCGCTAGATATAAAAAGATATTACATATTCAAAAAAAGAAAAAGGAGTGTTTTCTGCAGCCATTTTCATTAATCAATGAATAATGATTCAAGAAACCAGTCGGATCGGATCAGTTCAAAAAATCTCTACCCTTACAACTCTGCTATGGTCCTCATGTAAATAATTTATAGTTTGATAATGAGTTAATGAATACATAAATAGCACAGACATTCTTAAAATACAAAATTATTTTTTATATCAGCAATATCTTTTTGAATTACTTTAATGAAAGAAAGATCATTCATAAACATTGATTTTCATCTAATTTTTTGAATATATTCTAGTTTGAATGTACTATAGTTTCAGTTGGTTGTATCTTTTACAAATGATTATAATTATAATTCGTTGATTAACTTTTGATAAAGAAAAGTCTAACAGAAGAGCAATTACATACTTAAAAAAATTACCGATGAAGTTTAAAAGGACCCGATTAATTATAGAAACTCGATAAAATTCTCGGCTATGTCGATGACCCTCAAATGTTTTGCAACTATAATATATTTCAGTCAATCTGTAATAGCATCCTTTTTACGGGGTCAATTAGTTTAGTCCTGGTTTCATAGAAAAGAAAAAAAAACTCCTAAACTCAATTATTTCTTCCATGCATTTTTGCAATTCTTTTCGAAATTTGATGAACTAAGACCTCATGTAAAGTAATAAAACATTGATAACGTCATTGATTGTCAAGATTTAACCATTATTTTTTTGTCAAGATTATCAGAAAGATGTGTTGCTTTTATCCGAAGGCCAAAGAATCTCTCAACTTCATTATTTTACCTTGATTCAACTTTCTTTTAGGATGGTGATGATACATCAAGAATGAATTGTAAATAAATCTTTATTATTATGTTTTTATTTTTTTTTCATTTGTTACTTTATAGTGGAAACAATTGATGAAACTGAAAGTAAACATGAAAAAGAAAGTATTTCAAGCCATGCAGGTAAAGAATCAGTCCAACCAGGCATAGGTCCTTCGACTACAACTGAACCAACCACAAATGTAATTCTTTTTTCGCTAGGATTTCTATAATAAATTGTACTTTTGTTTAGAATTTAACAAAACCATTACCAATAACAACTACTGGTCCGCAAACGGCAGCAGACAAAGCTGTAAGAACGATATTATTTATTTAAAAAACAAAGTGTTCTTTTTCTTTCTTGCTTTTTTATTATTTATTAGTCAAAAATAGCTAAAAGTCGCGTATGTGAATTTAATTATTGTCTAGTTATTGTTCTATACATATTCTTTTTCTTTATCTGATTGAAGAAAAAAATATTGATTAATAAAATTTTATATTTAGGAAAAAGCTAAACGAAAATCAATTCGTTCAAAAAAAGAAGCAACAAATCAAAGTGCTGCCGAAGATCTAAGTGAAACATATCGTCGTAGTCAAGAATTACTTGAATCATTATTAGCTGATAAAAGTGACACCGCTCCTGATCTTAATTCATTATTTAAACCAACACGTGGTATCGATTTAAATAATGTAACTATTGACAATTTACCAACAGCATTTACCAATCTACGAAGATTTGTATGTTTGTGCACAAATATGAGAACAAGAGAGAGAGAAAGAAATCATTTTACATTCATATAGGCCATTATTCGTGTGAAAGAATTATTAAAAGAACTCGAAACAAAAGAATCAACAAACAAGGAGACTGTACAAATTTTAAAACAAGAATTTGTTGAGCATAAAACAAAATATGAAAAGGTAAAGAGAAAAAAGAGATGGCGAAGTTCGACTTTTTTTAATATTTTTTTTTTCGTAAAAAATAAACCATTCAATTTTCAAAATAGGAACGACTTCTTTACTTTCTAAGTCGTGACGCAGATGAAAATACATTGGAAGAGGTTGGATTGTTGTTGTCTAGTCCGTGTTGTGTTTTTTTGTTTTTTGTTTTCTTATTAACTGATATAATTATTTGTAATACTAATACATTTTTAGGAACAAAATGCATTAGCTGAAAAAGCAGATAATGCACATAAATTACAATTAAAAGCGCAAAAGACAGCCGAAGAAGCATTGAGTCATTTAGAATTATTTATGGTCGAACAAGAAAAATTGGTAATTTGATTTAAATATTTAAATTCTTTTTGTTTTTAGAGAGAAAACGATTATTTGTATAGTGTTGACAGATACTTTAGTTTCTCACGGCATACTAACAGCAAGATAGGATATAACTAAAAAAGAAAACAAACTTTAATAATTAAATAAACTTATAATATCTGGTAAAAGTTGATCAATATTCTTAAAATCTTCTTTTTATAGGATCAACAAGACGTTGCTCGCCAAACCGATCTTGTTCATCGCCATTCCGTTGTTGTTAATAATATGACTGGTGCTAATATAACTCCACCAGATCATACTGATCTCATTGAAAATACAACGAATGATCGTTTATCACCTAATCCAAAGGTAACTCTAATCAAATTTTTTCTACTAATTTCTAACCTCTAACATTAAAAAATTTACTAATCAGCGTGTATCATCATCAAAAAATCAATGGCAAAAATTATCTGGTATCGGTAGTGGATCACCAAAACCAGAAGGAGCTGATGACACAAAATCAATTATGAATGAAACAGTACAAACATTACAACGTTTATCTAGCTTTCATAAATCATCGCCACCTAAACAAACACAACGAACAGATTCCATCGAACAACGACAACAATCACCTTCAACACCATTATTACGTCATACAACACAAGAGTTATTACGTAAAAAATCTTCTCTTGAACAACATCAACAACCACAGCAAGATCGTTCAACATCATCATCACGTCGTATAAGTGCAGCTATGAATGATGATTTAATTCCATTATCAAAAGTAATCACACCGCATCCATTTGATCGTACGCCATCAATGCCTTCACGTCCATTAACCCGATCAAATTCAATGAATCCAGCAAACAAAGATCATGAAAAATTTTCTAGTGGTGAACGATCTTATTATGCATCTGCTGTACAATCACGTCGAGTATCAATAGGTTTGAATCGTTCACCTGTACGAGCTGAAGAACTTGAACGAGTGCTTACTGAGGTTATTCTCTAATCGTTGTCTTGTACGGCTTTTTTGTTTTGCTTAACAATATTTTCTTATTTTTTGATTATTATATTTTGAAATTATTTCTCTTTTTCTAGCTTGTTAGTGAAGAAATTGAAGCATTAGAAGATTTTCGACGAACATCAGTTAAAAGTCGTACATCATTACGAGAAAAATATATGTCTTTATTAGAAGAAAAAAAACATCAACTAGATGATCTTAAACAACAAGCTGATATTACTTTATCACGACCAACGACATCAACAAAAGAAAGAAGACCATTTGATTCACTAGAAAATAGTACAGGTAATTTAAATATGATGAAAACTTAAGAGTTCTTTTAAAAAATATACATGACAAAGTGGATAAACAAAATTCACTTATTCTTTCGTTGATTTGACTTCACAACACGTGAATATTTTTTTTTGTACAGTTTCTATTCATCAAAAAATACAAAAATGAAATTGAATATATTTACATGCCAAATTTACATATAAGAGCTGTTAGCACAATCGATGCAGGATTAAAATGTGAAAAACGATGTAGCTATTGTTACTAAATCACAAGACGATTGCTTTAATCTGTCTATTTTGAGAAATATTTCAACACTATTCTTTTGCTTAACCCTCTAGAAATGTAATAATAAAGTAGTTCATATATCATTAATGAGACATTAGTGATATATTATCTGTCATGAGCCGTTTCTAACGTATCTGTCTTGTCTGTAGTGGCAGGGTACATCCGTACTTAGTTATATTGCAAAAACATTTGCAACTAAAAAGTTGTTAACGATAATACTACCCGAAACTGACACCTGTCGTTGGAACTTATATTAGATTCACAGACAGGTCTCAATGAGATTAACAAAAGCCTAAAACGGTGCGTTTTTATAGGCTTTTGAAACGGAGTTACGAGCGGTTTACTGGATTTTCAACTCATTTGTGGGTAGTTCGCGAAAAATCAAATCACGGAGTTCGGATCTAAAAGTTTGCCTATAGATAGGTATAATGAATCTTAGAAAATTCTGAAAGTGTCAACCGAAAAGAATATTCCTTCGTCAAGATATTGGATTTTCAAAAGTAACTCTTTGCTACAGACATTTCACAAAATATTGAGTTCACTTGAAAAGTCAATAACTCGACGAAGGAGTACTCTTTTCGGTTGAAATTTTCAGAATATTCTAAGAGTTCATAGTTATATTCATAGGCGAAAGATTTTGGTTCGAAACTCCATCATTTAACTTTTTCGGAGGGTACCTAAAATGGGTCGCAAATCCAGTGAATTACTGATATCTCGGCGCTAAACTGGTGGGTGTCAGTTGGGTTAGTTTCCTTATAAGCAGATTATCAATGACTTTTAGATATCAAAAGAGATTTCTGCTTTATTGTATGTTTTGTATCCGATATAAATCACCCAAACAATTAGTAATCAGTAACAGTTTCATCCTTCTCGTAGAATTAATAAGACCATCGTCTAGTAGAATAAAAATAATTTCTTTTCTGATACATGACTATCCATTGTTCGTCTTTGTGTTTATATGCATCGCGAATAATCTTAGATCTAATTATATCTTGCATTTGCCATTTATCGTATGTCTTCTTCTTTTATCCTTACTTAACAATTATTATAGAAATTTATAATTCTGTATGAATACGAAGGCAATTCATTTCAGGTCTTGTCAAACAACAATCAACAGCTTCTCAATTGGATAGTAGTGGTCCTGGTGAACCTACTAGTAAGAAAGAAAATCGAACAAGTAAATTCTTTCATCTTCTTCGACCAAGCCTCGTAATCATAATTTCTTTTTTCAGTTTTAATAAAACATGATCAACAACAACAAACATCACTTAATAGTTCTCGACTATCGTCTGCTCACAAAGAAAAGTAAATATAATCAGATTCTATATATTTTTTTGTTTTGCAACTACATATTATTTTTCATCTTAGACCAAATATCTCTCCACCACAAGTCATACATACTGATCAATTTAGAGTTCCATTTTTTCATTTATATGAAACAATCTACAAATTTCGTCACTCAATAATTAATTTACTTGAACAAAATAAATTTCTCTCACTTGCTGATCGTCTTGATATGATTAAGCAATTATCAACATCTGATAACAATTTAACTAATGATTTTGTTGATAATTCTGAACGTGTACTTAAAGATACAGTTAAAGTTTTGCAAACATGCATGACCACATTAATATTAACAAACAATGAAAATGAAAATGAAAGTAAACAAAAAGAATCGTCATCTGAACAATCTGCAACAACAATGCAAACTTCAACAGTTAATAATGATCAATCATCAATTGTTCAACAAAAAGAATCTATTATTGATGATTTAAATAATAAATATCAACATATATCACAAGTACTTGATCAAACTAATAAAAAACATAATGATGAAATTATGTAAGAAAAATATTTTTTCTTTTTCTTTAAAATCACATTTTTTCTTATATAGACAAAATGAACGTATTATTACTGATCAACAAAAATTAATTCAAAATCTTCAACGTGAATTAATGCGCCTTCAAAAACGTTTATCGAAAGTGGAAGCTGATGGCATTGTTCAGCCAAGTATTATGTTTACTCGTCTTGATGCTGAACGTAATGAGAAAACACTTAAACAAGCTGTTGATAAAGGAAAACTATCCGAAACAACAATGAATGTAAGTTTATTGATCTTATACAATTTACTAATGAAGGATCACCCCCCAAATGTGACTCAACAATTAAACTGTTATTTTGCCTATAAAGAGACTCCAAGAAGACTAGCAGAAGTTCATACAGGTTCATCCCCATGCACTGTCATTCTCAAGGTATTAAAGAAAGTAGGATCCGTATGAAAGACATTTCTATGATTATGAAAGATAATGCAAAGAGTACAGTTATACATTTTATGACGGAGAATCTGAAGTGTTTGAATAAATAGCATACTGCCTGCTATTTATTTCACCTTTATAACCGCCCGAACATACTCGACATAAAATTATTTCATTGCGGAGTACATGTTAATGGTCGGTATGTTTTCTCCTTTGATAACTTCTAATAAATTGACTCAATTGTAAAAAATTCTATTTCTAAATCCTTTAATAAAGAACTAATGCTTGTTATATAAAATATTTTCTTTTGATTCAGGAAATAAGTGGAACGATGGAAGATTATGTTCGTTTACCGACTCAACAATTTAGCAACATCGTTAAACGATATATTCAACATCGAAAAGCAACTGAACTTGAAGGTAAACAAAATAAAATCACATTTGCTTATTTATTTATTTTTATTCTAGATCGTATTCAAAGTGAAACATTTGATAATGAAGCAAAAAGTGTTATGGAAAGAATGGGATCCTTTTATGAACGAGTTAGTTTAATAAACAACAATTTTTTTACTAAATTTATTGTTTATAAATTAATTTAGCGCTCAGGAAAATTAAGCGAACGCATATCAAGTATTCGTCAACATCGTACAACATTAGCACGAACATTAACAGAAAAATTCGATGATCTTGAACATGAAAGTAGTATATTTTTAATTCGTCCAGTTTATTCCTACCAAGGACGGTATGTATATTTTGATTTCATTAATAATTTTTTTTTTCAAAAAACGTTTTCAATTAAAAGAACTGCTGTTCAATCCTATATGGAAAATGAAAAACGACGACAAGAATCATTTTTAAAAGGAAATGATAAAAAGAAAAAATCTCAGCGTAGTCGATTATCAGAATCTACAAGTGATCAACGAACTAATAATAATAGTCGAGAAATGATAACAGCATTATCATCGACAAGTACATCCGATGAAGAAGAAAGATTATTTAACGTAAAATAAATTTTATATTTAATTGTTTGTTTGTTTCTTTTTATAAATAAATTTTAGATCGATAAAAGTTTTTCTCTACTAAGACCAACACCAGCTAGTCAACAATCATCTCAACATGCTGAATTAGCTGGTGGAAATGTTAATACAGATACTAAACCAAAGCAAACACAATTAGGCGAAATGCCACGTTTACAAGAATTTGATATTCAACGTACACTAATGCCAATGTCTCATGCTAGTGTACCGTTAGCATCAGCTAATACAAATAATGGAACTGATCCATCTGTACCATCAGTTAATTTACGTTCTTATGTAACATTATCACGACCCGGTATCGGTGGAACTGTTCAAAATGGAAAAACAAATGATACTATACATCCCGTTTCAAGAACTGATTTATCTACTTTATCAGGTAATTAAAAATCTTGATTTTTTTCTTTTTACTTGATGAAATTCATTTTATAAAATAGTAACAAGTCAATTAACAAATCCTCGAACACCATTCAATTCAACTGTTGGTGATTTAAGACGAACAAGTCCTCCTTTACCACCAATAAAACGATCATTGACGACAAGTGGATCACCAACGATTGATGAAAGTAAGAATACAAAAATATCTTATTTGAAAATTTTAAATAAAAAATGTTTTAGAACGCGGTGAGGAATTTATTCCATCGGTTAGTACTAATGAATTTGCTTCAAATGATCATACGACAACAGACGATAAAAGTGGAGAGAAATAATGTAAATCTAAATCACTTTTATTTTTAAATAAAATATTTAATTGTCACTAATATTTTCTTATTGTTCTATTCAAGTTTCTTATTATACAAGAACATCAAATTTTAATTGACGAATTATTTCAAATTTTCCTTTTAATATCTTGAAGTTATGTTTTTGCATATTTGTTTTCAACATGAAAAATTCATAATAATCTAACATTTTAAATTTGAAATAATAAATTGTTTAAAAAAAATGAATGCTTGACTATTTTACAATGAATATTTCTTTTCAATTTCAATTAATTTACTACAATTTAATCATATATACAACATGTTTTCCAAAAATAATTCGAATCAATCATATCAAATGATGTTATAATATAAAAGGTTCTATAGCAGTTGCCTTCTCATGGCACTTTGTTGGAATTTTTATTCAATTACAAAAAAACAAGCCTCTTCTTATCGACTATAGATGTGTACAACACTATTTCTTTTTTTCATGTGTGTGTTTGTAGCAAGAACAAGGGCTCGTGTTACTATATCAAGTATAGTTCATAGAATCTATTCAATCTAATTTACAAATAGGTTTGAATAACATGTCTTTCCAAGATGAAAATGATGAGGTTTTCATGATTATTGAACGATTCATTCGACTTCTTGAATGAATTGCTAAACAGATCTAATTAAATTTATATAGCGAAAATTCTATTTTCACTTAGCAAAGACTAAGAAAAAGACTTTTCTCTTGACAAATAATTACTTGAATAGATATTGATGTACTTTATTCAGTGTATATATTCGACGTGAAAATGGATATCGATTGTTAACACAATAGATTATAACATTACTATTGCACTAACGAAGGAAGGTCCTCAAGTGTGACTTTCCGTTTTGAATCGGGTATTTGTCATTTTGTAGAGCTCAGTGAGTACAGTAACTGCGTATAAAGGATTTCTTCCCATGGTGAACTTTTCAGGAGCAATGAGGTTCCATATCTTCTGAAAAATCATCATAAGACTGTTAACTGAAGGCTTGAATTTTGATATTGTAAGGACAAAACATAATGTTGTTCGAGCCGATTATGGAGTTTGTAGGGACCCTCTTTCATATGGTCCGAACAATATCATGTTTTGTCCTCATAGTAGTACAGTGAATATTTTTGGTGGCTAATAGAAAACGCTGTTTTCTATGAGCTATAGAAAAAATTCACTCTACTATTATAAGGACAAAAGATGGAGTTGTTCGGGCCAATCTGGGGTTATCAAGAATGTTCTTTCATATGGCTCTAATAACAATGTATTTCATCCTATAATAGTAGAGTGAATTTTTTCTATAGCTCATAGAAAACAGCGTTTTCTATTGGCCACCAAAAAAATTCACTGTACTATCATAAAGATAAAGCATGGTATTGTTTAAACCATATGAAAGAGGGACCCTACAAACCCCATAATCGGCCCGAACAACACTACGTTTTGTTCTTACAATATCAAAATTCAAGCCTTCAGTTAACAGTCTTATGATGATTTTTCAGAAGGTATGGAACCTCATTGTTCCTGAAAAGTTCACCATGGGGAGAAATCCTTTATATGCAGTTACTGTACTCACTGAGCTCTACAGAATGACAAATATCCGATTCAAAACGGAAAGTCACGGTTGGGAACCTTCCCTCGTAAGCTGAAAAATATAAATCGTGTTAAGTTTTGTTTTTGTTATTTTCAAGATCTGAAAAAGTCATTATACCAAAAGAACCTATATTGTATCACAGCTGAACAATAGAACTAAATCAAACAGAATGAAAATCTAATATACCCTTTTCCACTTTCTCGAAAATTTTATATGACAAACATAATTGTTTTTCACGATCTATGAGATAGAAAACAATCATCCTATTTGTCTCACTTTAGATTTCTACATGTATGAAAAAATCATACTACACAAACTATATCAGTGTTAAGCAAGAATCCCTTTTTTTTCTATTATGAATCCATAATCAATATGCGATGCGCGATTTACAGACATGAAAAAACAATGTAACACAATAAATATACGCTAGCGGAATCAAATATCTTTTCTGCTTATTGATGAGTAAATTCTCCAAATAGTATACATTCATGCTATTTTACTTTTATAAAAGTATGAAACAAGATTTGTAATAGAATTAATTAATTAAACACATTATGAAACAATTAAAACAAAAAAAAAGTCAATGTAATTCACCATGATTTTCGAGGGGTGGACCATTCCCACTTCATAGAGAAACCGTTCCACTTCTAGAAGAAATGGTTTAACCTCAAATAGTTAAGCAGAAATTCTTTTTTCAACATCGAATTCCCCTTCAACACAAATCAATACTTCACCATATACCACAAGAAACGGTTAATTTTGAGGAGGAAATCCTTCATCCATATCTCCAGTTTTAAGGAGAAATGGATAATTAATTTTGATCCAATTCTCTATTTATAAAGAGAAATGGATTTATTCAAAGAGAAATCGATTTTTCTATTTTCTCTCTTACATAGAATTTTCTAGCAGATATGGATTTTTTCCAGCAGATATGGTTTAAATAGCTGGAGAAATGCTTCATCCATTTCTCTATTTATAAAGAGAAATGGATTTATTCTTAGAGAAATCGATTATTTTATTTTCTCTCTTAGAGGCTTCCGGTGATGAAAGCAATCAAAATTCAGTTATTGAGGTGTCTACTAGCAGAAAAGGTTTGTTTATTATGTATACGCATATATTAAAATGAAACCAGAACAAAAGAGCACTAATCATCAGCACTGTGAAAGAGAAAACATTTCCCTTTAAATTGAAGTATATGCACAATATCATATAATAGATTATATGTATATGTGTCAGGCAAAATTAGGACTTAGGCAAAATTAAACTTGCATTTTGAAAAATTAAATTTCTAAAATAAAATCGGAATTTATTCATTTGATAATGCATAAAATAAACTGAAATTTGAAATTTCGTAAGTTCATTTTAAAAGTATATAGCGAAATTGAAATGTAAAGTACGCTAAGTATTTCTATTACGATTATCATTCAATTTGCGAAGATGTAGAGTTCGCTAAAACTTTCTATTAAAATCATCATTAAATTTAAGGTGTAGAGTTCACTAGCTATTTCTTAAATAATTATTATTAATTTTAGGAAGATATAGAGTACGCTAGCTATTTCTATATAAAATTGTATACTTTTGAAGAAGATGTAGAGCACGCTAGCTTTTCCTTTGAAAATTGTATATTGCTGNTTGTTTTTATATGTAACTCGTTTGAGATATTCTGTGAACGAGAGTCTTTAGATTCAAAAGAAAAAATTAAGTTTTTACATCATTTGCACATTTTCTATGAGATAATAAGAGCAAAAAAAATAAGGCACACTAATATGACTGGTTACCGGTACCAATTCGATCTCTGTATTAAATAAATGAGAAAATTTTTCAAAACGATTCTAAAGTATTATTCTCAGTGTTCCTAAACGAAAATTCTTCATCGCAGTTCTTTACACAGTTTTAAGTGCTTTAAAAAAAATGTAAGAAATCTCAATCAATTCGACATTATCTCAAATCCAAACTATCTACGTATGTTTTGAATTTGATCATACATAGGGATAAGAATATTGTTTTGAAAATGTACAAATGATGTAAAAACTTAATTTTTTCTTTTGAATCTAAAGACTCTCGTTCACAGAATATCTCAAACGAATTACATATAAATTCCTCTTAACTTGTATTAATCTTTTATTTAAAATAATTCAACTGAACTGTCTATTTTATTCAAATTTTGATAGTTGCTATTAATAATCTGATCAAAGTCAACTACGATTATGAAAAGAAAATTCCTGTAGACTTTTCAGCATATCAACAAAAAACAACTATTGCTAACAATTTTATACCTCAAGTTTCGAAATAAATTCATCAATTTGTGTTCGTTTATCAAATACAAGTTCTCCATATTTATCTGGAAATAATACTTGATCATTATTATTTAAATTTAATCGACAACCATCTATAACTTGAAACCATTCACTCGGATAGATTGTAACTAATAATTGATTTTGATATTTTTCATAAATCTCACTAAAATTTAAATAAAACCAAAACTCATACATCCAGAAAAGAATGATAAATAATCTACCGTTTTTCATCTAAACTTCTATTTTTTTCTAAAATTTCATCCAGTAACCATTGTGGTATTGAATGAAGAGTATCTAAAAGAAAATTCAATTTTTTATGAAATTGAAATAAAATATATCTGTTATAAATACTATCTGAACAATCCATTTTTGGTCTATGTCGATCTTTTTGTCTATAAAATAACATATAAGCACAATCATTTTGTCCATAATGTTTTTTTATTTGTTCTCGTGTAACACATGTTACAATTGAATCATCAAAACAGAACCAATGTTCATCATCATCATGATCATTATTTAATGAATTATCATTTTGTGATGATTCATAATCCATTTGATCAATATCATGTTCATCAATATCCATTGGACAATTTCGTTCAATTAATCGAACACGTTTATCATCAACTTCAAATATTTCTGGATAACTTCGAAGAAACTATTTTCAAAAAAAAATCAATTAAGACTTTAAAAGAAAACGGTAATCTATACTTTAGTAAATGAACCATGAACACCACGTGTACGATTCCATGACATTGTTGTATTTTCACGATAAGTCTACAAATCAAATATATTTATTTTAAATTGATTTAATAAAACTTTTTTTTCTTTTTACATACTTGAAGAAGATAATCGATAGTAACCCAATCGTCACATGATAATAATAATGTTTTAACTAAATCAAGTTTTTTCATTTTTTCTTCTTGTGTGTCAGCAGACTCATTTGAATTTCGATTATTTCGATTATTATTAGGTGAAGTATTGGATGCATTACTATTTTGAGTATTTGTTGATTTTTGTTTATTTGATGATTTCGTCTAATTGAAATAGAACAATTGAAAAATATAAAAAAAGATAATATCTTTGAAAGAACTCTTTCAATATTGATATTGAAGATTGTATTTAGTTTGATAAAAGCTTCAACTATGCCATTGGATAACAATTCATTTCAATCAGAATTATTCAAAGCAATAAGTTATCAACAAGAGCTTTGGAATTAGTCTTAGGACAAGAATCTAAAGATATATTCTGATTTAATCTCAAAAATGATCTAAAGTTCTTGTGATTTTATTTTGAAACGATAAAAAAAAACTTGTTCACTAAAATTTATGAACTATTAACTGTTAAAAAGAATATTTTTTTTATCGATTCATCTTTCAAATAACGGACTCTACAAAATCGATAGTTTTGAAAAAAAACGGAAATTTTGAATTTTTCGAAACAAAATGTTCTCTATCTACATTCAATAGAGATCTTTCGGAATTTCTATATGATATAAACCGATGAAGAAGTTCACTAATGCAGTAGATATATTTCGAAAGCTTAATTCTGTTCTTAAGTCACATGCTTCAACTAAAGTCAAACAAGGTGATAGTTCAAAGAAATGAGACAGAAAAGGATTCAAGCTATTGTAAAAAAAGAAAAAAAGCGAATCATCGACTATATTCAAATATTTATGTAATTAAAGAACTTTTATCGTACTGAAGGTGATGGTGGTGGTGCACGTATCCATGTACCAATCTGATCGATATCTTTGATATAACCATAATAATGTCCTGAATAACATGTGCCTTTATGAATAACAACGGCAAATAAATCATAATTTGTTTCAGTAACTGAATCCTTCAATGAATATAAATAAATTTTCAATGTAAAAAAAGAACAAAAAGAATTTTTCTTACTTCACAAAATTCTTTTAAATCGATCTCAAATGGAAACTCATAACGTGTAGTTTTTTTCTGTCGACTACCAGTTTTAATATCATAAACAAAACGTTGTAATGGTAAAGTTAATATTGGTGGTAATTTAGTTATTTTTGCCCACTAAAACAAAACTAATAGATTATTATTATAATTGTTTCCTTTAATTTAACCTTTTCAGCATCACATAAATTATTCGCACAAGATGAACATCGATATTGATTATCACCAATTAACTGTTCACGAATGGTAAACATACTTGCTAAAGATGTTTGTAAATTAGGACTATCTTGTACAACTAATGGTAAATCATGATAATCTTCCTAAAAGAGAATCTGAACTAATGAGCAAAAGTCTCCATCATACCACATCTCAGCTACCACAGGTGTTGGAGGTCTAAAAATTTGTGCACATATAATCCACCAAGAATGCAGATCAGAGCCATGAGCTTATCCTGATTACTAATATACAACGAGAATCATGATGAATGGTAATGGATAGCTCTTATTTTTTCTTTGAATTTTATATTTCTGAAAAAGAAAACGCATCAAAGTCAGCTGACCTCTTATTATTTACGACTACACTCTAGCTATCGACGCCATTAAATATATCGAAATTCATAAGCCCTCGCTAGCATTGTGGCCATTTTACTTTGATTATTCGAAGAGCGAAAAAGTCTGTAGTGCGAAGTCTCACAAACGAACCATCTTCTTAAAGGAAAAACGGTACGCCAATAACTATTGTGCTAGTGACGAGGACTCACATATCTCCAGAGACAACAATTTTGCAGAAAATTACATGATCTTTTGCGTGCAAAAACGATCATACACTGGACTCTAGTTGCATATCAAAATATCAAGAATCAGTTATCTATTTGATAAAAAGTGACACAGAATTTAGTAGACACTTGTTTTAGATTCAAAATCGGCTCTGTCCATTATAATCCTTGTTGTGTTTAAACAACCGATGGAAGCTCATGATTCTGATCTACATTCTTGGTGAACTATATGCACGCAAATTTTCAGATCCCCAGTACCTATGATAGTTAAGATCTGGTGACAGCGAAAGATTTTGTTCACTACTATATAATTAAAAAACAAAAAAGCATTTACTGATCGTTTAAATATCTTTTGACATCTTTTACATTGTGTATAATTGATTGTAGATCCTTCATAACATAAACGTATTAAATCTGATTGTTTTGTACCTTGTAAAGATTTTTGAATCGCATCAAATAATAGACGATTTAGTTCATGAACATCTTGATGATCAATAGCCTATTTACAATAAAAAAAAAGTTTTACCTTTTTTATATCAATATAAATATAATATAAACTTCATTCGATTGCCAGCCGAAACTATCTGTTAATCGAATTGATGAGCAAGCTTGTTGATTCAGTAAAAGCATTTCAGCAAAAAGACGTTGTAATTCAACAATTATTTTACGAACCTGTTATATTTTTTTTATTGTAGAATAAATAATGAAATAAGAAAATAAATAGATTAATTTACTTTTAAACAACTTCCACTAGATGATATTGAATTTTGATCGTTGTAATTTGCTGAAAGATTAAGATCTTTAGGAGTCAGACGGAAAAGAGGTTCTAAAAAAAAAAGATTTTTATTTCAAAAGTTATGAATCGAAAATCAAAGATTAGAGGGTCAAGCTTTGTATCGTAACTAAAAACTTTAGATCGTAGTAAAGCTGGATCAGAAAAGCAAATCGTTACGAAGTAGACATTTTCTTTTTTTTATTACTGCTCTCATTTCATCAAAAAAAAAATCTTGAGTGATTTTTATTACTGATGAAACAGAGATCATCATCATGACTAACAATGATAAAGAAGAGTACTTGCGTTCATTTTGTCCAAATCATTAATAGAATGTTATGAAATATACAACGACCTTCCAAGAATATTCGATTATCCTAATTCAGTTGTCTCTACATGGTAAATGTTTTTATCATGATCAGTCATAATACTAATGTCTATAAGAGAAGCTATTTGTGAACTTCCATATTTTATGAATAGTGAAGATGACGAGATTCGAATGTCGCATTCCAAAATAACCGAAGTTTTCGAGTATTTTAGCTCTAACATCATGATTTATTGAGTAAATTCGAATAGTTGTTTTTATCCAATGATCAGTGCAATGAGCTTTACAGACAAAAGAATTCTTCTGACAACCTTTTGTTTTTTGCGGTTAATTACTCATGGAAATATCCACAAAAAAAATACGATTGGCAAACATTTTGTCATTGGTAATTAGCAATGTATGTGGACAGAAACATTTTGTTCATTTCCGCATATGTTACGACATATTACGCACACGAGTATTTTGTTTTCATCATAGCTTTGAATGAAATATTAATAAAGTTTATTTAGTTACCATGAGTGCATTTTTAATGGTATCTATGATTTGGTAACACGAATGGGGCTCTCCGGACTCTTGCTCCCCGAATAGTTGAGAGTGTAGGCGCAAGTCTGAGTGAGGGTGAGGACGTAGATGTGGATGGGGATGTGGGTGAGGGCAAGACAGAGAGTGAGTTTCGGTTTTGATTTGGGCTTGATCTGGACCTCGAGAGCAAATGTCACTGGGGAGCAACTGTCGCGGGAGCATCTGTCCGGGGAGCAACTTTCATGGAACCCTATGATTTGATCTTTTTCTAATCTTAATTATTATGTTTTCATCAGAAAACAAAATTTCTTCTTTATGAAATATTTATCTTAATTAGATCTATAACTATTCGTGCTTAAATTTTTGACAATTCAATTCATCTCAACTAGAATTCCGTCAACGTTAGTTTAACCATGTGTATGATAAGTTAATTCTTTTCCCATCCCGTAAAATACATACCACGAAATTCAGGTGTAAAAAGTAATGTTTGAATAAGTACATTTAGATAACTATTAAAACAAAATTCATATTTGAATTAGATCGAAGAAAAGAAAAAAGTCTCACCAAGTAGCGCCTTGATTTTGTAATCCGCACAAATTCGTTTCATTTCTTGGAAATGGTGGTTTTTCGATAGATTTTATAGTTGTTACTTGATGGGAAACTACACATATAAAATATCGTGAATAAGAATATTTCTTTCGAATGTCTTACTTACATTCTCCTCCTCCAGCATCTTCTACAAAGAGATTTCCTAACATTTTATGAAAAATCTAAAGATCAAGCAAACCAGATCCGTTATTTTACTTTAATTCAAAAGAAAAAAGAAAAAATAACCGCAACAATCACTATTATCACAAAATTAGTGAATGAAAGTAATTATTTTGGAAAAAAAACACTTCTTCAATGATCAGCAGCACTTTTATTTTTCTCTAAATATTCTTTATATTTCTCTTCATTCATCAATATATTTCCCATATCATTTTTATTTTTTTCATCAATTATTGCTTGTACAAGCCAACCATCACTATATGGACTTTTGTTAATTAAATCAGCTTGAGTTTTTAAAGTCTCATTGATCTTTGATATTTCACCATCAACAGGCATAAAACAATCAGCAACAGCTTTAACAGATTCTAATGTTGCAAATGTTTCCTCACGTTTTAATTTTGTACCAACCGTTGGTAATTCACAATAAACAACATCACCGAGAGCATTTTGTGCAAAATCACTGATACCGATTCGAACTTCATTTTTATTATTAATCATTTGTACCCATTCATGTTTTTTTGTATAATAACGTTCTTGGAATACACGTGATGTTATATGGAATTGACGAATGGAATGAAATTTAATGGCATTACGAAATAAAACTAAAGATAATGCCGACATGGAAAATTTATTTTTATTGTTTTAGTTTTTATTTTTTATCAGTTCGAAAAAATAAGTAAGAACCAGGCTGTGAGAGTGTGAATAGTAAACAGGTAAGGGAAAATTTTAGATTCGTTAGAATTGTGACCAATCATGAATATTGATAAATCAGAAAAGAAAAGATGTCTCGATATGTATTCTATAGTCGTACGATTTATTTCAATCGACTTACGAAACATTAAATGTAACATAGAAATACAATCGATAGTAGTCAAAACACTACAAAACGTTCTTCTTTTTACCAGTAGTTAGTGAAGGAAATCTTTTATTACTATTATTGAATAAAATTTTTTGATATTTTAAATATAGGTGAACGAAAAATAAATTGATAAAAAATTTTATATCCTCATCTGATTGATCTTTTGTATTAATAGTTAAGAAAAAGCGGTGAGATAAAGAAACTAGATCAAGGAGGAACAGTAGACATTTTTTTGACTTTCATCTTGTTAAGGATAGATGATTGAAGACGAAGAAATGAAATAAGTCGATGAATATAAGACACTCACAATAGTATTGGAATATTGTTTTAGAAATAAGTAGAAAGTCTATTGTCAACCGTAGAGTAAGAATAAATCATTCTACAGCGGAAATTTTGGTATAATTTAAAGATTGCTTTAAATGCATGACTAACATGATGATAATGGAAAATATGAGAGATCTGTTCAGATATCGAAATAGAAACTTGCCAATCAACTATATCACAATAATTTATAACCATTTAAAAACACAATGAATGAACACTGGTATCATCTAATTCATGTCATTAGATGCTAAAAGAGGAAAAACAGAAATTGAGCCATTCGATTACTATAGTACAAAATACGATGTGTGCAAGTGAATATATAGTCACATGATTAATGTGCACTTTGCACTTGATAAAAATTTCTTCAATGCAGCTTGCATGATGCATTATTGTTTGTTTTATAAAATAATTCATTGTGGATGATTTGAGTAATCTTTTCAGTCATAGAAAAAATTCATATACATATGTTTATCACGTAGAAATGTTTTTCTTAATGTCATACAAGAAACCATTGTAACGATATATACATGCCGAGTATCTGAGTCACATAGCAAATATCAGAATAAAATGAGCTTCTTCATGAGAAAGATAAACAACAAATCGTAGACAAAAAAAACGGAGAGAACAACAAAAAAAGATTATGCATTTTAGAGAATCAAACAATATACGTTATTAAATTCTTCTGAAAATCGAAAGTATATTTTCAAAAATATTTGGACAATGCATATTCTAAAATTGAATTAAAATCCCGATAAACAGCATTTTTTCATATGAATTTAATAAAAAAAAGAAAAGAATTATTATTTCCGAAATAAAAAATCGTTCACCTTACTGAAAGCAAAATTTGTATAAAATCAAATTTAAAATAAATTAAAAAAAAGTAAGTCTTATCGAATAAAATTCTCGATTATAAAGAACGCTTTGGTATTGGCATATTAAAAACAGGTACATTTAATTCGTTCCAGTGTTGTGAATCAACAGTTTGTGGTGTAAATATAATATGTTGAGATGATGAATAATATAAAGTATTTTGATAAAGAATTTCTAGTGATGAGTTTCGTTTTTCATTATCCTAAAAATATTTTAAGTGAAAAGAAAAAAACAACCTAAAAGAAATTTTCTAATTTTACCATATAAATATCAATTTCATCAAGTAATCGAAATGGTTGATAAATAGATTGCCAAAGTGCAAGTAAAAAACAAAATGTTGATATGGATCGTTCACCACCAGATAATGATGCTGGATCTCTTTGATGTTTTTTTATCTTATAAGTAAAAGAATTTTAAATATTTTTTTTCTGTTTATTTAATTTAAGGGTATCCTCCTTCCTTTCGTCACCCAAAATTTTTGTGACCATTCTCCAGCTTAAAGTAGTCTCTATCCACTGAATATATTTTGAAATCCAAAAATTGTCTTTAAACATTAAAAAAAATCGAGAAAAAATCAGATTTACGAAAAACTCTACATTATTTCGAGTTTTTCTCCTAGATGCTTCAAATGATCGAACTGAAATGTTTCGTGTGATAACTAGGACGGAATCCGAATGTATATTTATTTATTTTCTTCTTAAAATAATGTTCTGATAATTTTTGGCATATCTTACAAAATTTTTTCTAGGCAAAAAAAAACACATTTTTTGAAAGGGCTTCCAATATTTTGGCCCAGTTGTTTGTAAGAAGGGCTTCAGGTCATTTTTGTTTCTTGCATCCCCTATATCTCATACAAAGAAGCATTCCAGAATTTTGAGAGTCAACGATAACTTCTACGATACCAGTCAAGATCTGTCTACCCTGAAAATTTCAGCATTTTTTGATCGAGTCTTTCTTAAAAAATCTTGGAAACGAAGGACGGAAGATGCTCTTAAACATACAATTAATTCAAGTTGTTCTTTTTTATGATCTATTTGAATATCACTCTCATCAAAATGATATTTTTTCATTAAATTTTGAAATTTAACACGAAGATAATATTGATGTTGTTCAGCGATTGTAAGAAAACCTTCTTGACGTTTGTTTATAAATTGTTTAAGATACTTTGAAAAAGAAAAATAATGTTTTTTATTTAATGAAAATTTATTTGTTTTTTTTTTACTGCAATTTGTTGATAACACCGTTCATATGTTTTTTTATATTCTTTTGCTGCATCTCGTTTTCTTCGATATTTATTAATTGCTTCACGACGTTTTTCATTACTAAAAAAAAAATTATATTAGAAAACGAAAAAAAAAAAAAAATGAAAATTCAGAAACTAATTTAACGAACGTGTCTTCATTTGCTTTAAGATAATTATTAATAGCATCGAGTTCTTGTTGAATTTCACGAACAGATCGAGTAATGTCAGTAGTATTTTTTGGTTTCTTAACATAATGAAAAGTTTTTAGATAAATACAGAAGATAAAAATTTACTTTTGATTGTTTTTTAGTTAATTGATTTAATTTTTTTTTATATTTAGAAATTTTTTCGTTAATTTGAATAGATTTTCTCTTTAACTTTTTAATTTCTTCTTGAATTACATAACGATTAGATTGTTCATTATTCATTTTTTCTATTAGATGATCATATTGATGAGTTTTGAAATCAATTTTTTTAACTATATCTTGATAGTTTTCTGTGATATCAGCAAGTAGTCGAAGATTTTCATCGTTTTCTTCTTTTGCTTCATCATATTTACGAATTGTTTCAGTATGAGTAGCCTGATAAGTTTTAGCTTTTTCTTGTAAATCAGCAAGAGAACAATCAAGAATGATTGGCATGGTAGAATTTAGACGATCGAGTTCCTTAAGAAACAAAAACATGTTTGAATATAAAAGATTTTATAATTTCGAAAAGAAAAAAAATCTAATATCTATTTTTAAAAACATATTCTCGAAAGTACGAAAGGATTTTCATTTCTATGTTATCAAACACAAAATATAATTCGAAAACAATTATTTATCAATATAGTTTTATTTTTTGCGTTGATGCTTACGAACAACTAAATTTATTCTTATATATTGTTGAAATAGACTGATGAATATTTAGTCTTGTCAAACATTACAGAATGAGGAACTTTACGGACAGCAGTTTTTCATACTTACATAAGTGCTTATAGATCACAATATTCTACTGGTGATCCATAATATGAAAAGGCTATTTTGTATGAATTACGAACAACAACTTATATCAGAAAAGATTTCCTGTTCTAGAAGTCGAGATTCTCGCTTCGTCCGTTATTAGAATTTATAAACTGTTCAGTTTCTTATTAGATTGTCTAATTAACTTCATGTGAAATCTTTTCAGTGTTATTAAAATCTGGCAAAAATTCCGTTATTTTCTTTTATCTTGAATTACCTTCATTAATTCTTTAATTTTCTTCTTATTGTTTGTACTTGCTCTTTTCGTTTGATTTATTTCATCCATTTTTGTTTTTCGAATTGTTTTTAATTCATTTATTGATGTATTCATTTCTTGAATTTGGCTATGTGGACGTTTTATATCATTTTCTAATTCATCAATTGATAATGATTCTATATTATGTGTGAAAAAATATTTAATTGATTGTTTATCATTTGTATATATACGAAATGTTTTATCAAATTTAATATTAGAACCATCCGATGTCCATGCTTCAACAACTTGTTTAACTTTTCTATCAATTTTTTCCCAATGTAATGTTTCACTTTGTCGTAATTGTTTAACTTCCTCTAAATTTTCAAGTAAAATAGTAGCTTCAATTTGTTTAAAATCAATTAATGCACATTCAACAGTTATATTATCAATTTTTAGTACATCATAAATCGATAAAAGATTTGCTTGTTTAATATGTTTCAATGTTCCAGATACATCATGAACTTTAGTTGTATGTGCTCGAATATAGACTGGTGGACGACGATCAAATGAATATGAAGAAAGTATTTCAAGTAGAATTTTTTCATCATGATTATCTGTACAAATAAATGATGACATTATAGGTGCAAGATGTTTTTCAACAGCATATGACCAATGGGAATCAATGCAATGAATATGAAGACCTAAGAAATAGAGAGAGAAAGAGAAAGGAAAATTTTAAGAAAATAGAAATTTTTCAAAAAATTTTACCTATTGGACCAATAGGTTTTTTATGAAATCTTTGATCTTTTTGAATTCTTTTTAAACAATCTGGCATCCATTTACCATAAACATTTGTTTTATCTTGATCAAGTTTAATTAATTCATCTAAATTTTGTTGTTTTTGTTTTAATTCATTTGTTAGAAAATCAATTGTTATTTGTTTATCACGAATATTTTCATCATTTATACGTATATCTTCTGTTAATGACATTATTATTTTATCCCATTCGATTTGTTTTTCTTGCCTATCGGATATTTCTTGATCAATTTTTAAACGCTGTTGTTCATTATCATCGGATTGGTGACTTAGATTTTCATATTTATCCTTAAAAATATTTCGGTTTGATTAAAAATACTTTTTTATGATAAGAATAAATTTTCAAAGCTGATTCAACAAAATACTATTTTATCTCTTGATGGTTTGCTCACTTATGTGTTTCTTTCTATTAATTTACATGAGAGGTACATTAGAACTTCTCATTCAACAATTCATACATGTCGCTTTTGGAGACCAATCTATTTTATTGATTTGTGAAGAATTAACAATAATGCTGGGTTCAAGAATATATGATGTATGTTATAGTTAAGGACACTTTTGTATTATTGAAATACCGAAGTAAAAAATGTATTCGTGATGATATTTCTTCATAGTTTGATCTTAAACATTACATTTCACATCTTTTCATAACAAATGGGCTAGAGCACATTGTTTCGAAAATTTTCAACTAATATTCGAATTCAATCAGATTTGAGAAACTAATTCTAACATAAATTTCGAATAATTGAATGTTGTTTTTTCTATTATTTCTTCAATGATGAATTCATCTCATACATTCTTGATACACTTCTGATAAGGAGAGAACATCAGACTTCAGAAGTCTTCAAGAGACTTTATGAGGCTTCAATGTATATTAAAAGTTTTTAGTGCAATCCCCACGGGATCACAATGTGAAACACCATGTAGTTGTTCTGTGGGTGAAAGGGTCTCAATTTCTACTCCATACTTCAAGACTTCGCAAGATTTCAAGACTGAAGGTTCCACTGTTTCCCTCGTCTTCTGCTCAATAGTAAAATTAGTCCAGCGGGTCAAAACATTTAGGCTCCCAGCGATCCAACCCATAAAATCCTTCGAACCAATCATCAGTAAGAGGAACGCATATTTTTCAACTTTACTAAATTATAGTCTAACTGAGATTACTGAGCACCGATTTTTTTTTTCTAATCATTCGAAGTCTTAAGTGTATAGTCTAAGAGAATCTGTTCTCACTATCGATTTCTCGATGTGAAATTGAAAAGAATGTAAACATTAGTTGTAAAATTTCAAATACATATATTATGAAACCAGACCATTTTTTTCTCGTTTTCTATAAATCTATTTCGAATATGTATCTTAAACGAATTGTGAGATAACAGTGTACTACGAAATAGATACATAAAAAACTTACTATTTGTTTTTGTAAATATATTTGTTCAAGTTCAACATCTGTTAAAATTTTACGATAATTTTCACAGTCTTGTGTAAGTGAATGAATTCTATATTGAATGTCTTGCTTTTGCTTTGAAAAATGTGATAATAATTCATTTAAACCATTTGTATCTTTTTCAAAATCACTTTTTTCTATTGAATAATTCTCTAATCTTTGATCTATTTCAAGAATTTTTTTCTAAAGAAAAAAACAAAAGAATTATTTTTCGAAAATTTATTTCCGCTTTTTTTGTATACATTTGCATCAATAATTTGTGCGCCAATATCATCTTTAGTCTTTTTTATTTGATCTAATTCATATTGTACCTCAAATAATTGCTAAATGTGAAAAAGAAATAAGTATTTAATTATCTGTTTTGTTTTCTGTTGAATCAAACCTGTCGTGCTTGATCAGCGCGAGCTGAAATAAGCTCAGCTTCTAATACATGCCTTTTCTCTTGATAATCACGTCTAAGTTCAATTTTTTTTACCTCTTGTTCTAATGGTTCTAGTTCTCGAAGCATATCAACATGTTTCTATTTTAGAAAATTAGCATAAAACAATGCGATTAATTAAAATAACTAATTCTACCTCTTTCATAGTATTAACTCGTTGAGTAAGCAACTGAACAGTGCAAACGCTCTGTTCATAAGCTTGCTTGATTTGATTTAATTGGGATGCTTTCATATAAAACTAAAAAAGATATTTGACATAAAGAAAATAATAATAATAATTAATTTTACTTGGTATTTTTTTCTTGAATCACTACTTATTAAAAATGTTTTTGCTATTTCTTGATGTAATACACATAATGGGTTTTCAGGAGATATTGATAGTGCCTGAATTATCTCATCAATTGTTTCCTTACGTGTACTTATTACTTTACGGTTAGCACCTAAATATTTCATTGAATTTATAGAAAAAAACATGTTGTTCGACTTTTACCTAAGATTTTATAACCGGACTGTCTAGAGCCGATTCTTCGAATAATTTGAATTTCTTCACCATAAAGTTCAGGTTTATATGCTTCTAGTCCCTCATTTGCTAAGGTAATAGTCAATTGAGCTGATCTAAATGTATAATAAAAGAAAATTTTAGAATGAACATAATACTTCTAAAAGAACTCAATGTTCTACTTGACAGTAGTCATGTGTTCTTAGAAGTATAGAAATTTAGAAAAATCTTTTTTCTACAAATGATCTATGCTAAAGTATAACATACGAAATTCTCTATCTTCTACACCTGGAATGAAGTCTTGCAATCATAGAATTTATTTTTAGAAATATATATATGAAGGGTAACCTCCACTTTGTGAATCGTATCTAAGTAGTTCTCGACAAGGGTACAATCAATAAGATTGAAACTTTTTACCATAGATAGAGTACCTGAAATAAGGAGACACTTGCTCACGAAAAAACATGTTCAAGCGGGTTTTCCATCGACCCACATCCTGGTACATCACGACCTCATCAAACTGTATTCGATCCAACCGAAAATTGTTTTGAAGATACCTCAGACTATATTTTAGAGGTATTTTGGAACTTTTTCGAAAATTTACTTTTGCTTCTTTTATGAGAGAAATACGTAATGTTCAGAGCCAAAGTTGTAGTGTTGACTTGCAATAACGTATAAATCCGGATAGTTTCCAAATATCTATAGTAAAAATTTCAGTTCGGTCCGACAAGGTTAGAGGGAGATCGTAGGTAGCCAGAATTGAGAAACCTGATTTTTTTGTATTACGTCAAGTGAAAAAAACAATTTCAATATGATTACTATGAAAAAAATTCTTAAATTCAGCAATTCTGCAACAGTAAGCTATTTTGAGTCGAATTATGTCTCTAACTGCACATGAGATTTAAGGTTATCATAGCTTATGTTCAGCTCGAAATCGAGGTTTTGGTAGAGCAAGGGAGATCGTACCCTTACACAGAGTTATCTACAACGATCAACTATTGCCAAAGTAGAGTTTTCGTATGGTTAATTTTCTACTTATACTTTTCAAATATGTCTGACATCAATAATTATGATCTCAGATCATTCTCAAATCATCACCAACTTAAGTATTACAATTCGACTAAGTCCACATTTTAGTAGACTTCCATCATGGTCATGCCTTGTATCGATATTATTTCTCTCATAAATCGACTGTTATAAAAGTACTGATATTTATCATTTGAGTCTAGAAGTAACGCTTTATTTACGTTTCTCCCTTTCGAATAAATGATTGAACATTTGAACTTCGTCCAGTGGTTCTTGCTTGTGCGCCCAAACAAAGACAAATTGCATTTGCTATGGTAGATTTTCCTTAAAAATTAATTCATACAAATAACTACTATCATTGTTTTTCTATCATTTACCTGAGCCATTTACGCCCGTAACAATTTGCATATGTGTAGGATGAAATTGAATAGAAAAATTTTTATGACACATAAAATTGAGCATATGAAGTTCTTTAATCTGGCCAATACTATATAACCTCTTGTTGACACTTATTATCGGCTTCTTTCTCTTTAGATTAATTATTTCATTATTGTTCATATCTGAGCTCGATGAAATCTGTCGTTTATGATTTTCCATCATCTGAATCAAAAGAAATATATTTTCATCATAGTTTGTATGAAAATTTCTTTGTCTTCTGAAATGAAAAGAATTAACTAACTCAACAAATTTTATAGACAAAAAAGTACTAGATGAAATTTTTCTATTTGTATATGTTATGGCAAAGAACAAACACAAAGTTTTTGGTGACTTATTACATCAAATGATACTTTTTTTAATCACAAAACATTCTCTGTATCATTTAGAAACTATCCATCATTATAGATGTGCTGTCTTATGATGAGAGAATCCATACGATTAAATAATTAGTCTCATTCAGTAATAAATCCATTCGTTTGGCAAAAGTAGTAGGTATACACTTTTGTGTTTATACGCATAACAAATCATATCTTACCATTTGCGTAGACATTACATTCGATCGCTGTTTGATAAAGATGTTCACAAATACAAAACAATTGAAAGATAAGCAGCTACAAACTGAAATATTTTCTTTTATAACAAAAATAATCGTTTTGTACAGAATTTCACATGAAAATTCTCAAAATATTCCTTATTATCTATCCACCAGCGAGTCATACAATAATAAATAGAAAATATTTTCTATTGTGAAAGTACACAACAACACGAAAGGATTTAAAAGAAAAAAAAAGCCATGAGTGAGTAACAACGAAACTTTTAAATCGATTGGCTTGAATAAACATGGATTGGTTACTCTTTTATTTCGAATAATTTTTTTATATCTTTTTTGTCCAGATGTCGTTAGTAAAAAGACTTCATTCTTAAAGTCCTCTAGTTATCTGCATTGATAATATAGTTCATTTTCTTACAATGTATATCGAAATTGTGGATGACGATCTCCAACTAATTCGTTTCCTCCATATCGCTCTATCTGCTGATTAATTTGTTCATTATTCATTCGTGATCGTTGATGATTAATATATAAAAACACCAGACGAAGAATAACAATTAATATTGTTTGTAAAACAATAAAGCTAAGTGCAACTGTATTACCCGTCAAATATCGTGGTTTATCTTTGGCTTGATATATCTGCCCTGATATGATTCCACCAAGAGCAGCTATTGAAATGATGAGTGCTAATGCAACTGCACGTCGAGTTAGTGAAGCACTAAACACGTACATCATAGAGAATGAGTAACAAATAAAGACATGAGACTCACAAATTATTATTAATCCATGCTACTTTTACGCTAACATTTGAAAATAGACCCGATGTAACAAAAACAACGCCGACATAAAGAATGCAAACATGCTGTGGTTCGACAAATATTAATATTAAGAAACCAAGTATTGTCAGTAGATTTGTAAAAACAAGATGAAACGATCGCTCAACAAAACTATATTAATCTTATTTTCAGAAAAGACAAACACTGAGTAAGATACTCACTAATCTGAACTATGTGAAACAATTAATATAGATATAAATGCTACAAGATAGGGTGGAATAGCCATTAACTGTGTTTGGATTGGTGTCCATTGATCCATTTCATGGATTAGTGTAGGTAAAACAAGAGTTATACCTTGCAACGAAGTAGTTCCACATATGTATATCATAGCATAAATATATGTTTTCCAATCAGTAAAAACAGATAAAACTTGTGACCAGGAAAATGAATCATGATGAGATATACCAGCATCTTGTATAAGACGATCGATTTCTAATTGACGTTGTTTACCATTCAAGAATCGTGCTTGTTCTGGTGAATCTGGTAGATAAAACCAACAGAGAATCGCAAGAATAATTGTTGGAATGCCTTCAATCTAAATACAAACAAAATCGATATAAAAAATTGATAAAAAAAAATGTTTACAATAAAGATAAGTTGCCATTCAGCTAGTTTTGATGACTTAATTTGAGCAATACCATAAGCAAATAAACCACCAAAAGCTCCTGCAAGTGCTGAAAATGACCAAAAGAATCCAAGTCGAATAGCTTGTTCTTTTCTTCGATACCATAATGATATGTAGTAGATAAATCCAGGAAAAAAACCACATTGAAAAGTCCCAAGTAAGAATCGAGCCAGCAGCAGAGTTCTAAAACTGTCTACTGTTGCCATACCTACTGCTGCTAAACCTGTGAAATTATGATTATTATATGAAGAAATTTTGTGGCTAAATGAGATTTTTTTCTGAGTACTGCATTATTTGAAAAAAAAACGGTAATAGATGTTAGTTACCCCATAGAAAAACGATTAGAGAAATCCAATTTGATGGTTTATATCGACGAAGAACAATATTTGATGGGATTTGAAAAATTACAAAACCAAGAAAATATATTGATAAACACCTAGGAAGAATGACATTCATAAGTAAAATCTGAATGAAAAGGGAGGCATTTTTACCATTGATATTGTTCTGAAGTAAGGTGAATATCATGTTCAAGATCAAATAATTTTGCATTTGCAATATTTGTTCCATTGAGATACGATAGTAAGTAAAGAATACTGGGAAAAAAAGTTTTAAAACATTACTTCATTTTTTTTTCTTAAAGTTTAAAAAATCATACGAAAGAATCGGAAGCAGGTGTAAATCAAGTGTACACATTAATTTTTGTTTTTCAGCTTCATAATCATGATTTCTATTAGTATCAATCTTGGTTGATGATATTTTCATGTTCTACAACAGGTTGTGCCTTTTCTTCAGCGTAATTTTCAATTCTATTCCATCGAATTTATATAAAAAGAAGCAATATAAAGAAAAAGCAAACATCGCCTACATGTGAATAATATTTGACAATCATTGTCATGATCATTAATATCATTCAAGCTGTGACTATCTGTAGCACAGCGAAACATTTATAGTTATCAATAAAAACGAACTTCCGCTTGTTCGTTTTTTATATTGCAGAGTTTTTCACAAATACTTAAATATTCAAAGCGCAATTAGTAAACAATTAAAGTAAAGAGAAATCGATTCCCATAGAGAAATTCACTGACTTATAGATAACTTAATATACCAAATATAAATTATTCATAAAATATTATGACTCTACTAAAAGGATAACATTTATTTGATACAAAAGGCAGTATTAAACTATACATATATCTGTAATCCTTGTTCTAAATACGGTTTTGAATTTGATACTTTAACAATGATGATTTATGGGCAAGAATAAACTAATGATTGAATATGTATGAAGAAACAGACGACAACTGTAACATGTTTTGCTATGAACACTATATCACAAGGACACAAAGTTGTTTCTAATTAAGTAAATTTTGAAAAGTCGACAATAATTGAAAAATACTGTTGTTTTGTTCTGTTAGAGTTCCAATTTCTTCGATAAGAATGTAAATGTGGTCTGCTCAAATATGTTACGTACAACCACATCTGCATTGAAGTTGGGTTTCGGAGTCTGATGCCGACGTCTACTTTATACATATATATTATGTACACCTATGTTGAGATGATTCGTATCCCATTTAAACTTTATGATATCGTAGCCCTCAAATGGATTAGAAATATGAATGAAATTGAGAAGAAAATACAGATATTATGGTTATTCTCTTTTGTATTTCAAAGCAATATCTGACATCTGTCGATCACTAACCCGTTACTGGTTTCTATTATAATGATTGACGCGAACAAACAGACGTCTTTGTTCTGAAATAAATACAAACGATATTTTTTGTATCATTGACTGAAGTAAGATTCTATCACTTGTAAATGTTCTCCTTTGTCAACCGAACAGTGTTCGATCTACCATTAACTTGGGATCGAACTCGTTTTGAAGCTATACGTGCTAAATATCGACAAGCTCGAAAGTTAATTGAAAGCAGTGTTAATGGTAACATATGAACGAAGCACAATTTGTTTTATTACAACATATTTTCTTTTAGTACAATATGAAAAACAATTAAAATATATCCATCTACAAAATCTTGATATTGAAAAAACTATAATTGAAACAAATGAACATTTACTTAAACATGAAAAAAAAGTTCATATATTTGATAGTTTAACTGAAATAGCTTCACAATCATTACCAAATTATTTTGATAAAGTAAAAAGATTTTTTTTTTTCATAAAGAATTTCAAACTATTGAAATTTACTTTCAGCGTATGGAACATGTTCGTACCATTATACAAGAACATTGTAGTGCTATTCAAAAAATTCTTCATGAAGAAAATGAATATTGGAAAGAAATTCATTCTGCTATTGATCAGTATGTGTTAATATTGTCATTTGACTCAAAATTACACTAAAATCTTCTTGTCTAAATTAAAATTTTCTATAGAAATTTGATTACTTCCAATGATATTCATCCATGCATACAAAATATATCGATAATAAATGAAGAACAAAATACTTTAGAAATACTTGTAAATAATTCTTTTAGCTATTTTTAATCATCTATTATCATTCTAGAATGATCAACCACAAACATTCATCAATATTGATCATCCTTCATCAACTGAAAATCCAAGATCAACTAAACAAGAACGTATTAGTATTAACTTAAATCCAATTCAATATAATCAAATTTCTTCATCTATTAATAAAACATATGTTATTAAACTTGAAGAAACACCAAACACTGAAACAAATGAATTGTTACCAATTGAAACATCTTCACATATACCTTCCGCAGAAATTAATGCATCACCAATGTATTCTCAACCTAATCTTCCAGCACGACTTTGTTTTTCTCCAACACTTCTTCAAGATGAAGAATCTGAATCAATTAAAAATGTACTTTCACCACTTGATCAAAATCAAACTAGTAAAAAACAAAGCATTGTTTTATTTTTTTAACAAATTTTATTTTAGTTAATTTAGTCAAACCAAAAGTAATACTTCATCGAGTTCATGAAACATTTTTAATTGATTATCTTAAAAAAGAAGAAACTAATGATGTTCATCTTCGACCAAAACGTACTGATTCAATTCAACGAGAATCCATTATTCATCAACAGTAATATTCTATTTTATCTGTCTCAATTAAATATAATTATTTCTTTCTAGAAATTCTTTTACTCTTACAGAACCAATATCTAAACATCGAGCACATTCTACAATACAAAATGAATCAGAGTCAATTGACATAACAAAAAATATAAAACAAACTCGAAAACGAAAACAATCAGCATCAGAAGATAATGATACAAAATCTAGTACGATTGTTTTGCGTAAAAGAAAACCTATTTCATTTGTTGAAATTGAAGAAAAAATCCCAAAAAGAAAAGTAGCAAATAAACGAAAAACTAAGAAAAAAAATGGTATATTTTATTTTCTACAACAAATTATATTTGATCATAATTTTTATTTAGAAAATGAAATACCAATTCGAGAACCATCACCTTTACCTATCATAGATCGAACAATACATTATAGCAGTCAGTTCTTCACACGTACGCTATGATTAATAAATAAATAAATAAATAAATCACATCATGTTTCTATCATATAACATAGGTTCACATCGATTAAATAATTTTACATTGCCAGTGATTAATATAGAAAGTGAAGACGATGATCATATCAAATCGAAATCTCATTCTCAACATCGGAGAAAATTCATCAAAAAAAAATCAAACCAATCAAAAAAACCTTCTAAATCAACAAAAAATCAAAAACGTTAACTTATTTTGTTTATTGAGTAATTTGTTAAAGAATGAAAATATCTAGTTTTTGTATATTGTATTTGAATAAACATGACTACTGAGTAGATGTTATTTAATCCCATTTGAACAGCATGTCCAACAAATTAAATCACCAACACCTTTTTTTTTCTTCTTTCGTACATTTTCAATACAATGGGTAACACAAACAATACAGTAAAAGGAAAGAGTAAACAAACTACAGCTCAGTCCCTCAATGCAAGACAACCTGTACTCGGTTCAGTCAATGGATATAACTATTATCCAAATCCGTATGCACCTGAGCAATATTTTTATTCTGAAGATCCTCAGAATTATCCTGCATATCCTCAAAATTATCCTGCATATCCTCAAAATTATCCTGCATATCCACAAAATTATCCTACACGTCCTCTCAATCGTCCCGCAGTTTCTAGTGAAGAATATTTGCGAAAGGAATTTTTTTCGCAACCATCAACAAACAATGTAAGTAATATGCCGTGAATTATTTTTTTTAGTATAACAAAGATTTAACTATTATATTACAGGAAGTCGTCGAACAACGTCCTTCAACTCATCATAGTCATGTCCACCATTCCGACAGTGCAAACAACAGTCCTCGCCACCGTCATCACCATCATCATCACACATCCAATGGTCATAATCATAATGATCATCATCATCATCATCATCACCAACATCGTCATTCATCTTCACCGCTTACCGAAAACAAAAGTTCGAATACTTCTATAGTTAAAGCAGATACAACTCCTCGTCCACTTGCAGAAGATCCACCTTCTCTTCAGACAAAAAAAACAATCGTCCCGGTTGCAAATAAAGAACTAATAACTTCTCCACCAGTCACTGATTCAATTTCTGTTGTAGCACAAAGATCTCCAACTCCTGTTGTAGTTAAACAGCAACCACCACCAACCATACCCATGACTGTATCTCCGTCTCTTCCAGTAACAGTAGATAATTTTGAAAAAGCTCCAATATTAGTAACAAATCATGTTCTCAAAGCATCTGATAAAAAATCGATACATAGCTATGGAACAGGCTCACTATCTATAGTAAAACGAATTCAATCACAAACTTCAACATCGGGTGGTAAATGGTATGAACATGATTATGATAAAAGAATAACACCACTTACTACCGAATAATGTTGAAATTGATTATTTTATGTATTTAACTTTTTTAAATAAAACATTTGTTCATATTCAATACATTGTCGAATAATAAATAAACTCCTATACAGTTTTTATATAAATGCATTGTTGGTTAAACATTATGAAATAGCGTCAAAAAAAAGTATTCGATTTAACTTTATTTTTTTCAAATTCAATTCAGATGAAAAAAACACATTTCTCGTTCAAATATTTCGAGTACTATTACGTATTTCTATCGAAACTATTAATGAAAAAATGAATAAACAAGAGAAAAACAGATACGTATAATAATATTTCATAGATTTTCCAATTATTGCTATTAATGATATAAATACTCTAACATTCGTATTTAACAATGAATGAATTGATTCAAGATCAGTAACTCGTTGGTTTCTTAATTGTCCATGACAATACACATGACCTATTTCAACACCTGACACATCAAAAATAACTGTATTCATTGGATTTGTTCGACTATTGAATTCACTAGCTCTCATAAGTTGCTGTTTAAGATGAATACGACGAACAAGTTAAATTGTAATTACAAAACAACAATGATGTATCCATTGTTCGTTATCAATTTCAAGAATTGACATGGTAGCATTTGAATCAATACATGTTAATGCATAGTCAATTAAATTATCGCCTACAAGTGTAGTTATACCACTATTAAATTTCTCTGTCACTACAAGAATCCATATGACGTATAAAAGAAACCGAAAAATATAGTATCATTTATTTTCTTGTTTAATTTTAAATGCATAAATAAAGATGATATGAAGATGAAGAGGACTAATAGATTGATTTGTCATAAAAGATGTTAACAAATGGTACTCGTATATACTTGACAAGCAATAATAACGTCGTAATAGTATATTGTTCGAGTGTTAAACTTCTGTAATAACACAATTTCTTCATGCTTGTCAAAGTAGAGTAGTTTCGTTTTTATCTGAATTTTTTTCTAAAAATTAATCATTATATTTTCTCTTATTACATGAGAAAAATATTTCTTATGATTGATAGCAGATAGAGAAACTCGATATTGTATATAAAATGTTGATGTAATTCATACTTAATTGTAGACACTTCCAGTATATTTCCCTCTTATAGCAAGAAACTTAAAGAAACCGGCGAATTATCCATATTATCTACACAAATATCAGCTATCTGTGATAGATTAATGTAGGTCATACTTCAATGGACACTTAGTATAGCTACTTTTTTCTTATAGTAACAACGAAAACAATCATTTTTGCCAAAGTCACGTGTTAACATATTTTTATATCTCTGTACTAGCATATATTTGAGTGTGCGTAATATATTTTTTCTCTATCAGCTGCTTTTATCTTTCGGTGTATCTTATTGATACATAAGTATATATATACTACATATATACGCTGTTTTTAATCACATATATGCATCATGTCAGTACGATTTTATGTATCAATAAGTAAAAGTGTTGTCTGTTTGATGATAGTTATCTTATTCATACAGTTCTTTTCGAGTGTACGCATCACAGCTTTAAAAAAAAGACTATTATCCTAATATGTATAGGTTGTTGTTACTCTCTCATTCTATACATGATGTTCCTGGATGTCGATCTTTTTCTGTTTTTGAACGATTATTACGACGATACTTGTTATTAGATGCATTGTTTCAAGACAGTATATGTTGATGAAATAGCAGCAAGCAAAAAAATCTGTTATAAACTATCAATCAGACTGGACAATATCTTACTAAAATTTTCAAGATTTTGGTAACAGACTTGATGTATATGAAAAAAATAGTCGATGCAATTCAACCTACGATCATTACAAGAAATATGACGGTTTAAACACCAGTTGTAACACTTTCAATAATTGTAGCAATGGTGAAAGTAAGTTTTGTATTGATTATATATCATCAGTGACGATATTTTTATTTATCTTCAGATGCTAAGTAATTCTTAGTGTAAATCTTGTGTGTGAAGACTTGATGTCAAGTGTTGTTGTTCGATAAGTATGACTAGCAGTTTCACGAACAACGATTTTTACATAAATTTCGCGAGCCAAAAGAATTTATTATTGCGATAAATAGGGTATTGCATCCTTGGGTGTTCGAATAAGTTGCGAAAAAAAAACGAATATATTTGATTTTCAAATAATTTTTTCGTTAGTTACATCGTATTAATTTTATTCCCCCGAATAATAAATTTCTACTAGCCTATAATCAAATAACCTCATCAGCATCTCTTATTCCATGATCAATAATTGAATCATAGATAAGACCTATGTTATATGTACAATACTCATATTTATGTGCATAGAAGAAAAAGCCTCAACAATTGTTATATAGATGTTATCAGGTCGTTGAAAATTATAGTGAAATGTATGACACAAACTGCGTCTCTCAATGACCGTAATGATTAGAAAATCGATGTTAGAATACTTACGATATTCGCAAAAGAGAAAATATACTATATCTTTGTTTTCTTCTTATTTCGTAATTGTATGTCCTATGACAATATGATTATATCTTGGTCATTCTTTACGTATGATTTATACATGTTGTCCGTGTTTCTTATATTAAAAAACTATAAACATATGCCGAAATATTTTCATTGTATTGATCAACAAAAATTATATTTTAAACTTTTATGATAATTAGTTGATTTTTTATTCTCTAATTCTTACACTCATCCTAAGAGCGTATCTATTCATACACTGTGCATTTTGTGCAGTTAGCCATTTTTATTGAATACTTCAATTTTTCTACTCAAATGATTCTTTTTGTTAAAGATTTCTCTATGGAATATATCTAGTAAACAAATAACGTTAAAAGAAAAGATATATTATAGAATAATAAAGAAAAAAACATTTTGATACAACACAACAAATAATTCAGAACTTAATTATTTTAGAATTTTCTTTTTTTGCTGTATATATATATATGTTATGATTTTGATTACAAGTTATTAGCGATTATAAATATACAATCAAAGAAGAAAAAAAAATTATTGGAACTTCAAACTAATTAAAAGAAGAAGAAAAAAAAACAAAGCAATGGAATGACTATAAGAACGTTTGTCTTCAATAAGAGCACCCGTATATTAAATGTAAATAAGGAAAAAAAAACAAATTAATTCACTTTAATCATCATTATCACCAGTTGTTTTATTCGCCATCATTTGTTCCCATCTTTGTGACATATCTAATTTTTTTGCTGGGCGAATTACTGGGGCTTGGGCTTTCTAAAAGAAGAAAGAAAAAGAGCGATTTCAATTAATTTTCAATAACATAGTTACAAAAAAAAACAATTTACTTCGTTTTCTGTTCGTTTTAATCGTTCTATTTTATCAAAGTAACGTTCTTGATCTTCTTCATGTTCATTTTTTAATACATTTCCTGAATCATTATTCACTGTTGGATTAACGATTGGTGTAGCACCACTTATTGAATGACGTTGTTTTCTAAATAAAATTAATATTTCAAAGCTATAATATAACTAGTATTTTTATAAAATTTTTATAGACAGATAGAATATACTTTGATTTGAATATTAAAAATTTTACCTTAAGTCTTGTTCTCTTTCTTGACATTCACGTTTTTCTAATTCAAGTCGATCAGTTGTTGATAATTTTGAATAATCAATTGATTTATTTGATGAACTAATAATAGGTGCTGTAGGACTTGGACTTGGAAATTTACCACGTATTGATGCAATTGCTAGAATAAATAATTAAAAAAATAAAAGAAATATCATAAAAGATTTCTTACTTGAATTATTATTTGTTGATTTTGATTTTAAAACTCCATTGGACGGTGCAATCAAAGGTCCACTTGATCGTCCACTATCTCTTCTTACTTTACCTGTTGAAAGAGTATTAACAGATTGACTTTTTGGAAATGTTGAAACTAATTCTTGATATTTTCTTGGATCAGAATGTTCATCACTTGTATGTTGTATTCGGCCTAATTGACGTAATTCAGCTTCTTTAGCACGTATAGCTTCAATTTCACGTTGAATTATATTGTTTGTATTTTGTGCTGCCGAGATATTTTGATTTGATGATGAACGATGAATTAAATTATTTGTTGAACTAGTACGAATAATAGGTACACCATTATTATTAAAACGATTTAATTCTTGTGAAACAACATTAGAAATTTGTTTACGATCATCATTTGATGATGCATGAGAATCATAAACAAGATTTTGTATTGCTATTGTTGAACGACGTGGTGATGGTGATTCATTTGGTGTATTAGTTGCTTTTGATGTAAAAAAATCTAGATTTGATAAAAATGAACTACTTTTAACTGGTTGTTTTGTTGATGTTGATGTATCAGCTTTATTTGGATCAATATTTGAAATTGTTATTAACGATGATAAATCTTCAGCAAGACCACATTGTTTACGTTGTCGTCGTAATTCTTCTTCTTTTTCTTTTGTTTCACGAATTTCACGAGCTATTAAAGATTCTGAATAGTAGCCATTTGATACTGAAACTGGTGATGTTGTTAAAGAATCAGCTCCAGGGCGAATTATTTGTTCAGTATTATTACGACGTATATTACTGCCATAGAGTAGAGTTTGATGACCATGTTCAGGCTAAAATTATTATTTAATAAATTTAAAACAACAGAACTCAGACTATGCATTTTGTTAACGTGATTAGGTAAACCAAGTACTACGATACCAAATGTTATCTTGATTATTTATTTGTGATTGGAGAGATGCATTCAAGTGAATAAGTTTGCAATGTGATATACGTTTCTGAATAAAGACTTTACTCTTCTTCTTCTTCTATAGGTTAATGTTGCAAATAAGTTGATCGATATAATATTCCATGATTTGATTAACTATTTCTAAGAGCTAGTAATTGTTTTCATAGATTGAAATACGAAAACAATTAGTAGATCGAAAAAAAAAAAATGATAATCATATCATAAAAAATTGTGTCTACCAACTGATACGAGTTGTCGAATGAGATTTCCCCTTACAGAATGTAAGTATAATATATACTCTGACAAATTATTTTTGATGTTATACTACTATAAAAGAGTTAGTATTGGATCTTTTATTATCAATCTTGAACACTAACCTGAGGATATTTATTATTCCACTTCGATAGACCAGACTTATTCTGTTCTTTTGTCATTTATTACTTTACAAAATCTCAAGCATCCATAATGGATGAGTGTTGAACTAGAGAAAGATTTGATTGCTCTTCATATATATTTGATAAGTAATAACATCGTTTATTATTTAGCCAAAAGAGAAGAAAAATATTTTCTTTTCAAGTCATACATGTGAAATTCTCAAGTTATTTTTTTTTAATATCAAGGACAGAAAAAAATGCATCAATATTAATATATTGTCAAAAGAAATCTCACATTGACATACTTAGTATTTTCATACGCGTATTTTTTCATTCCATCATTTTCATACCTGTTTATCTTCAATAACGACATCTTTTGTTCCAACAATATGATCTGTATATTTATTCATTGTTGAAGAATCTTGTTGTGACTGTCGTCGATTAGCTATTTGTGCTGTTGGTTGAGGATTGGTCGGTAAATTACGTTTTAAACTTCCATAACTGATTGGTACTTTTTTATGTTGTTGCTTTGCTTCACTCACATGTAATAAATGTTCGCTTGATTGTGTTAATGTTTTATTTGTGTCAGAAATTTTTTGTTCAAATAATGCTTTTATGTTTGATGTATTTATTTGTATGGAATTTCGATCGTCAATTTTTTCGTTATAACGTGCATCAATATGTTTTTTGATTTGTTCTTGTTCTGAATTATTATTTGATTTCACTGTATGATATGACTCACGTTCGTTCGGATCACTATTTATTGACGGTACTGAAGAAAAGCTTTGATCTTCAGAACGTGAAGGTGATGGTGGTGGTCGATTTATAGTTGTAATGGTTTTAGGTGTTTCTTGCTTTTTAATTGGTTGTGGTGGAACCAAATGAACAGATGCTGATAGAAGAGATGCAAATTCGTTTATACGAGCTTTATTTATTGGTTTAGCAACCGGTGGTGGTTCGGCTTTGGGTATTGGATAATTAATTTCTGTTTCGTCGATTAATTCAGGTTTTTCTACTGTTTGAACTAGTTCAGTTAGAACAGAATTTTTATTTGGTGATGACACTGGAAGAATATCGTCTAAACAAAAATAGTCACTTATATAACGTCAAGTATTGTCTCAAGATGTATATAAAATTCATTTAAGTGTCTGTACTCAATAAAAATGGATGAGACAATGGCACTATTAAGTTAACACGTACCAAATTGTCCATTAGTTAGGTCAGCGATCTTTGCAACAGACAGAGAATAAAATAATGAACAATCTGTTGCGTTCTCGTCATACACATACATAGAAGATTAAAATAGTAACAACGAAGATAAATTGTTCAATAAACAAAAGAAAAAGAATAAATGAACTAGCTCGTCTTCCGAAAAGAATTGTACCACCTTCGGTCTAACCTCCTCTTCATTTTTATTCTTTATATCCCGGAAGAAGAATGTCAATGCGAGGCCGAGAGATTAAATAAACATCGTACAACAATTAGAGTGTTACACATCGGATAAAACAAAAAAAAAAGACTATAACGAAATACAACAATGATTTTAAAACAAAAGAAATCTCCTTCTACTTAAGTATTTATATATCATCGGAACAAGGTATATAATGAAAAATGTAACGAAGAAAATATTCAACAGAGAGAGGGAGAGAGAGAGATTTATAATCAATGCCAAGCATCGATATATGTCACGAAATCTCTCAAGAGATGTAAATGGAGTTCAGTTGTATTTTATAATCAAAAAAAACGAAGGTTATTTTGCATTAGAAATAACGAGTTTTCAGTTAAATATTTACGAATCTCTATGTATGCTAAATAAGATTTCTAACATGTATCTCCTTCATTTTCATTACTAATTAGTCAAGATAGTTTTCTTATCGAAAGAAGAAATTCTTCGTTCTTAAAACGTTTTTTTTTCTTTATTGGTTTTTCTTAGAATAATAATGGTATCTGTTTTTTTTTTAAAGACTTACCTTTTATTGATGTAGATGGTGATGTTGATGATGAAGACTTTGATTGAATTTGTATTGGTGATGGCGAACGTGTTTTTTTTCTTTCAAACGAATCAGAACTGGAATTATTATTATTATTATTATTTTCATAAGATGAAGCAGACGATAAACTATCATCAAGTAAATTTTTCGTGTTTTTATCATTGTTATTAGTATTTGAATTTGATAATGGTACCAATGGAGTAGAAAATAAATCAAGTAAATCAACAGATTGTTCAGATTGTGATGGAAGAGGAGGAGATTTTGACGGAATGTCACGTAGAAGTATAAATGGTCCTTGAGCTTCTTCTTCTTCTTCTTTATTCCATGATAATCGGGATGACGATGTTATTTCATCACGTTCTTGTTCTTGTTCTTGTTCTTGTTCTTGTTCTTGATCCTCTTCTTGTTCATCCTCTGATATAGATGGTGTAGAAATCGATGATATCCTTGATGACGAACTTTCTTTACGTTTAGGAGAATCTATATAAAATATTTATTTTCATAGGTTATATTTCATCAAGTGCAAACAATTTGGACTCGAACTTAATAGACTCTACCGAAAAAAAAGGGAAAAGTAATGTAATCCTTCTTATCTTTTAATAGCTTAATTTCAATTTTAGTCGACCTCTGTTCACATGCTTTTTCCCTTTAAACAGATGTTGTACATCTTAGTTTATTTATTTAGTCGTCATATTTGAGTTTCAAAAAAAAAGTTACATCAAGGATTTCTTTTTCTCCATTTCTTTTCTTACCATAATTATTATTTCTTTGATAATCACTTGAATTTTTTTGTTGTTCTTCAGATTTTTCTGCAGAAGTATTGGTTGTTGATGATGTTGATTTATCTTTTGGTACAAGTGTTAAAACCCCATCAACTATTTCCAATATGCATTCTTGTTCATCCATTTGTATAATTTCAATATTTTTATTAATATTTTTATTTAATAAATCTTGAATAGGAATTAAAGATGATTGATGATGAATTAGATAAAAACTGTTTGTCTTTTTATTTGTTGATGATGATACATCTAAAACAGAATTATCATTATTCAAAGACATCAAAATATATATATACTAGAGAAAACGTGTGTATGAGTGTGTGTATGATTCAATATACAACTCAAAGGAAGCAGAAGAAGAGAAGAAGAAAAAAAACAAAAATTTGTAGATGAAATATGAGTGCGTCGCAATGACATCTTTCATTTGAAAGAGTTCAACAAGTTGCTGTCAGTTGGATGCATATAAAAACATATCGATAAGTTCAAATTTATATGTAATGCTAAAGATTTAAAACAATGAATAGACAGATGTTTTAGACAAAATATATACCAATAATGATTACTCACTCTGAATAGGAATGAAAGGAAAAGAAAAGAAAAACACTCTCCTGTATTTCTGTTGCTTACAGGTTATTTTCTTGTTGATTGAAATATAGGTAGATTAGGCTTTGTCATCTATAGGTCTATTTATATAAACATAAAAGAAAAGAAATTAGATGCACCCTTGGTTTTTTTTACCTGCAAAATATATGCAAACAACAACATCAATCTTACGTCGATTGTTTTGTCTTTCTCTCTTCTTTTTTTTCTCTCTCCTTTTTTTTTTATCGAAAAAAGGAGAGCGAGTAGGATCACGACTGACGACTAACGATGTAAGAGGACGGCCGTCGTCATGGTCGTTTGCATTTTATCCGCCGACAAGAAACAGAAAGAAAAACTTCTGTTGCTGCCAATACTACGCACAAAAGATTCTTTTCTATGTTATTATACCTTTATCATATGTGCTGGTTGGTTTTATCATTGGTGACAATATTGATTTATCAGTTTTGATCGAACCGTGATCATGATTCAATTGTAGGAAGTCATAGGAGAGTGCTTCACCATTCTTATTTTCATTTTTATTACAGCTATAATAAAAAGGAAAAAGAAACAAGAAAGATTAGTTAATCTATGCATAAATCATAAACTAAAATGAATGTGAATTAGTTTGCCAAGTGAGTCACAGATTTCTTCTCTCAAATGAATATATACAAAAAAAAGGGGAATTTTTTTTACATACTCTACAGAATTCTTGTGTAGCAACATTGTAGCTGTTGTTTGAACACGTGTTTTTGAGTTCACGTTTGCGTTTAGACAAGTAGAAGTTGCATTCGTTCCATCAACTAGAACGATAGTAACCGATGAACTCAATTTTTCGTTTTTTTTCTTCTTCTTTCATACATTTTATACTATGTAAAATTGAATCAAGCAAATAAAGAAAGAGAGTATATTTACATCTGAGTATGTCCTACCTACTATAAAGCAATCACTATCTTATAATACTTATTTGTAAAAATGAAAATTTATAATTTTCTCTAGTCTTACCATGATTATTTAATGAAAATGGCTTAATAAAATTTGTTGAAGTATTATCAATTGATGTTAATGAATGTATCCAATTTTTACGCTGTTTACAACGAACTTTTGTGATTGCAATGGCTTCTTGACGTAATGTTGAACTTGTATTATAATGATTATCATTTGTACAACTATTTCGTGATGTATCTAATGAATATCTACAATAAATAAATTGATTTATTAAATAGATTTATATTTCATAGAAAATAAATATAAAAAAATTATTGAAATTTTGTTCGAATAGAATTAAGTTTACTTTGATATTTTTTAAAACGATTATTAATCTTATACTTAGAATTCAATTTAGCTAGTCAAGATAAATATATTATTTTTATTATTTCTAGAATGAATAGCATGAGACTTATCAAGGTTAGATGAAAATATTCACTTGGGAAATATTTATTTAAAGCTATTGCATGTGAGTCATGATCTACCAACATGGAAAAATGTTCAATCAAGTTTTGATATATGCGAAAGATTGGCTCAGCGTCGTAGGGCATGTTGTTCTTGATATAGTAACACATTGTTAGTCTCAGTTATTCTGAACAATTTTTTCCTTAGAATTGTCAATGAATATGACAGGGCGACAATAAAACAGTTATTTTCCCAAGAAGATTTTCTTCGAAGAAATCGATGAAATATAGCTCAAACTTTGTTTTAAAACATGCATGACTTTTGAATTGTATGACCGTGCAAACAAAGGCTAGGGATCTCTGACTGAGTTGAATCGGTCGTCATGTACATGAAGTGACTCTTAAATATACACATGTCTATACAGTTTCACTTACACTCACGGGAAGAATTGTAAAATGAACTGATTCCTTGATTTAATTCACTATATATGTCTTCTCCATTTACATTTGAATTGTAGTTAACAAGTGAAACAAAACCTTGATGTTAAATGTCCATGAACTATTAATAGCATATACGAAAAAAAAACGAGAGAAATGCCAATATATCTTCTACAATAGAAGGTTAAGCATTTCAACAGAGTGAATAAAACAAAAAGTTACTAACATAGTTCATTTCTTTTACTGCTGACCTAGCGTACGTGTTTTCTTTCTATGAAAAAAAAGGAATGGTACGGTCAATTTCTATTGACGACATCATGCAATTGGTCATCATTCTATTTCTTGCTCGTTTCTTTTTAAATATGTGGTGGATAGAAATGACTTGATTGAACTTTTTTTTTGCGTTTGTCAACGCCTTTACACAGTATGCTGTAAAAAAGGTAGAAAGAGGAAGAAATTCTATTCTGCTTATTACATCACTCCTAACTGAGACTATACTAGTGTTAACAGCTATTATTAAAACGAATAGATCCTTTTGTGGGTTGCTTTCAATGTACATATACGAAAACGAAACGAAAGAACGATGAAAAATTATATGTCACGATTTGCAAAAAAGTGAGTATAGAAGACCATGAATTTCGAGATCAACTAAATGAATATATATTAAATACTAATCTTCGATTTCAAATAGATTAAAACTTTATATTTTAAATTCCCAAAATTATTGATACCATAAAAAAATGATTGAATGCTCAGATTTCTTTTTAATGTAGTAACATAAGAAATAAATGTTCATAAAAGAGAATAATGGTTTTTATAACCTTGATCAATCGAGATTATTATTCAAATAAAAATATTTTTCTTATTATTAAAAACTAAATGTGTATTTCGATATCAAATAATCAAGAGAATACATAGAAACAAATGTCCAAGGAATTAAACCTATGAGATAAATATTATTTCCCATGCGTTTTACATCGTAAAGTTTTTTTTTTTTTATAACCTTGATTTTAGATATGATTGACAAAAGAAAAAAGAAAAAAAAACTAACCTTAAATCATCTGAATATTGGGATTCATCAGAAAGAATTCCATCATGTCGTCCATCATCAAATAATCTAGTTGATTCAACATATTCATCATCATGATCATATTCTTCTTCTATTTCGATATCATTTTCATTATTCATCATTGTTAACTGATCAATTGTTTTTGGTTGATATACTATAAAATAATCATCATCATTGTCGTCGTCGTCATCATCATCATCATCATCATCTTCTTCTTCTTGTTCATTTGTTCTCTTTTTCTCTTGTTTATTTAGTTGTTCACCGGTAAAAGTCATAGGACAATCATTGTCTTGCATAGACGATGTCATCGATGAGTTTAACGAGACATTGTCTGCATGTGACCTTATCTTATTATTTTGTTCAGAATAATAATTAACATTGTCATAAACGGAGAAAGTTTGCTCATCATCATCATCATCATCATCATTATCATCTTCTTGCTCATTTATAATTGTACATTTTGTTGCATAAACTAAACCACTAAACTCAGAATCAGATGGAGTTAAATTAACATTTATTGGCATAATCTTTTCATTTTCATTTTTGACATTTAAATTTCTAATAGAGATTAAAAAACAAAGGTTATAGAAAAATGATCTATCAACAAATACATAGCCATATATTGTTTCTTTCCTGAGAGAGTATCAAGTTATATTTTATGAAATAAAATTGTGAGAATAATAGCATGATTTTGAAAGATAGAATGAACTCTATCACAAGATTTGAAGCGTGTTGACTCGAAAAACAATAATCGATAATACTGCTAATAAATCTCGACGATTTACAATCGAACAATGATAATGATGAACGATTCAAAACCAAAAAAGTACTAATCCAAGTTACTCCACTGTGTTAAGACATTATTAATGAGTCGATTAAATCTTCTATTTGATATATGTAAATCTTATCGAAAAAAATCTGTATTCGATTCACATGATGTTTTGTTGCGATAAAAGTTAATTTATATATAGACAAAAACTTATTCTTAATAGTGTTTTAAATTTAGCAATTCGATCACTCAAATACACTTTATTAATTAATACTAATTCTCGGAAAACGAATAGTAGATTATTTGCATAATATTCAATGTTCCGTTGAAGCGACTTTGTTAGAAAAAAACCTTTTCAATATTCATATCATTGACAATGCTGCTATTTCTATAAAATTTTCATTCTAACTAATAATATAAAAAAAATTAGTTTACGATACAATTAGTAAAAATTCTACAAACTATTATTGATCGATTTTAAATATTTAATAATTATACACTTTTCATATTTGAATTGAAAGTTAATATTAATCTGTAAGATATGTTTAAAATGTTGAATTTAACTTACTGCATATTAGAACTTTTATTATTTGGTTGGAAATCGAAAGTTATTGATTCTGAAATATCATCTGTATCTGAACGAAAACTAGTCATATCTGAATAAACACTTGTATCTTGTTCAATTCTATTTAATTCCATTGGTAAATATGATGTAATTGTTGTAAGAGATGAAATATCATCTAATTTACTTATTTCTTCAGGATAAAAATAAGTATTATCATAATCAAAACTGTTTGTTTGTTCTTCTGAAAAACTTGTTATTGCTGTTATAGCCATTGTTGAATGATTTGAAAGAGAATAGTTTTGTATTCTCTTTGATAATGAAGAACAATGATGATTGAATTGATTTTTATTAATAGCAGAAGCAAGATAATTTGTTGAAAAATTTTTAGATTTATTAATAAAATAATTATTATTTATTGAATATGAAATATTATTAGTAAAAAATGCTTTTTCAAGAACAGATTGTAAAGTTTCAATTGATGATGAAGAATCTTAAGATGATGTAAATAAAAACAAAAAGAAAATTAAATTTTAAATTATTTTGTTTTTTTTTTTCGTTACCTTTGTCATTGACTAATGGATTATTTTGAAACAATTTTATCCGTTCTTGATGATTATATAAGGGATATGTTGGTTGTTCTAATAAAACTTTCATATCCTTTACTTTTGAATAACAAACTAATAATGATAATGGTAATGTTTGATATTTTTCTCTATCATTATCATCGGGACATGTCTACTGTCCAATTAAAATATTGGACTGCTTGGTCAGATCTATAGGTCGTCACGTTAAGATATCTATCTAAATGTTTCTCTCGCATACGATCATCATGAATACTTCTTTTCGGGGTTATTACAAATTGAAACGATTGAACGTATAATTTATCACGCATACGAATTTTACACATATATAAAAACTAATTTTTTTTCGTGCGTCGTTACTAAACGATAGATGATATAAAATAAAATATCAACAAATTATTTATATGAGTGAAAGAAATAAAATACAAATGTATTGAAGATAAATTCAATATGAAGTATTATTAATTTGATTTAAGAATAAAGAGATTATAAAATTTATCTATTAAGATTAAGGATGCAATAGTTTCGTGTGTTCGATTGAACAAAGTTGTCAAGATACGAGACATTGCTCTTCTTGGACATTTTTTGTTTTCGTTCTTTATTCAAATGGTGTTTTTTAAATTACTGACATATTTCTTATCTTCACACGTATAAGACATCAAATCAAAAATGTGCCAAAGAATGTCAATAATTTCTTTTTAATTTCAATGTTATATTCATTTCAAAATGAACTTGATAATTTGTTTCATATGATCGTTGGAATACAGTTCTGGACAAAAGTAGCTGCTTCGCATGATGTGCTATTTTTTCTTTATGATATTGCATTGAGATTTTCGATACATGCGTGCGACAATAAACTTTGATTGCAAGAATAAACTCGTACTTCATTAATTTACATGTACTGGATTTATAATTCAGATATCACCTTCTTCTTGTGATCATCGTATCTCAACTATGATGGTACAAATATTTTGGTCCAATTCTTCATACGAAATTCCACTGTCGTAGCTATTTCTAACCTGATTTCAGTTAGAAATCACTTTAAAATAAATAAAATATTGTCTTCTCATAAAGAACGTCTGCTGAGGAACAAATTACAGTTTTTAGTAAGATGGATCTTTTCCATGATGACTTTAGAAAGCTTCCATGGGGCGACAAATTTGATTTGAAATTTTTACAATCGCAAAACTGACTGAAGTCGAGTTAGAGCTCCGGCGTGAGTTCAGTATTTCAGAGCATGCTAATTACTAACATCTTGTCTATCTGTTACGGACTTCTGCAATGATAAAGTAGACATATGAAACTGTCTCTAGTGCTAAAAATGTAGTCGTAGCTTGTGGAATAAAAAATTGAGAAAAAAACCTTTTTGAGCGCATATTTTTATTGAATATGTTTTTAACAAGGAAAAAACATGTGTAAATCATAACTTCAGTGCATGTGAATCAAACAGTAAGGCGTATAGGTGCTTGTGATTCAGGATTATTGTCGCATGCATGTATCGAACATATTAGTTAAATATCATAAAGAATAGGAGCACTTTGTGAGAAGGTGACCACGTTTATCCAGGACTGTATTTCAACAATTAATAAATTTATATTAGTAATCGAAATTATAATATTCGTTTAATATTTCCGAAATATGCAAAGAGATAATTTTTATTGGAATGTTATTCATTTTTTAAAGGATAAAATTCTTTTCTTAATCATATCTATATTACAAATATGTTTGAAAACCAGTAGCCAGGTAGATCATTCCGACCATCTGAAACAGCGCCTTATTCCGCCTGAAACAGCTATAAAATGACACATGGCTGCATTAATTATGATCTTATTTTGCCGTAATTCATCATACCATTTTACAAGCCGTTTTTCTTGCTAGAAAACGGTCATCATTTTTCTCCGATTTTGTTATGACGGACTATGACGGCGTTTTTCGACGTTTTACATCGTTATTAAGGCATTTAAGACTGTTTACGACGTCGCCTTCTTGGACCTAGGTATGTGACGGATTCTATCTATCATCACTCTTTATGGGCACGTTCAAGGACATCTGCAATATGTATCTATATATGTAAATTCATCAATTATCTTCTTATACATATATATGCATTCATGTTATCTTTTCTCTCTTCTGTTATGCCATATTTGCTTTATCGTGTTCGTTTTACATGTATTCGCATTCATTTTAAAAGTAAACAAGGAACGAGGGAATCGTTTCATCACACAGTAAAAAGAAATAATTTTATACAAAAAGAAAAAAACAGAAGCCATGGAAAACATTCGTCTTATACTTATTTCTTTACATGTTTTCATCACAATTTCTTTAATATATAATCTTCATGTTCATTCATCACTTGTTAAAAATTCATTAACACATGATAAACAAGTTTCATCAATTATTCATTATATTACTGGTTTATTTCATATATCACTTTTTCATTCATTATGTATTATTGCTATATGGTATAGTCGTCGGTATAGTGCAAGAATAATACGTGCAACAGGAATATTATTAATCGGAGAATCTTTACAACTCATCGCAACAGCTATTCAACATTCAGTTGAAACACATCATATTGCAGCTGGAGAATTATTTTTTTATATTATTAGTTTATTATTATTTTTAACAGCTATAATAATTACTTTTCTATTAGCAAAGAAAGTTTCTGAACATGAAAAAGATTTAATGAAAACAGCATTATTAACAACAACTATTAGTGAAATATCAATAGACGATGGAGGAGGTTTTTCACTTGTTTAAAATTTATCAATAAATATTGAAAATATATTAATTAATAAAAAGAATATATATATATATGTCACAGTACTGTTTAGAATATAGTTGAGTTCGGAATCATCCTAGTTCAGATTGGAATTCTGATTTGAACTAGGACATTTAAGAATCTTAATTCTTACTAGTATGATATAGAACGATCTTATGATGAACTAGTTCGATTTGGAATTCTAGTTTGAACTAGGATGGTTTGAGATTCTAATGTGACCTATTCATACCGGACTAGTACAAATTAGAATTCTTATCAGAACTAGTTCNCAGTTTGAAATTGGAATAACACGATTATGTGATAGAAATTTTTTCTTATTGATATTTCTCTTTTTTTGTATACAACGTGCAACCTTGATGTCACCATTGAGCTGACAGAGCACTCGCTATGCATCGTTATCCGATATCAACAAAGAAAAGTCGGTGAAGTAGAAGAAACGATTGCGTGATACATAACTTCTTGTTCTATCAAGCTATTCCACGTCCTCTTATAGGACTTTTAAATGAAGAAAATATTCAGGATTGCAAATCAACTCCGAAATCCAAAAACTTTTTCGTAACCCTACCCAGCCTGAGTCGGACACGGTTTCATATATAATGAATGTTACATGGTACTTACTCTTATCTATTTTAATCAATTAGATAGCTCGTACAATTCATCCATAAATCTTCTAATAAAAATATGACATAAACAAGTTGGTTAGTTACTTAATTTTAATTGAACACTAGAATAAGCAACTCAATAGCAAAATTTCCATAATAATGCTTCATATTGATATATATTTATGATTGAGTAGGATATTATAATAAAACTATTACTAGATATAGAACAGAAACTGTGAATACTAATCATGAAACAGCATTTTTCCATATGCAAAATATTTATTTACCGAATAAATTCTATTATTACGAGAAAATTAGGTCTCATCAGATACATAATTCGAAACAAAAAGCAAAATGATACACTTCATTAGACATAAGATCTATTATTTTCTTCTTATTATTGAAAAATAAATAACATTCTCAATTAAATAAAACAAAATAAATTTGGCTTGTTAATTTCAATTCTTATATTCAAATATGTTAAATTTTAATACACAAAAAAAATGAATACTTCATCACTTTATTTTCATAAATGAAATCATATTTCTATAGTTGCCTTAAATTAACTAAAAACATTAACTCGCTGGACTAACCATTATGAAAAAAAGCCTCTCTCATATTAATATATATTTACAATGAAAGAATATTTCAATTGAGAAAAAAAAAACAGTCAAATCAAAAGTGAAGACAGCACTGTTTCAAATAAATATGAATGAGAATAAGTTTAACTATCATTATTATTGTTATTATTATTTTCTTGATTTATTGTTGATGAAGAATATCTATTTGAATAATGTTCTAATCGTCGACGACGTATAACATCAGCTTCATTTTCATTAATTGAATTTAATATATCTAAATAATAATTAATTATATTAAGAAATTTATTTTTAAATAAAATAAAAATTTTACTATTTGTTGAATTATTATTTTCTGATGATGATAGTACTTGATCGACGTCATTTTTCAGACCACTCAACAGATGAGTGCCATTTTCCATATTACTATTAATAGAAAATAAAATTAATAAAAAAAAAAAAAGAAATATTTCAAAAAACAACAAACAAACCTTTGCGTTAATACAATATTCATATATTGTTGCATTTGTATCATTGATGCATCTAATAAAGTTCTTACATTACGTAAACATTGAATACGCGCTTGAACATGAGCTAATTCTGTTCCTTCCATTGCTCGAATTGCTTCTTCAGACATACCAGTAAAGTCAGTTGGTGGTAAAGGTGGAGGAGGAAAAGCTTAATGAATAATAAATTATATTGAAATAAGTTTTTTTCATCATAGTTTTGAACTAACTTACCAAATGGTGGTAATACCATAGGACATGCATTAAATGGTATTTGTGGAAATATTCCAACACCACTTGTATTGGTATTTGATGATGACGCTTGAGTTGTTGTTGCATTAATTGGTGTAGAGCTAGAGCTTGCTGGTACAGCTGAAGCTGAAGAATCAGATGGTGGAGCAAATCTAACTGGAGATACAGGTATTTGAGCTTGTGCTTGTGGAGCTGCAGCTGGTTGAGCGTTAGGTGATGGTGGCGGTGCTGCTGCTCCTCCTGCTCGAGGAGGTATAGGTCGTAAAACAGTAGTTCGACAAATGGGACCTAGAATATTAATATTTTATATCAAATGAAATATTTTTACTATACATACAAGTTTGTTGTCGTTGAAACCATGAACGTAAACAATTTTTATGAAATATATGTTGACAAGAAAGACGTTTAATACTTTGTTGTACTTGCATTTCTTCTCGACATATAATACATGTTGTATCAGCAACACTAGCAAGTTCATCAGCCGTTAAATCAGGATACATTGTATTTAAATTACGAATAGCACGCCGTGATTCAAGTACATCATTGCATGATTTACGGAATGCTCTATGAAATAATATAAATAAGTAAATAAATAAGCTATAAAAAAAGCTTACCGCATCGCAATAAACATTGGTCGAATAGCAAATAATGGAAATGTATGAATTTTCATCATAACTATTATAAAGACCATGTAAAGCGTAAGACGAAAAAATCCAAGAATCAAATCCGAATAAAGCATAAATACACCTTTATTCTCCCATTGCTCACCGGCACGAATTTCAATTGAATGAAGAATATATTTTATTGCAGTTGAAATAATCGAAACAAGTAGAATAGCATACTAAAAAAATTTTTCAATAAAAACAACATTATCATTTTTCACTAACAGTAATAAATAATAATCTTTACCATCGTCTACCGTACATACGCACTGAAAATTTGTGTACATATACATCACTAAGAAATATAGGGCAATGTTATTATCTTAAGACTTGAAATGTGTGGGACTAAGCTTTTTAGTTCTGGTCTAGAGGTAACTATTCTAGAATTTATTCGTATCACGTCTAAAAAAATTCTTCACTACTCGAGTTTTGATTCATGGTTTATAAGATAAATTGCTTACAATCATAGAATATTCACCTTTAATGTTTAATTTAGGTTGGGACAACTGTTTTCTCGTACTCCCGCACATCTCTACTTTAGACTTATTATTTAAGAATATATCCTTCTCTTTTAAACTAAATCACACTTTTGGTAATGCTAATAAAAAAAGCCTACTAATGAACATTTGTAAGTACTAAGAGAATTAAGATAGCTAGTTCCTTCATAAATAAAAATAGATTGTTCATAAAAAAGTATAATTGCACACAACTTTTCAGATTTATACTATTCAAAAATTTAATTAATTTTATTTTACATACCTCAAAACCAAAGACAATTTGAACAGAAGCTCCTTTTGCTATTGTATGCATATAAGCTGATGAAATAAATAAATAATCGAGAAGACATAGAACACTTAAAAGTCCTATACACAAAATAAGAATATTTATCAGTCTTAAAATTCAATACCTCATCTTACCGACAACTCGTGCATGAAATATTGGTCCAAGAATAGGACTTTGCTCCATCTAAATTAAAGATTTTTCTTTTCCCTTATAAATTACAAAAAGTCTAATTTCACTTACATAATCAACACGATCTTCTAATAGCCAATGAAAGCATTTAAGAAAAAGTAATATTGCAAACAAAGCCACAAAACGTGGACTGAAATCATCACGAAATACAGTAAATGCTAAACATGTTTCTGTTATAGAAAACCATCCACGATCATAGAGATGCTTAAAAAATAAAACAAAATAAAATTCGAATAAAAAAATTTTCTATCTCAACAAACCTCAGTTTCAATAGCTCGAAGTTGTCCAAGAAATATTCGTTGAACAAGTTTACCCAATAAAATAACAAATACAAATGCTTGAACGTAAAGAACCTAAAAAAATAAAATCGATATTTTTGACAATATTTTTTAGGGAATTGATTTATTATTTTTTTTACCGCAAGACTTGTACTTGACTTTGTTAAATACACAACTGATGGATAAAATTGTTTTTTTATATAAAAAGCATTGGCTATAACAACAGTTGTTAATAAAAAACTAAGTAAAACTAAATATCCAACTTTCATTAACATAATTTGTGGCATTGAGTTTTATGACAAAAAGAACCAAAAATTTCTAGTTTTAATCGACACGTGGAATGAAGAAAGAAATGGAAAATAACAACAACAACTGACAATCATGTTTTTTCATGATTGGTTGTTGATTTAAAACCAATGAGATATTATCACATTGAGTAAGACTAAGCAAGTAAGTAAGTGAGTAAGAAAGCAAGAAAGGTAATTGTCATTATTTTAAATACAATTTTCACCATGGCTGATTCCTTACGTCGAAATTCATTTTCTGAAATACCATCAGTTATATCACATTGCCGTCGATGTCAACTTGATATTGAATCTGATCCACAATGTAATGGACGCACAAGAATATTATGTCCATTTTGTGGAGAATTTCTTATTCGACCTAATTTACCAAATATTCAACAATTAAAAATAGATATTCAGGTAGGTTTTATTTTTCTTTTGGAGTATTTTTAAAATTTTATTTTTCGATTTTTTCATTTAGAGAAGAGCCAGAGATGATCATATTGATCATGGTTTAAGTCTTCGTTCACGTTTTAGTCGAACATTTAATCGGATAATTTTACGAAGACAAAATATTATTAATAATAATGGTATAACAGGAAGTCATAGACGAAATCAAATAATTACAAATGTTAAATTACCATCGATTGAAAATAAACAACAAACAAGCGAAACAGTAAGTGTTAACAATCACAATAATATTAGTATTTTTCGATGACTAAAAATTTTTTGGCATAATTCTCTTCTTTTTAATATGACCATTTATAATAGTAAAAAATTAATCATACGAGTGGAAGATACTTCGGTTTGAATTAACATTTTGAAATACAGTCACTACATTTATTGCTGTAATTCATACCAGCAATCAGCACTGACGAGGAAACGTCTTTAAGTGTCAAATCGCTTTTGAATTTAGACTAGGTCCAACATGTAGATTGGAATGAGCTATGAAGACCTTGAAAAGAGTACGGACTAGTAACTTATTACTACCAAGATATTGTATTTTTAGCTGAATGCTGCGGTTCCATCATGAACAGCTAGAAAGCTGAGTTTTGTATTTTGATTTGAAACTTTGTACTGAGACAGATCTTAACGAAAATAGTTTATTGTGAGAGTTTCAGATTTTGCAATGGTGCCTATGCTTAAATAGGAATATGGAAATTTGTTATTGTATATGAGTGGCGTAGGAAACATGCTTTTACTATAGATGTATCTTACGAGGGAACATTCCCAAGTGATTTGCTCTGTTTTGATTCATTCATATCTCATTCGATAGAGTATATTGAGATAAGAAAAAGCCTAAAAGAACTCGTGCCCATGGCCTAGTAGTGAAGAGTTATGGCCGTTTTACTGAAATTTGTACTGTGTACCAAGCATTTCGGAAAAAAACAAAGTGAAGATTTTCGAGCTGCAATTTTATCTGTAGATAGATTTAATAGTCATTATATAGTCCTGAAAGTTTCAATGAAGACGGACATCTCTTTCTCGAGATATTCAATGTCCGACTAAACTGGATTATTGTGCCCTCCTATGGTAAACAGCTATTTCTTTTTTGAAAATTGAATAACTCAAGAAAGATATGTTCGTTTTCGTTGAAACTTTTAGGATTATATAATGGCTATTAAATCTATCTACAGATAAAATTTCAGCTCGAAACTCTTCACTTTTTTCCGAAATGCCTGGCTTACATTAAAAATTTCAGTAAAACGGCCATAACTCTTTACTACTAAGCCATGGGCACGAATCTTTTTAGGCTTTTTCTTATCTCAATATACTCTATCGAATGAGGTACGAATGAATCAAAATAGAGCGAATCACTTGGGGATATTCCCTCGTTAGTATAGAAGCAATCTGAAGATCTGAAACTTTTACAATAAATTATTCTCATTAAGGCTTGTCTCTATGCACAGTTTCACATCGAAACTCAGTTTTCCTGGTGTTCCTGAGCGGACTGCGGTATTCTGCGAAAAATACCATTTCTTGGTAGCAATAAGCTATTAGTCCGAACTCTTTTCAGGCTATTCATAGCTCATTGGAACCTACATGATGCACATAGTCCTGATTCAAAAGCGATCAAACACTTAGAAACGTTACCTTGTGAGTAAGGATGAAGATTTTGTCTAAAGTAAAAAAAAAAAAAAAAAAGTACCGAAAAATTTTCTTTTATTAATCTTTTAATGGTGAAGTCGGAATATAGTAAAACAGTCATTCTCAATATTAGTTATTTTCTAACATAGATCCCACTGGTATCAACATTGCATTTTAAAATCAAGTCTAAGTGCAAAAATTATGATGACGAATAATTTTTAAAGTATACCATGTTAACAATAGAGTTTTACTTTAGTTATTCTAAAAATAGGTCGACCATCAAAGAGTTAATATATAAATAATTTTGATGCGATTTATCATGTATGTAAATCTATCGGCTAAATTAAATAATCATAGAAAAAATATTCTTTCAGTTTTGTGTACTCATTGCTATTTCTAACAGTGAAAATGCTAAACATCGGATCACAGAAGTTATTCAAGTATTAAACAATCTTGTAATGTTTAAATTCCCTAAAAATAATAATTATTATTTACATAGTAGTGACAATGTAGTTTACGAGAAAACTGAGATTTGAAAAGAACGAAAACTATGCTTATAATTATAAACATGTAATTCTCTTTACATATATCGTAGTTTTCGATATGCGGTGCAAAAGTAGCAGTATTTCGAAACAACTCAGATTGGACGCAAAGACGGCCGTCCTGGACTAATGAATTCTGAGTAGAATTTACCAGAACACAAGAGAAACTAGTATAGTTCTATGTGAAAACGACCGATTTTCTTTACGATCTGAGAAGATCATTACTTTGGCCCTTCTCTTCTCGGAACATTCCTGCCAAAGCTATAAAATTTAAAAATTTGAATAGTGTAGTGCTCCTCTGATAATTTTATTTTTACTTGCATATGATTTTATGATAAAGTGAGTTGAAAAATCTCGAATAACATCTATATTTTTGTTTTTACAGACAAGTAAAGAAAACCTAACATCATCGTCATTACCAATGCTAACTACAATATCTTCTCTGCCATCGATTAATATTTATAATTATGAAAGTTTTCAGTAAGAAATTTCTACTAAATTAAAATGATTATTCTAATCTTTATTAATAATAGGCGTTTGATTAGTGATGAAAATCCTGATAATGATCAAATATTTGCTTTTTTTTCAATGTTTTATTCAAATTTCGTTTATATGATACAATCATTAACACTGGTAAGAAATAATACAAGGTTATTTATTCTTGAAATTTTATTTATTCATATAGAATGATAACACAAAACAAATAGATTGGAGATATCTTCAAATGATTCATGAGTATATTATAAACAATTCTGATACAATATCTCGATTAGTACTCAAAACAATTGCATCATGTTGTATACGAGAAGTTCGGTAGGAGTTTAAAAAATTTTTTTTTTCTTAAATTTATTAATTAACTACTTCCAGTTTTTGTTTTTCAAATCATAATCAACAATTTAGGTAAAACAAAAGCAAGAACTATTATCTCAAGCTCATATTTTTCTTTTGATTAAAACAGCAATATATATAGCAAAGCAAGACTTTGATTATACTTTATTTATAATTCTTTCAAGTTTTATATGAAGAACAAGTTTCTTTTGAGTGTGACTTAGAAAAACAAAAGTCATTAAGACTAGAATTAGTTTTTATACATTGAATTAATAAGATTATATGACCCTATATTTGTCTCGGTTGGAATTTCGACAAAAAATAAAAGATGCTAACCTTGAATGACGAACAATAACAATGCCAGGTCAAGAGAAGAGGATCATTTTTGTATTGAATAATTCATTTGTATATAAAAGATTCGATGCTTTCGATCTTCCAAAGTCATTTGAATATCTTGGTGTTTGAATTGACATTTTCAAAAAAATTTGTTGACCTTCTTTCTTAGATTTCAATTCGATCTACTAATTTTAGAAGTCTCTATAACACTGAAGACTTACCGTTGTTGTTTTGATAATGTCGAACAAGAGAATTCATCTGACAAAAGTCTTTCAATACTGAACTTTGTTGAAGAATATGCAGTTAAGCTTTGAGAATCATTGCAAAGAAAAAAAAACAGTTCAAATTGTTTTCGCTGCATTTATTATAGTGTCTTTTTTTTGCATTTCATTTGTTTTTTTTTTGTTTATAGTTCATGTGAAAATACTCTCAAAGGTTATACCATTCTTATACTGGTAATATATTCTTGGTATTATTACGACATGTTCAGATTTCCTAAAAAGTGAATCGTCGCTTGTATAGAAATTTCCCACTCAGCGGAAAAATATATCAAAAGAAGAGAGAAAATTTATGGAAGCTTCTAAAATCTCATAGTTTATACCGAAATATATCCTAAAGCAATAGTGAATTTACCAGAAATGACGTTGATTCCTTTTTTAAGAAAGCTACCGAGAAATTTCTTAGTGAATTATGAAATTACTCAGTCGTTACAAAGCTATGTCCAGATGGTTTTGAACATTAAAATTCTTTCAACAGGAAATCTCTCGCTTTTTTCAAAAAGATACTAAAAAAACTATATAAACATCATTAGGAAACTTCTAAAAACACCGAAATACATGAAATAAATTTCTGTGTACCATCGAGCTATTCTGAAAAATTCCAGAAGTTACTGTGAAATTCCAAAAATTACTTACATTTCAAAAGACAGCTTCTTTTTCTCCATGACAAGATACATTAACATATATATAGAAGAAATATTTTGTAACTTCAGTATTTATTGAAATTTCCTTTTAAACTTCAAGATTTCTGAAGAATCACTGGAATTACTAACATTTTTACTTTTACATATTACTGATTATCGAAATGATCTAGAAGTTGCTCTAGTGTTAGATGAAGGACTTTGGAATTTTATTAGAAACTTCCAAATTTTGTTACTGATATGGTTTTTCTTTGGTAGCAATTTCTGGAATTTACTTCTTGGAAATCTGAACACTTTGGTTCTTTCTTTTAATTTAAAATAGCTTTAAGATTTTCTAGGCACCTGTTTTCGATGATTCATCAAATAATCATATATTTGCTCATGTATTACGTCGTATTGCACATTTTGTAGATCGTGAACATCAAGAAATAGTGTCACTTTTACAAACGTAAGAATTATTTTTTGTTGTTATCATTAAGATAAACTATAATTTATTGTCTTCTTTTTTTTGTTACAATAGATTACCAGTTGAAATGTTTCGATCAACTGTTCATCGTTTACAAACATTTGTTGCTATAAATCTTTTCCCATCACGTTCAGATAATTCAACATCAGCTTTTGTCAATGGCTGGTGGGTTCCATGTGCTATTCGAGCATTAGCATTATTTAGTAAGTTTAATCAAATAGAAGAAATAGAATGTGTCATCATAGTATAAATAAAGATGTAGCTAATAAACAGTTAAATCGAATTTTTATGAATTATAATGAATTTATTATTGATTTACTTGATGATATTGATATTGAATTTGAATATCATCTTTGGTTAAAAAGATCAACAGGGTACTTAAAGATTTTTTTATCTATGCTCTATTTTTGCTTGATAATCAGTTGTAAATGCATATAGAACAAAAATATTTGCAATGTCTTTAATTTAATTTTATCTCTGATATAAACAGATAATGCCAATGAAATGGTCAATGGTCGTATAATACCTTTGGCCGAAATGGCAATAGATTCATTAAATTATATTGATGGAGAACGTGATTATTTTGAATGGAAACATCGAAAATCACGTGGAATAATTGGCGGGTCAGAAATATGTTTTTCAATTGATGTCGTTATTTAGACGTATATGCATAGAAAAGTTTTGTCGCTTTTATTGTGTAGTTTTCTTTTCTGCATTGATGTCATTTATTGTTTTAATGAAAGAAGATGAAAACAAAAACAAAATTTTTTTTTTAGTTTTACATTTTGTCAATATCCATTTGTGCTAAGTATTAATGCAAAACGGACTATATTAAAACGTGATTCCGAACAACAAATGATTATTAATGCTCGTGTAAGTTTTTCTATCATCCAAAATAGAGAGCAATTTATCAAATTGATCTTTTTTAAATATTTTTCAGCGTAGTATGGTACAAAAATTTCAAAATAAACAAACACCAAATTTAAATATGCTTTTTTTAAATCTTTACATTCGACGATCACATTTAGTTCTTGATTCTCTTACTGAAGTATGCAATTATTTTGACGCTTTTATTTTCTTTTGTGCTAACTTTTGTTTTATAGGTTACAAAAAAGCGTGATGATTTAAAGAAAAAATTACGTGTAACGTTTGTCGGGGAACATGGTCTTGATATGGGTGGTTTAACAAAAGAATGGTTTCTTCTATTACTTCGAGAAATATTTTTACCTGATTATGGTATTGAGTTAGATCTCATTTTCAATCGAAAATTTTGTTGTTTTTTTCAGGAATGTTTGTATTTTATGAGCTATCTGGTGTTTTTTGGTTTAATGGTGCATCAACTGATAATATTCGAGAATATAATTTAGTTGGTATATTAATGGGTCTAGCAGTTTATAATGCAATTATTCTTGATATACGTTTTCCTTTGGTTTGTTATAAAAAACTTTTAACACCTGCATTTATAACAGAACCTATGAACAATTTATCAAAAACTAAAGTTGGAATTATTAAACCAATATTAGCAGATTTTCGAACAATTCGACCTGTAATTCGAAACACACAACAAACTGACAAAATTTTTCTTGAAAATGAATTTTTATCTTTATGTTGTATAGGATATTGCAAATAGTCTTCAATATTTACTCGATTATGAGGGAAATGTCGAAGAAGATTTTGGTCTTACTTTTGAGGTAAATATTAGATTTTATAAGATTATTTGAGGAATATTTAAGAGATTGTTCAATAGTTTTCTCGTAGAAGTTATTTTTATCATGACACGAATCATATAGTAATCCCTTTAGATTTTCAAATCGACTTTGTGGAATAACAGAATAACCTGGATACACAGTAATTCACATTGTGTGAAATTCACTAGGGATTGTATTCAGAACAAACTAAACTGATCTAATGAGATTCATTGATAAAAAAAGAAACAAACAAGAAGCTCATTTCTTTTTTTCTTTTGTCAAGAACAATAATTCCTTTGAGTATTAACCTATGTGGAAAAAAGAAACAATACCCTGCTAGTGTTCTCATCTAATAAAAAAATCTAATTCTGATCTCAGGACAAAATCAAAATTAGATTGCAATATGATTTCTCAATGTTTCTTTTTCTTTTTCTTTTATTAATTTGGTAACGTCATTCAAGTAAATTGTCTCGATGTTCTATCAAATCAGCATTAATAGTTTTGAATAAAAGATAAGATATTTTATGTAATGCAATACAATATCTATAGCTCTGCATCACGTATTAGATCAAACGATGTGTCAGATAAATACAAGAACTAGACTTTGAAAATACTAATGGGGATGTATCATTATTTGTATTTGTAGAAGTCGATCATTTGTTTTGTATGATTCATTTCGAATAGTATATTAACATGTGAAGACATGTATAATTATTGAAATAAGTTCTCCAGTTATTACTCTTTCAAATTAACAAAACAAATTAAGCAGACTTGACTTTTAATTCATATCACGCGATTCTTTATATTCCTATAGGATGTTCTTAATAATTCAAAGTTTAAAAAATAGTCAATATACTAAAGTGAAAAGATAAATTGATTAACGTATATACCTTTTTTCAAAGGTTTCCGTGGCTCAATATGATACAGCAATGATATATTCATTGAAAGAAAATGGGTCAAAAATTGATGTAACAAATGAAAATCGAAATGAATATGTTGAACTGTTAATTGATTTTTATATAAATAAACATATATCGAAACAATTTGAAGCGTTTTACTATGGTTTTCATAGTGTTTGTTCATCAAATGCACTACTTTTACTTGTACCAGAAGAACTTGAAATGTTAATATGTGGGATGGAACAATGCAATTTAAGTAGTTTAGCTAATATAACTAAATATGAGAATTGTAATCCAAATGAAAATTTTATCAAGTAAATTTTTGAAAGTTTTTATCTATTTTTTCTATATGCAAAACAAAACAAAATTCTATGATTATTTTATTTAAGATGGTTTTGGCAAGTTGTAGAAGAAATGCCATCAGATAAACAAAGACGTCTTTTATTATTTGTTACTGGTAGTGATCGAATGCCAATAGGAGGATTATGTGAAATGACATTTAAAATTGCAAAAATATCGTCCAATAAATGTAATATCAATGATTTGTAAGTTAAATATAATTTTAGCTTTCGTAAGAATGTTATTTTTTCCCCCTCTTTGAAGAAATTTTTAGAATCTTCTCATAAATATTTATAGTGAATACATTAACAATATTCCTTTTGAATTTTATTTCAATTAACAAAGTTTTAAAATTTTTTGTTTTGCTGTTTAAATATTTAATAGTTAGAAGGCAACAGCAGTGTTCAAATTTCCGAAAACAAAAGTAAATTTCTTATGAAAAATCAGATCAGTAAGGAAACTCGAAAATTATCGTAATATCTCTTAAAGCAATAGAAATCATCTGCTGAAAATACTCAACTTTCCACGAAACTTCCTCAAGTTATCAAGACATTAGATTTAAATTTCTAGGCAAATTTTTGAAGTTCCTCTTATACCACTAAACAACTTTCAGATAATTTCGATAATGAGCAATGCACAAAACAAGGAATTTCTAACTATTTTCATCAAATCTAAACATTCAGTCATGCATAATATTTATAAATATTTACAGGCAATGCCGCATAAGAAAATTTTACACAGCATAGATTTAATAATTACTGCGTAACTGTTAGCAAACGTCACTAGAGAGATAATTTACCTGCTAACTATTATATATGTATATTGATGCATTTTTCAATGGAGAGCAAGAATCTTCTCTTGAAAATATGAATAATTCTAGCAATTCCTCAAAAAATTTCGAAAATCTGCAATAAATACTGAAATTACGAAATTACGAAATTTCCAAGTAATTTTTAAAATGACTCAAATTTCGTACGATAGAAACTTCTTTTTCATAGATAAGGACAGTGATATATAGGTCAATTAATAATAGTAATTTCTCAGAGTAGTTCGATGTTGGACGGAAATTCGTTTCATGTATGTAAGTGTTTTCAAAGGTTTAATAATGTTTTTTTTCTGGTAGTTTTTGAAAAAGTCAAGAGATTTCCTGTTAAGAGAGTAGTAATTATTGAAATCATCTGGAAATAGCTTTGTAGTGGTTGAGTAATTTCATAATACACTCAGGAATTTCCTCGTAATTTTCTGAGAGGAAGTTGCGTGATTTCTGATTAATTTACTATTGCTTTAGAATAGGATCCAATAAATACTATGAGATTTCAGAAGTTTCCATCAATCTTCTTTATTGGTTTCTTTGGTGCATTCTTTCGCTGTGTGATAAATTTCCATGTATTCGAAAATTTACTTTTTTTGGAAATCAGAACATTGTTCGTATAGAAATATTTTCTTATCAAACGATAAAATCAAATAAAAGAATTTTCTATTTACATAAATATGCATGTTGATTTGTTCCTTTCTAGGTTACCCATGTCACATACATGGTATGTGATTATTTTATCTTTTTATCAATATATTTTCTCTCTTATTCCATTTTTGTCTAGTTTCAATCAATTACTTTTACCGCCTTATCCAACCCGTGAAATTCTTAAAGAAAAATTATTTTTGGCTATTGAAAATTGTGAAGGCTTTGGTATCGAATGATAAAATAAAACAAAAAAAGAACCAAAAGTCATTTTCTTTTTCCATTGTGAAATAAATTTAATCATTCCATTTCATAAAATAAAAAAAGATATTCCTCTAACTTATTTTATTTTATCTTTTAGATTAAAAAAAACAAATGGCTGATATAACACAATTGGATCTCTATGAATTATTTAGTGTTAATGAAACATGTTCAACTCAAGAATTAACAACAGCATTTCGAAAAAAAGCTTTAACATGTCATCCAGACAAATATCCAAATGATAATGAAAAGAAAGAACTCTTTTTACTTATAAAACGAGCATTAGAATTATTAACAGATAAACAAGCTCGAGAAGCTTATGATACATGCCGAAAACAAAAAAAACTTCAACACGAACGTTTATCACATATGGATGATAAACGAAAAAAATTTAAACAAGATCTTGAACGTAATGAACAAAAAGCATCACAAACAACAAGTTCAACAATAAATAAATCTTCTACAAATAAATTACGTGCTGAAATTGAACGTTTACGACGTGAAGGAAGTCGTCTTGTTGATGAAGAACTTGAAAAACTTCATAATATGTTTGAACAAGATAAACAAAAAAATTCATCAAATCATGTAAATATAATTATTAAATATAATCCAAATACTCGACTATATACAGATGATGAACTTCGACAAGTATTTAGTAAATATGGAAATATTTCAACAATTATTAATCTTAATGTCAAACGTGCATTAATTGAATTTTATGATGATCATATATCACAATTTATTGAAAATGAAAAAGGGTTAGATGAGCGACCTTTTGCTTCAGTAAAAATTCAAAAACAAAAAAATACAACAACATCAGCGTCATCGTCACCGTCATCATCTTTATCAACAAAAAAGCAACATGATATTGTAGATTTAACAAAACCTGATTTTGAAGATTTTGAAGCTATGATTTTGAAAAAAATGTCTCAACAAACAACAACTTCATAAATTTATGTACTTTTTTTGTATTATTGTAATAAAAAAAAAAGGAAGCATAGTAACAGAAAATTCAATTTATGAATCAGCCGTTCGCTTGCAGCCTTGCATACATATTTTTTTTCGCACCTTATCTTTTAGCCTATTTATGTCTCATGTCTAAAGCAAAAGTAAGATTATTAAAATGAAATGCATTGCTTTTTTGTCAGATGTAAAAATTTGTCTCCATTTTATTTACTTTATGTGACATGCAATAAATATTCAAAAAAAAAACAACACGGATAAAAGTGGAAGTTTTGAGTTGAGTGTATTATTACTTTTAGCTTCCACAAACACTAGTATACCTTTTCTTTTTCTTTTACTGCATGCAGACACCCATACACAGTACGTATTCTCGCTCTCGGCGGCATCATAGAAAAAAGAAACGAATAAAAAAGAAAGAAAGAAAAATCTCGCGAGTTCCGTCTGATAACATAGGTTTTTCTTTCTTGCTTTGTATGTGTGTGTGTGTGTGCTGTCTGTCAAAAAAAAATAACAAACTTCTGGCTTCTATTCATGCTCGTCTGAAGGAATATATTGTCACAATTAGCGCGACAATCCTTATGTGTATATTTATACGACTAAATTATCAAATCCGGTAGGTACGTAAGAAGCAATTATATAGTAGTCAAATAATAATAAGGTTACACACGATCTGAACTATTAAAAATGAAGAAATCACTGTGAATTTTGTTTTTGTACATTTAGTTACACCATCTGATAAATTGATTAGATGAATTCATTGCAACAAAATAGAAAAAGCAACAAGAACGACAGCAGAATTCATTGATTTATCCCTTAGCGTGCCTAATATACATATAATGCACACAGTAGGAGTGGAAATAGGGTTGAAAACAATGAAGAGAACATTATTGTTGTCTCATTTGACAGAAGCAGATGTGACAGTCTCTCATATCATCATCATCATCACCATCCTCATCGGTTGTCGACATGAATGTCGACTGCGTTGGTGACATAGCAGACATCATGCTGTAATAGAGAACAAATGAAAGAGAAAAAAACTGTCATATTTGAAGATGTTCATATTGTTGACAAGTAGAATACTACTAGTACAACTATAGGGAGAGAAAGAAGAAAGAAAAGCGCGAGACGACAACATAGTTTCCGATAATTTTTCATCATTTTCCTTTCTTTTTTTCTAATATAATCAAACAAAATGTTCGCATGTATTCCACAAATATTTTAGTCTCTTTCTTTCTTTAATCAAGAATGGCAGAGTCGACATCACGAGCTATATCTCGTTCACCACATAGACTTGAATATACATCATGCATTGATACAACGATATCGTCATCAACATCAATGACAACACGTGGAAATATAAATGCTCATTCAAGTTTTGATTTTATTAGTCAAACACGTGATTGTGATACTTCAATAATTAGAAATTGTGATCATCGTACTAAGCCTCATCGGCCACTTGGACGTGATTTACGTCGATTAGATATCGATTCAAATAATCATAGTATAGAAGTAAATAATAAAAAATTAGCTCGAACGGAATCAATTTCATTACCAACGACGCCAGTTGAACAGATATCTTCAACATTTAATCATAAGTGTCATCTATTAGTGCCAGGATCATTAAATAATAATGAAGATGATGATGAAAATGAACAACATTTTCATTTTACACCCTCAAGAAAATGTAGAATTCCTGCACCAGAACAAGTAACAATTGAATCAATATCAAATTCTAACAGGTGAGAAGAAAAAAGAAAAGAAGAAGAAGAATTTATTATCAATATTCTTAATTTAAAGAAAAAACTATAATAATAATCATAATAATCATATTCATTGACAGGCAAATAAATGCATATAGCAAAAATATTTTTCTGACATGCTATTTACTTGTCTTATTTCGGACATATAGATGATATATATGCATTTGAAGTAAATAGAAAGAAAATTGATTGTCAACTGCTAGGAACAAACTAACTAACAGTTGTCATGTATTAGAGGAATAGATAAGAATAAATTGACAGATCAATTTATAATATTGAATTTCTAATTTAAAACAATATTTGTCAAAATACAAAACAACAAAGCATGAATGCATTGGTTAGTACGCAAGTCTTTCTTTTTTTATTCAAATGAGATTAAATTTTCAATAAATCTAAAGTTCATACATTAAATATTATGTTTCTAGAACTCAACAATCTGCATCATTATCTTCCTTATCATCATCATCAGAATCAAACATTCCATTTACAATTGGAGTCGATTGGACTGATCAAGCATATCCAATATCACATTGTTGGTTTCCATATAATCCAACTGATCCTTCTTCAGCTCCAGCATGTTCTTTTTTATCTTGTCAAAATCCCAAACCAACACTTGTATTATCACTTGTTCAATGTGAATCCTGTTTAATCGTTGTACATACTCATCATCTTTCAAATTTACGAACAACAAAATCAAATATAACAAAGTATATGCCATCATGTCGTCCTTCATTTTGTGATGACAATGATAATGCTGGAAAAAATAAGCATGATCGACATTTTTGGTCTAATATATCAATACTTGCTAAGCCTTGTACTAGTTGTAAACGAAAATCAATGTCAAATTCTCTATTTGGTAATTCTCGAGCATCTCCAGTGCCAACATCAGATATAATGACTAAAGGTATAAGTAATAATAAAAGTCCAGTGCCTGGCAGTCCACAATTGTCTGGAACAGCAGGTGGTCTTCAATGTTTATGGTGTTCCCGTGGTTATCATAGACAATGTTGGGAGCAAATATCTAATCAAGATGATAAAAATAAATGTGATTATGGAGTATTTAGGTACAATTTATGCAAAGAAATTAGTATAAAATTCTTATTTTCTTTTTGTTGTAGAAAGATAATTGTTCGACCGCAATGGATACATCGTATTCCTGGTTCTTCATCAAATTTTCGTGCACAAAATCCTTCGAATAATGATAATCAACATGATACAATCTATACTCCATTACTTTTATTTATAAATAAACGTTCTGGTGGTCAAAGTGGTGAAAAAATCTATCGAAAATTATTACATCTATTAAACCCTCGTCAAGTATTTTTACTTGATAATGATCAAACTATAATTAATGCATTAGATATATATTCATCATTATCAAATATTCGTATATGCGTATTTGGGGGTGATGGAACAGTTGGTTGGGTATTAGGTCGTTTAGCTGAATCATATCCATCATTAAATAATCCGCCTGTATCTATATGTCCATTAGGTACAGGCAATGATTTATCTCGAGTATTATTATGGGGTGAACAATATGATCCAAAACGTCTATTATCAACATTAACACAAATTCCTCAAGCGCAACCAATAGCACTTGATCGTTGGCAAGTAGCAATGGAACAATTAGATGTAGCAAATTCAAATATAAATCCAAATAATGGAAGAACATTTTTGTCATTTATAACACATCCAAAATTTATTCGTGATACAAAACGTCCATCATATCAAAATCATCGTACATTACCAACTACACGTTTTATCAATTATATGAGTTTCGGTTTAGATGCAGCTATAGCATTAGAATTTCATGATAGACGATCACGTGATCCGGCGAAATTTTCATCCCCATTAAAAAATAAATTAATGTATTTAAATGAAAGTCGAAAATATTTAAATGATTTTGCACGTTCAAAATTATGGAATTTAAGTTCATATATACGTTTAATATGTGATGGAGAAAATTTAACAGATTCGATTAAAAATTGTCATACATTACTTGTATTAAACATTCCTGGCTATGCATCTGGGACAAACCCATGGGGAAAACCATCAACTAATACATCATCATCATCTCCATCAATAACTATACAAAAAGATTCGGATTCATTTGAACAAATTTCAACAAGTTCTGTTGAGTTAAATGATTTACCAGCTAATGCACATGAAGTTTATGAATTAATTGCATTAAACGATTGTCCAAATGATCAAGTTAATTCATCATCATCAACAACAGTTAATAATGCAACTGGTCGTTTTGAACGACAAGATTTTGGTGATAAAAAAATTGAAGTTGTAGGTTTAAGTACAACACATATGGCTACAATACATATTGGTTTTCGTGGCATGCGTATAGCACAATGTAGTCAGTTACGTATTGAATTATGTTGTCCTATGACAGCACAAATGGATGGCGAACCATTTTATTTACCAGAATCCGTTGCTGTAAATATCACACATGCGGGTCAAGTGTTGGTATTACGCAATGAAAACAGATAAAATTTAACGAATTTCTGTATATTTTCGTTTGGTTTACAGAAACAAAAAAACAGTAAGACTGATGAACATCAGTTTAAATTGACACATAGCGAACTCTTTATTTTTCAAGACTATTGTTTTGATCTTCGTTTTTATTTTTTATTTTATATAAACATAACTACTAATTAAAAAGGATAGATACATATATTACTATAACACAATATTAACATCATGAAAATATTCTCGAGACTAGAACAATTATTTTAATGTCAATGCAACATTAAGAGCATATCTTTTGTTAACCTAAAGATGACTATACCGAAATAGATGTCCTTTGAATACTATGAAAAATAGTTAGGATATATTAACATTTGAATTTTCAATCAAAAACTAATGAAGGAAACTGTTTAACATATAAGATATATTTCATTTAAAACAATAGAATATGTTTTAGGATTTTTATAGAATAAATGATCAAGAGATATTCCAATTTTCTGATGTTTTCTAGAAAGAGAATATTATCCACAGATGAAAAAGACATTTTGTGTAAAGCTATCTTCTTATTGTAATACTCTTATCTTCAAGATGGATAACTGTTTATAAACTTAGTTTAATAAATCTCCATTAACTACTTGAAATCACAATGTAAATAACAAATAATTAAGAAAAAAGAATAATCTTGTCTTATCAAACTGCATCACATAATTGTTTTTTTATCATTTTGACATATTTTTATTATTTGATTATGAAAGATCAATAGCAATAAAGGATAAAATAAATCTCTTTTTTTTTTTATTTAATATTAACTTCATCATGATCTATACTTATTGACATATTATATCATTCTTAAATAAAATAAAAAATAAAAAATAATCATGTTAATGAGCTATTTGGATTGCTCTTATTTATTAATAGATATACGTTGTGATAAAGTCAATATTAAATGATGTTTATGAATATCAATTATTAATGGTGAGAGTTGATATTAAATTTTGTGTAGAATTAATCAGCAGCTTTCAGGATTAATTTTTTCCAAATTTTTCTATAAAATCCTACTTTATGTTTTATCATTAGACGGAAGAAATTAGGTCGAAGCAAGTATCTCGTTAAAGATAAGGGCAAGAACGACACTCAGGGCAACATATTACTTGAGAGTGAGAGTTAACTCCTCTGAACCACAGCTATGCTTTGGTATAGCTAAAATGTATTATATCCTATTAATAGATAAATTCCTTGTTTTAAATGAATTCAATAAATCTCAGTAGTCCCTCACTATTCATCTTTTACAATTCGAATTACAAATAATCATGTTGTTTATTTTATTTATTATTATCTAATAATTACATATCTGAAAGCTATATAATAAGTTGACAATGTATAAACTATTATTCATTTCGAAATAAATAAAAAGAATAAATTCTATAATGAAAGACTAGTGTTAATATATCAAAAGTTTTTATGTTAACAAGTTTGCAAAAAACTTGCACTTATTGTTCTACAAATCATATTTTATGCAACATGGTGACTCATAGCCTATGAAGAATACTATATAGGGCACCATATTTTTATATTCCATTTGTTCACCTTAAGAAGAAATAGAAAACAAACATGTTTTTGTCAAAGATTGCACAAATGCTTCGAACAAAAATGTTTAACATTTTTAATTTATTCATCTAGAAAATTTTGGTGTTCATTAGCTTTTTTTGGGGGAATTTCTTTTCTCAACATCATGTTTTATGCTTGATCAAAAATTTTTATGGAGTTCACATCAACTTATGTGCCATTATTCATGATCTACTGATGTTGATGAATTGTGTTATGACATGACTGACATATTTCGAAATATAATCTCATTATGGGCACTATTTGTGTTTATCGAAGTTTTCTAAAATAATGTCGCTTTTTTTAATGTTTACCATTTAACACTCAAAAATGAGCCGTTTTCAAAGATATTTATAATGAGATTCATAGCAATTGTATCTAAATTAATAACAAACAACATATCTTTATTTACAATATAGTCACATTTCACTTTGGCAAGATACATATTTCAATTCTCCGTTTGTACGTGTTCTTCAACCACAACTTGTTTTAGTTAGTTTATATTGCAATTAATAGTTTTTATTGAAACTCCTCTTTTTGCGATGAATCATACGACTAGATCTCTATAGGTTCGTTTCAATAATATAATATCGATATATGACTGAGTTTTTACAGAAAAAAGAAAACAATATGAATCAGTGGTGGCTCGATCGGAGGATGTCGGGGGTGTAATAGCTTTTTAATCGTTAAAAATTTTTATTTTTTTCCAACCGAGCTGAGATTTTCTTTTTGCATTCTTCTAGAAGAAAGATATTCTGTTTTTGCAAAAAAATCATGACATTCCCTCTTCCCCTCAATGTTGGCTGCTTCAGGTCATCACTTATATGAGTATATAAAAATATATATACTAAAAGCAAGAAAAGCTGTGATTCTTTATAATCATAATTTAGTATAATTATCGAAAGTTTACTCATAAAAAAACGACGTTTATAGTCACTTCGACTTATAGGAAAAAGATTTTTTAAGTAAAAAGAAAATCGTGCAAGTTTTCTTTTGTAAGTATCTGCATTTATGAAGTGATTCATATTCTGATAAACCTCTTTGTCATTACAAAAGATTATTTCCTCGTTATTAAACAAACAATCTGTTTTATCTTCATCCGTCATTACATCTTTATATGTCATCATATTTTTATCTATGAACTTTTTCCATTGAAAATAATTTTCCGATTTAAATATGGCTCACATGATATTCTACATATATTTGGTCACGACACCATGCTGCTGTAGGACGTCATCAATGTACAAATCAAATTAGTATGCAATGAGTCAATTATTTTATTCGATAAAATATTTAACACAATTTCACATTGTTTAACGTCAGTCATTGTGAGATGATTAATCATAATTACGAGTAAAACTAGTAATAGAAAATTTTCCATTAGTTATAACCAATGATTAATTTTCTTGAATAAATGATAACTATTTCTTCTTAAAGTCGACTGATTTAAAGCTGAAGTTTAAATGAATAAAAGCCGAAAGAATAATTTAACAAAAACAAAAAAAGAAAGCAAAAGTTCACAATATCCATGTGATGACAAATAGGAAAACCATTACACTTTTTATTAAATACTATTTTTGTTCTCTTAATTTTTTTTCGTATTGAAGTAGTTGTCCCATAAAATTTAAATTTGGTGAAACAATTGAACGCTTTTTTTTCACAAATTCATAAGCATCATCCATATTCATGTGTGTATAACGCATTAAGAAACTAATAACTATAGCTGGTGATCGACTAATTCCAGCAACACAATGAACAAGAACTTTTTCATGATTTTCAATAGCATTATATATAAATTTATATGCTTGATCAAAATAATCTAATAGATTTTGCTTTTGTGTATCATCAGCTGGTATATGATAATAATGAAATTGATCAGAATGATATGATGGTACATGAGATGTTACATTAACAATATGTCGAATTTGCTCCGAAAATAGTTCTTCGATATTTTTAGCATTTGATTCACTACCAATAAATAGACCATCGATAATATGTGTCATTGGATGGTTATGAACATCTGAATTTGGTAAAATAGGTGTTGACTGTAATGATGAATCATTTACTGGCGATGAAAATGATTGAAATGATTCACATAGATTTGGAAAATGATTTAAAAAATGATTAAATGAATTTTTAAGAACTAATATTTGAGGATTTTTTGTTGTTGTTGTAAAACAACGTTGAATTTCTTCGCATGCACATTTTAATCCTGCTGATAATTCTTTATGATTATCACTATGATCATCATAAAGAATAATAAAATCATATTCAATTAATTGTTTTATATCAATAGTTGAATGTTTGGTTAGATTTGTTTTTAAACGTTTACGAGAAATTCTATCAGAAACACGAAGTAAATTGGATTTACAAATTCGATTTTCACTATGACGAAATGGTGAACCACAATCGAAAATAATGATTTGAGAACTTTCTTTTAATTTATTAGCTAATTCGGATGAATCAAGAAAACTAATAGATGAAGATGATGATGATGTTGATGAAAATGATGTAGAAACTGTTTTAGATATATTAGGAACAGAGAAATTTTTCCGTGCCAAAGTTAAAGTTTGTGGTCGAAGACGTTTAGCTGGTGGAGATATAAGCACGGGTAATGAAGTAAATTTAGTAGGTGATAAATCGTTATCATCGATTGGAATGAAAGGATTAGGTGATGTCGATGGATGACTGAAACATGTTCGAAAAAGTGGAATAGGACGACTAGACGTTGGATCTTTTAAAAACAACGTTGCCGGTCGAATCCGTGTTGTTTGAGCTATACAGAAAGGAAATAAATTTTGAAAACAACACGAAATTGGATTCAAGGACATAATATAAAAAAATCTGTTATTAATATTCGTTTCATACTTTCATCATCATTATTATTTTTTGAAACAGCTTGCACCGAACAGCTGTTGTCAATAACTGGTCTTATCAGGTCGTTATTACTATTATATGTATTACTTCGATGCAATGGTCTTTTTTTTGTTAGTTCAGAATTTCTTAATGATGTTGTTGAATCCATTTGAATAGGACTAATTTGAAAGTTAAATGGACATTGTTGATTATTTTTTTCAAATAAAGATGATTGTACTTGTTTCATTGTATTTGTTGTCTGACAGTGTATTGATCCTAATACTGGATCTTCAAGAACACATGTAGCCATGTACGAATAAGAAAGCAACATAAAAGAGTGATCTAGAATATAGATACAGAAAGAAAAAAAATGTATTATTCATAAAATTCTATCTAGTCATTTCACTTCTAACTATTTGCCCTTTCATTGTGACCTTAATTCACAAGGAATAAAAATGACTCTTTTTTTTTAAATAATTTAAAGTTCATGTCACAATGATTACGCAATAGAAGAAAAGAAAAAAACTCACATTATGATGTATAAGTTTTTTAAAATGTAGTTTTAATAATGAGTCAGCAAACAAATGTAATGCACTGAAACGCATCTTTTATATAAAGTAAATGTATATATGAATAGTCTGTTCTGTTCTGTTTTGTTCTTTTGCTTTTTTTTTACTTACGTTAGTGTAATATTGTAACAATGATTCATGTCATTGACTGAGATGTGCACTTTATTTGCGTTGAATATGTTTTCTGGTTAATTTATTATGATCATCTGGAAGTTATACTAATAATTAAATTGTAAATTTTTTAAAAAAGGTCTTTCAATACGAAAAGTAATGAAACAACGATTAATCATTGTTTCTTTCAAATATTACCTTTAATGACGTCATTGATATTTATGTTATTTGTATCACACAATGGATAGCAAAGAAGACAAAGTTATTAATTAGCATATAAAACTTGTACTGTGTCATAAAGCAATTGATTTAAAATATGACTCATAAATAAAACGTACTTCGTGGCAATAATCTCGTGGCCAAAAAGTACGTCATTTTCTTGTAAATTCAAAAAAATAAACGAAATTGAAAATTAACTAAGATAAACTTACGATAAGAAAAAGTGTACTTGAATCCACGTATTTTATTCGAACGTTGAGATCATTTGAAACAATAACCGAGATTAAAATACTACGATCAGACATTGTTTACAACACAGAGTTACGAAGAAATAAACAGAGTTCATGTAAATAACTACAGATGAATAGTATCCAAGAGGTGGAAGTGTCCATAGATCACAATACTTTTCATTTCCGTCTCGAGATAAGAGTACAAGAATATCTTAAAAATTTCTACTTCCATGTAGTAGTAACTAATTCCGCCTTAGTAACGGCTTTATTAAAAAAAACTAGATACAAAAATTCTAAAATATTGTCTTCTAATTTTTATTGTCATAAAAATAGCCGTATCGTTTATGAGTTGCTTCAATTTTACTTTGACAATCATACATAAAACTCTGATGCAATAAATAATAAAATATAATATTTATCGTAAATTTATTTTCGCAATAACAACGATAGCAACAAATGACCATTAAGGATGTAATAATTATTTGTTATTGATGATAATACTATTGTTTTTGGGTGAGATGTGGGCGTGGGTGTGAGTGGGTAATGTTTTTTCTCAATAATGTTCACACCTTATTTAAGCAAATAATAATTATTTTATTCAAAAAGAAAAAATGCTCCTTACAACCTGATTTAAATTATCAATAATATATATATATTTAATCAATGATTTGATCCAAAACAAACACATTCCAAATGATTAGATTGTTAATCATAAAATTTTTTTTTCTATATCAAGAAAATATCATTAACTATCTTCATAAGCAAAATAATTCTGTTACTTTTTATTATTAAAAATCCCATATTTAACTCATGCATGTATTTCAACAAAAAATTGAAGAATTTGTTCCTTATCAACTATTTATTGAACAAGTAAATTATTAAGTGAAGTTAAATAAACGAGATCAAGTGAAAGAAATGACTGAAAGTAACGACATTCATTTCGATTTATTTTGTTGTCAATAATAATTTCGCACGTTTGAATATTGTTCACTCGATAGCACGCCTTTATTTTCCAAAGAAATATTTTGCGATTCTGGCATAACTTTTCCATTGATAATGAATTATAAATGATCTCTAGAAAGACGTTTTGCAAATAAACATATGTCTACTTCTGAGTATTTTCATTTCATATAAATTGATTGCAATATTCTTCTTGTTTCTGTTAATAACAAAAATATATCATAATACACTAAAGATATTTCCTTAAATCATTTTCTTTTCTCATAGGAGAGGATCTTGAATGTGAAATAGACTTGAAATTTAAAAAAAAAATAGTGAAAACATTATATCTTTTATTTGAAGCATTGGCATTAATCAAATTGCTTTATTTTTTTATCTTCTATCAGAAAATATAATGAAGCAAAGACAATTAGAATTTTGTACTTCGAACATTGCTTCAAAAATATGAGAAATAATCGAAAAAAAAATTGTTTTTGTTTTAATCATAGAAAGGCAATCCTTTCAATTTTTTTTCTCATTGTGGTACACCTACAAAAATTGCTTATTTTCATAGCTTTTGCATCTAATCTGAGCGGTTTAATTTTTCATTAGTATATACAATATTATATTTCGTTGACATGTTGACAAAAACAATCGAATTATTTCATCATGATTTCTAGAACTATCAATATTACAGTAGACTTATAAGATTTTCTATAAAAACCAATATTATTCTTTAGTATCAGTGTATATTCGAGCTGGTCTAACAATAGACAGACACTACCATGCTAATGTTGATTCACGTTCTAACCTGTTTTTTATTCTTTTCATCAAAAGTTTTTGCTGGACAGGAACTGTCATCAATTAAAGATAATGAATGCAATTCTGAAACTGCATCATGGACTTCATGGTTCAATACACAAAACCCGAAAAAAACAAATGGTAACGATATTGAAGATATTTCAATGATTCGAAAATTATATGCAGAAACAGCTCGATGTGATACAGTTTTAAACGTTGAATATTCTGTTTTGGGAAAATCAAATAATGATACATCAGTTTATCAAACATTAATTAATAATAATGGTGTTTTTTGTATGGGCTCATCAACATCACCTTGTCCAGATTACAGTGTTCGTTTTTGTTGCCCACTTGAACGACAATATATATCACAACAATGTGGTCAAACATTTCGTCAACCTCATTTAAATTCTGCTCTTCGTATTGTCAACGGCTTTGAAGCAGTACCACATTCATTACCATGGGCTGTTTCATTACAATATAAGGGTGCACATGATTGTGGTGGAGTTATTATTGATCAATGGCATATATTAACAGCTGCACATTGTTTGGATTATTCAAATGATCTTGAAAATTATTATGCTCGTATTGGTGCACATAATCGATTTACATCTGGACAACTTATACCTATTGCTGAATTGATCATACATCCAACTTATAATGAACCACGTTCAACAGATGATATTGGAATTATACGATTAGCTTCACCAATTATATTTTCACAAAATGTTCAACCAATTTGTCTGGTTGATAGTGTTAGTAAAATTATTTTCCTTTTTTTATTTTGAAATAATGTCGTTTTTTCATGATAGATCATTGAACCACCACTTGATACAACTGCTTATGTTGCTGGCTGGGGTAATACTGTGCACCAAATGTGGAATAGTTCAAGTTCAGTTCTTCTTCAGGCACGACTTCGTGTCATATCCGATTGTTCAATGTATTTTGCCTATGAACCTGAAAAACAAATTTGTACCGTTCATAATGGACCTGCAAATATAGATCATGGGTTAGTTTATCGTTATTTTTGTAATTATCATCATAAACTAACTGTTGTTTAGATCATGCCAAGGTGATAGTGGCGGTGGTTTACTGTATTTTAAAAATGGTCGTTGGTATGTTGCTGGTGTAGTTAGTTACGCTATTGGATGTGGTCGACAAGCTTTTCCAACGGTATTTACCAAAACAGCTGCTTATATTGATTGGATTCGAACGATAATCAATCGTCCAATGTCAAATTAAATTTTTGTTTTCTGAAAACATTATTTAAAAAAAAGGGGATAATAAAAAGAAAAGATAATGTATTGCAGATATTATTCTTTATAATTCACTTCGATAATGTGATAGTAATCAGAAATACCGTAAGTCGCTTTTCGATCAACCCACGAATTAACTGTAACCCAGCTGATTGTTCTGTGGGTGGATTGCAATCCAAATCTAAATTTTTTTCCAGCCGCTGGGTAGTATGGTTGGATTGGCTATATTGAACTCTACCCATTGGGTAACTCAAAAGATAGCCTTGACTATTGCGATTTTCAGCTTTCTATTATATATTGGTACAAATAAACGCTTTACTCAGCTTATGTAAGGATTGTTTATAATATGTAAGAGCGGCCGTTCTATAGGCTATGAAATAGAAATATACAAACTCTTGCACAAGTTCCTTGGAAAAGTAAACGCATATGTCTTACAAGACTGAAGCTGTTTCTATATATTCTTAAAAGATGACACCAGGTTTTTCGAATTTCTATGAAGTCTACTCTCTGATATATGTTTGTGTCTATAACAATAAGGATCAGAATAATTTTATTATTGTCCTTCCTCGGATCACATACAATCATAAAAGCAAAGTTGTTCATTGCATTGAACAAAGAAAGGATTAGAGGTAAACTGAATTATAAACATTTACAAAGCTTTTACGAAACTAGTGTTGCTGTAGATTACTAACGTCCGGAATGACCATTACAAATTATAGAAGAAAAAGTAAGACTAAATGAGAAATTATAATGCTCCACTAAATCGATCACAATAAAGTATTTAACATTTTACAACATCTTACTGATCTTCACGAACAATTTTTCACGAAACTAAGACTCGATTTGGTTCATTGAAGTCATAATTGATTCAATTTGACAAAAAAATGTAATGACAACAGTTTACAAATTCGGACTCGGGCATTTAAAAGTTTGATACCATTGGTATAGGCCAGTAATAATCAATAAAATTAATTTATTTTGAACGAAGTCGTTTTTCATTCGAGTGAGTGAGTTCACCCATAAAAATAAAGCAAAAACCGATGCCTATTTGATATTTATTGAAGACTGAATATCAAGTTCAATTTTGAGTAAATATTAATAACGAAAATAAATTGATAAAAAGGCAAGATATAGTTTGTTTTTCTACTAATATTTCAAAAATGAGGCATTTCTGTGTTTCAGTAGGATGTCATTATTTTGAATATGCATTATAAAATACATCGCAAGAAATGAAACGGGCATTGGGTAAGCAAGTGTTTCACTCTGTATTCACGGCACGTTTAAGCTAGTGTTCCTTTTGATGTAAAAAATTTTTCACGGTCTCATTAGAAAATTTTTAATTATGATAGATAGTGTTTCTCTTACACAAAAGTGTTCCTCTAATAGAAAATTAATTTGAAATGAGAGAAGGAAAAAGTGGAATCTATTGAATATTAATGAAATCAAATCAATTAATATAAATCAGATAATTATTAGAATCCCATTTAACAGAATATTGGTACTGCACTTCTCATAAAAATATTTTTCCATCGATTCTTGAAGATATCCGACGTTATCGTATAAAATAATATGACTCGACATCAACTTCGACAATTTCTTCAGTAAATAATTTTTTCAATTTATCTCAATAATTATCTCAATATTTATTACAATATATATCTCAATATTTATTCCAATATATATCTCAATATTAAGTTTCAATACTCCTTTATCAATTTATTCTTTTTGATTTTCAATCAGAGGAACACTATCTATCATAAATTAAACATTTTCTAATGAAAGGATGGGAGATTATTTTTCACGAAAGGGAACACCAGCTTAAACTTGCCGTGCATATAGAGTGGAACACTTGTTTCACCAATGTTGTCTACTTTTTCCGTGAATCTTTAGGATCACCCTGTATATTGTTTTTATTTTCATATGGATAAAAAGACATTGCTCACCGTGGCTATGAGTATTAAAGAAAGCACAATAAAATATAAGTTAAGAAGAGAAAAAAGTGAAAGCAACAGTTAAAAAAGAAATCTGTCTACAGCAGAAAACAAACTATATCCGGTGCTCATTTTTCATACAATCTATCTTACAAAAAAATAATAAAAAAGAGTTTCTATGAGATGACTAAGAATCAAAAGTACCAATGTCATTTTTAACTTAATTTTCGGTCGAGTAAACTAAAATAATATATTGCGACGACATTTTTATGGAACAAAACTTTTCGTAGCTAATTTCTGAGAAGTATAGATAATTTCATGGGTAAACTCAAGTGTGATCCTTGAGATAACTGACACAATCTACCTAAAAATTTTATTGGATGGGGCAAGGTTGGGATTCTTCTAATGGTTCGTTCAAACCTCTAGTTTCGGTTAGGGCTAACGCATGAAAACTTTAATCCAATGGATACCCGTACGAAGCCTAACTCATCCGGTATCTCTGATAGTAACATAATAATTGTTTCGATGATTTAGATAACAAGTAATATATGATAGATCACAGTTTAAGCTGTGTTATTTGTGTATCATATCAAAACGTTTGTTTTTACTAATCGATTTCTTAATAATCTTCTATTGATGTTCATGGTTTTTCTTCAATGTTAAGGAGTATTTGCAATAGCTGTCGATATTCCATCAGAAATCATTGGTTCCTAAGTCGGCTCCAACTAAATAAAGTTTAAGTCTGCTCTCAGAAATTTCCATAAGTCATGACTAGCACTTATGTCGAACACTTTCTTTTGTCGTAGAGGCTTAATACAATGTCACCAGCTATCGATGAGTTCTTTTAAAGTGATATACCTTATATAGAGTAGTGTGCGAAATTATAGACTCACACTATGATTTCGAATCGGTTAACTTCGTGTACGATGAAAAAACTTACTTCAAAAAGCTCTTGTATGAATTTTGTAAAATAGATCGTCATCTTACAGAATTGATGTTTTATCTTTGTTCTCTGGCTAAAGTTATACAGAAAAAAACAATACGCCTACAAAAATATCATAGATTTCCGCTTATGCAAAATTATAGACTTATGAAAATTTTTTACAAAACGAAGTCTTCACAGTTTTTCAATAGGTACTCATTGTTCCTCCTTTGACCATCTGAAAATGTTTCGAACGATGTAACATCGAATCAACTAATTTTTTTTGCCAGTATACGAACTAAAATGCACCTATATCATCTTGACCATCGTTTGCCGCCTTGTCAGAACGTTCTACCGCATATTTTTGAGCTGATCATCAATCATATCCCACATATTTTCGATAGGGTTAAGATCTGAAGATGAAGGCGACCATACCATAAGCAGGATATTATTTCTGTCGAAATAATTCGTGGCAGCTTTCGATTTCTGAGGAAAACATTGTCTTACATTTAAAGGTAATTCTCATTTTGTGTGTCGAATGCGTCTTCAATGAGCCATGATAGAACATCGCCAATGATCTGACGGTAAGCGGGACTATTCACGCGACCTGCGTAGAAGATCCAAGGGCCGATCCCTGCATCTGTCATACAGCTTCCTTCCATTGTATCTGAGGAACGAATCTAAATGGTTTATCACTTTTGCTCATCGTTCACCGCATTAATATTTGATGTTTTCGATTAAGCAATTCAAAATGAACTTCGTCACTTCAAATGATTTATTTCCAATCATTTTGCAAACAGTGGAAGTGACTGTTCACAAACTCTAGCCGTTTTTGCTTTTGTCAGGTAATACAAAGAGGTTTTTGTTTTGGGGTGAGAAGCACATTTCTTCTTGATGTATAATGGAACAAAGGCGCTGCGTCCTACTTTCAATTTAGTTTCAAGTCACTACAAAATGCGCCGATGATCTACTTAGTTAACGTTATCTTTTTTGAACATGTTAATCAAAGTCAATACAGTTTTTGAAATAAATTCCTACTGAGAATCGATTATGCTACGTTCAAAGAGTATGTAAGGTGTGATAAACTATGCGTCTTTTTACGTCAGAGTGCGCATGAAGCTAAGACCAGTAGCCACACCTACACCAAAAAACCAATGTTGACGAGATGCTTCAGGGCGAATGCAATGATCTATCGAGCTCTAATTTTTAGCGAGCATAGACTTTCATGAGTTTCATCTACACTAAAAAACTCAAATTTCTATGTGTTGTTACAAAATAAAAAACTTCAAAATTGGCTAAAATCATGAATTTTTCCTGAATCAGCGAAGTACATAGAACATTTGGGACCCGACTGATTGCGTTAAAGATTTTCTTGTGCGTAGAAGCCTTGTTCATATGCATCAATGAATAATATTGGCCCGATCGGCTATGTTCCTCATCAGATAATCAATTCACATTGTGCTCTATTCTGGAGTTTTTTATATTTTGGGTCTTCAGAAAACAATAGTTAATAATCGAGAATTCAATAGTTTTGAAAGCAGCTTCGTCAACATTCATACAAGCTTTGTCTCTGTCACATGTATTAAGTTGAACACTCTAAAATCTTTGATTGAGCATCTTCCCTGAGGACCGATTATGACTTTTGTTGACTGACTTTCATATAGTGGAATCTACAAAATGAACCAAAAAAAGAAAATAATCGATATCAAAATACTAACACTCGAAGAGAAACTAATAGTGCCTAGACGATCAAAACATGCAGAGAATATCTGAAATCAATAGGCTGAGAGAAACACATTTGAATGGATCTAGATTCTTTCATTCCAAAAAGCTCTCTACGCCGTTAAACTATAATCTCTGAACCGAAGGATGATTGTTTCAATTTAATACGTTAGTCTATAAATAATTGCAGTGACAAGTTTTTGCATCACTAGATGTTAGGTATATTTTGTTTGATTTATTCAAGAACATGTTGCAAAAATTTAAGAAATTACACAAACACTAGTTTGGCGTTGTTTCGAACGAAATCTTTGAGTTAATCGATACATCGAGTTGATGTAGTATTCTAACTAGTTGATGACTCACCTGATTAATCTCGTAAAATCGATCAGTCATGTCACGACTAAGAGCGTC